CTGGCCAGACCCTCTTCCCTTCCTGCTCCTGCTCCAGGATGGGAAAGCATGCTGGGGAGGGGTGAGGACCCCCACTGTGCCCCACACACCTGGAACTTACTTCTCCTCCCAAGGTTGCCCCAGCATTCACTAAGGAGCCGGCTGGGTCTCACACTAGGGTGGTCCTGACTCCTCCTGCTTTCCAGATCAGATGCTTGGCACCGGGGCTCCTTGTGTCCCTGGGCTGAGGCACCGTGCTGCCTGCCGTGGGGGTGCGCTTCTCTCAACAAGCCTGGCCTCAGCCTCCCTGGGAGCATGTCCTGGCCCTTAGACGCCCATCAGGCTGTCCCTGTGCACCTGGCTTCCACCTTTCCAACTAATAGTAGGAACTGGGGTGGGGGGCACTGGGGCAACAAGGTCTTGGGATCTCAGAGGACCCGGTGCTCCACTCCATGCTCCTGCCTGGGCTTGGGGCTGCCAGATACCTGGGCCCTGCCATGTCCTCCATCCTTTCAGGGAACCAGAATGTGGGGGTGGGGCATCAGACAGCCGCGATGATGTCACCCGGCGGGTCCGGAAGAAGCCCGAGGGGTGAGGTGGGGGGTTTGGCCCGAGGCTGCCTGGCCAGGCCTTGGCGTTCCCCCAGAACAGCGATGGCAAAATCAGATGGAGACGTGGAAAAGTATGGGAGCAGGTGGGGTGAAGACTCCACAGGGACCCATGCCAGTCCCTGTCCCCGAAGCACATACCTACTGTGTCCTGCCTGGGGCAGATGCTCCCACACCCTAGGGGGCTGGGGGGCACACCTGGCTCCTGTCTGGGCCCCAGCTCGCTTCCACTGCCCTGGACCCTGGGAGCTTGGCCGAATGTGATCCCCAAGGCCTTGCTGCTTTTTCTGGGCTGTGGGCCCGGGTGAGGGCCGGGAGAAGGGGCCAGCCCGGAGCCGGGTGTGCAGAGAGTGCGTGGACAGCACCCGTGACAGCAGGCAGGACCGCCTGCTGGCATGGAAGGAGTGTCCGTGGCATTCCTGGGCCTGGTCTGCAGTGGGGCAGGCAGGGGTTGGGGGCGCTCTGGAGTTCTCAGCTGACCTGCCCCCACCCCGGCCCTGACTTGTCAGCTTCCAGCAGCAGCCACTCTTGATGGATTTTCCAGAAAATGGGGTGTGGTCACACATCTTGAGACTTCTTTCCTTCCTTCCGAGGCCTGGGTGGGAGCTGCTCCTGTGCCTGGGGGCAGATACCCAAGCCCATGCCGCTGCCTCGGGGCAGCATCACAGCTGTGTCCCTTCCTCAAGGCCTGGCTCTGCTCACCGTGGCCTCTCCAGCACCCCTCACTCCCCATTCTCCAGGCTGCCACTTCTCAGGACCCACGGCCTCATTTCTCCCTGAAGCACAGCTTTTGCTGCTATGGCAGCCACCCGGAAGTCCCTCCTCAGGTCCAACTGCCGTTCCTCATGGCACAGTGTCCCCTCGGGTGTGGTGCTTGGCCAGTGGGTGGGAGTCCGGCTACCTCACTCTGCCTGGGGAATGGCCTCTTGCTGGTCTCCCAGCCACCAGCCTATTCCACCCCACAGAGGGGATGGTGTGGACGCCTAGCAGTGCCTCTGTGGCCCACTCATCCTTACGTGCATTGAGGAGCATCTCAGCCTGTGCTGGGAGAGATGTGTCCTGACTTTGGTGTAGAGGAGGGGATGGCAGAGAAGCTGGGTTCAGATAGGGGGTAAAGAAGGGACCCTGGCAAAGGGGCTGTTCCCTGTGACCCTGGCCCCCAGAGCCTCTTTCTTCCTGGCACTTAGGGTACCACACAGGCTCTCTGAATGTCCACATCCCCTGGGGGAAGAGAACTGCACCCTAAGCATGCCTGCCCATCCACAGATGGAATGAGAGGCTCTGGGAGCCAGGTGCCCAGCATCTCATCTGTCTGGGCACCCGGCTTAGGTGAGGGCCTGGCTCCACTGTCAGTAGCTGGTGCTGCTTCCTGGAGTGGAGAAGGCCTCGGCTGCTCTGTCCCCCTCAGCTGGGGTGGCCCTGGTCCTTTTCTTTGTTGGTTTCCCCTCTGAAGCCCCTGCCATGGCCCCTGGCCCCACCGGGCAGCCGGTGTGTATGTGTCTCCGGTGCCAGGCAGGCCATATGTGCGTCTCTCCCACACCGGGCAGCCTGGCTGTGTGTGCGCCTCTTCTGCGCTGGGCAGGCTGCTATGTGAACTCCCATAGGAGGAGCAGGGCTGGAGGCTGGCAGGGGCTGTGCTGGTGCTGAGGGATGGCGGCTGCCCTGCCTTGGGCCTGGCTACCAGGTGGTAATTGCTGGAAGAGCAGATCAAGGTGGAGGCACCTGCTCGGTCACATGTGGGGAGGGTGACACCTGGGGAAGTAGAGGCCTGTGGTGGGAGGCTAGGACTCAGGGGCCTGGGGAGGGAGCCACAGTCCGTGTGCCAGAAGCACTGCTGGGGAGTACGTGGGACCAGGAGGGGCGCCCAGGGTGAGCAGCAGGGTGACCCCAGAGGTGCCAAGGGGATGTGGAGTTCTTGGTTTGCCCTGCTCTTGGCTACTCACCACCGTCTCACCAGCACCAGGACCTCGTCTATAACCTAAGCTCCGGAAAGAGAACCATGCTGCCTCGTGGTTTCCATGGCTCTTTCCAATTATTCCTGACATTGAGTGTCTTCTCCAGGCCTGTGACAAATTGTGCTCGTTAGTTGCCTTTTTCTTGCTTTGGAGTTTCTTTTATTTCTTTTCTACTTCCTTCCTTCCCTCCCTCACTTTTTTTCTTCCTTTGTTAATTGTCTCTCTCTGTTTTTGGAGTTTCTTTTATTTCTTTCTTTTGTTTTGAGTTGGAGTTTCACTCTTATTGCCCAGGCGGGAGTGCAATAGTGCTGTCTCGGCTCATTGCAACCTCTGCCTCCTGGATTCAAGTGATTCTCCTACCTCAGCCTCTTGAGTAGCTGGGATGCCCAGCTAATTTTGAATTTTTACAAAATTGACCATGGGCGGGAGTCCGGCTCTATGTGGGGGGCTATGGACAGGGGATTTTGTATTTTTACAAATTAACTGGGCAGTGTTTCTCCATGCTGGTCAGGCTGGTCTCAAACTCCTTTCTTTTTTCTTTTTTTGGTCACTCTGTTGACCAGGCTGGAGTGCAGTGGTGCTATCTCAGCTCACTGCAACCTACACTTTCTGGGTTCAAGCATTTCTCGTGCCTCAGCCTCCAGAGTGCCGGGATTATAGGCACATGCCATCACGCCCTGCTAATTTTTGTACTTTGGTAGAAACTGGGTTTCACCATGTTGGCCAGGCTAGTCTCCAACTCCTGACCTTAAGTGATCCACCAGCCTTGGCCTCCTAAAGTGCGGTGATTACAGACATGAGCCATCATGCCCAGCCTGGTCTCAAACTTTTGACCTCAGGTGATCCGCCTACCTTGGCCTCCCAAAGTACTGGGATTACAGGGGTGAGCCACTGCACCCGGCTTCTTTCTTTCTTTTCTTTTTCTTTCTTTTTTTTTTTTTTTTTTGAGACAGAGTCTCACTCCATCGCCCAGGCTGGAGTGCAGTGGTGCGATCTCGGCTCGCTGTAACTTCCACCTCGCCGAATCAAGCAATTCACCTGTCTTAGCCTCCCAAGTAACTGGGACTACAGGTGCTCGCCACCATGCCTGGCTCATTTTTTTGTATTTTTAATAAAGACAGGGTTTCGCCATGGTGGCCAGGATGGTCTTGATCTTTTGACCTCATGATCCACCTGCCTTTGCCTCCCGAAGTGCTGGGATTGCAGGTGTCAGCCACCTTACCTGGCCTTCCGTGCTTCCTTTTCTTTCTTTTGTTTCTTTGTCGTCTGCTTTCTTTTCCTTCAAGACCAGGTCTCACTCTGGCCCAGGCTGGACTGCAGTGACTCAGTCATAGCTCACTGCAGGCTCCACCTCCCAGGCTCACCCCACCGAGTAGTTGGAACTACAGTTGCACACCACCATGACTGGCTAATTCTTTTCTTCCTTGTAGAGGTGAGGTCTTGCTATGCTGCCCAGCCTGGTCTCAAACTCCTGGCCTCAAGCAGTCCTCCCTGCTCTGCTTCCCAAAGCACTGGGATTACAAGCATAAGCCACCACACCCATATTCCATTTTTTCTTTTTAACTAGAATAGTTGACCTTTTTTATTAGCTGTGCATGTAGCAAGGGAATTTTTGGCCTGTAATATGTCATCTGAGTTGTTAGTGCTTTTCTCAGCTTGCTCTGTTTTCCGATTTTACTTTTATTTTGTGTGGAAGCTGTGTATTTTAGATGGAATTAGGTTTGTTTGTCTTTGATGTTTTATTTATTTATTTGTTAGGTATGTATGTATTTACTTTTAAGGCAGGGTCTCGGTCTGTTACCCAGGCTGGAGTGCAGTGATGTGATCTCAGCTCACTGTAGCCTCATCCTCTTGGGCTCAAGTGAATTTCTTGCCTCCACCTCCCAAGTGGCATATGCCACCATGCCTGGCTAATATATATTTTTAGACAGGGGTTTCACTGTGGCCCAGGGTGTTTTTGAAATCCTGGGTTCAAGCGATCCTCCAGTCTCAGCTCCCACAGTGCTGGGTTACAGATGCGCCCGCACCCAGCTGTCTGGGATGTCCCATTTCTCCTGGGTTTATACCTCAAGACGGTGCCTGCTCCCCTGCTCCCTGGTAGCCTGGTAGTGAGCTGGCTTCTCACACAGTCATGCCTGGCTGTGGCCTCACAGTGGGACCACCCTGCTGGGCTCAGAGCCGGAAATGGGGGGCCTGGGTGGACATGTTCGTGTGGCACTCAGCATAGGGCTGATATGGGTATAGAGGGCTGAGGCCCCGGGCCTTTTCTGGCTTGGTTTCCCTAGATGAGTGTTCATTTGGGTCTTCCATTAGAAAGGCCTCTCCTGACCCCTCAGAGGGGAGCTCAAGGGTGGGAGGCCATAGCTCGGGGGTGCTGGCAGTGTCTGGGGTGGGCCCAGGGATGGCCTCCTGGCCTACTAGGAGCTCTGGCCTTGACCCATGGTCACTTGCTTCTTAGAGACGTGTCCCACAACCTGCTCCAGGCGCTGGATGTCGGGCTTCTGGCAAACCTCTCGGCGCTGGCAGAGCTGTGAGTGTCCCCTGGCCACGCCAGCATGCGGGGCTCACTCCCAATGGACTAGCCGCCTCTCACTGCTTGGCTGCGGGGACTTCCATCATACTTGCCGAATCCCCCCTCTCTTCCAGGGACATAAGCAACAACAAGATTTCCACGTTAGAAGAAGGACTATTTGCTAATTTATTTAATTTAAGTGAAATGTAAGTTGTGGTTCTTTTGGTGGGTGTCACTGGTTGGACCCCAGGTCCCCAGCATCCCTTCTGCCTTCCCAGTTGGTCCATGTCTCCTCTCCGGTTTGAGACCAGATCCTGGGGGCAGTTTGCTGGCCAGCTTGGAGCCCCCCAGGGCTGGCTTGGTTGGGGCAGGGGAGGCTGTGCTGTCACGGGGTGCTCCAGGGCCTGGGGCTGGTGTATACCCTTCCCACCAGACCTGGTCCCCACACTTGCCCTTCCCCTGCAGAAACCTGAGTGGGAACCCGTTTGAGTGTGACTGTGGCCTGGTGTGGCTGTCACGGTGGGTGAAGGAGCAGCAGGTGCGAGTGGTACAGCCCGAGGCAGCCACGTGCTCTGGGCCTGTCTCCCGGGCTGGCCAGCCTCTGCTCAGCATCGTCTTGTGGGACAGTGGCTGTGGTAAGTGCCCGTGGGTGGGGCCATCTCAGTCCTTCCCTGCCAGGTGGGCCCTGGGCCCTGCAGGCACCGGGGAACCAGCTCTAGGGCGGGGCTTTGGGCCGAGGAGCAGCGTGAGAGCCCTGATGGGGGGTGTGGGTGGAGCCAGGAGGAGTGGAACCCAGGGTCCAGCAGCTGCCTCTTCTAGGTGAGGAGTATGTCGCCTGCCTCCCTGACAACAGCTCGGGCACCATGGAAGCAGTGGCCTTTTCACCTGCCCACGAGGGCCTGCTGGAGCCCGAGGCCTGTAGCGCCTTCTGTTTCTCTACCGGCCAGCACCTTGCAGCCCTCTCAGAGCAGGGCCAGTGCCTGTGTGGAGCGGCATCCCCTAATGCCTCCTCTGCCTGCCTGGCCCTCTGCTCCAGCCCTCTGCCACCCCCTGCCCCTGCCTGTGGGGGCCCCACCCTCCTCCAGCACGTCTTCCCTGCTTCCTCAGGTGCCGCCCTGGTGGGGCCCCATGGACCCCTGGCCTCTGGCCAGCCAGCAGCCTTCCACATTGCCGCCCCCCTCCCCATCACTGCCGCACACTGGGACTTTGGGGATGGCTCCCCTAAGGTGGATGGCGCAGGCCCAGTGGCCTTGCACCGCTATGTGCTGCCTGGGCACTATCGTGTGACGGCTGTGCTGGCCCTGGGGGCTGGCTCAGCCCTGCTGGAGACAAACGTGCAGGTGGAAGCAGTACCTGCCACCCTGGAGCTTGTGTGCCCATCCTTAGTGCAGAGTGATGAGAGCCTCCAGCTCAGCGTCCGGAACCGTGGCGGCTCAGGCCTAGAGGCCACCTACAGCATCGTGGCCTTGGGTGAGGAGCCTACCCGAGGTGAGCGCCTCCTCCCATCTCCCCTTCCTCCCCAGGACTGTGTGGGTGGGGCAGAGCCTGGTTATCCCTGTCTTGGGCCCACATTGACTGTTGACACCCCTATTACCCCCGGTCCCCAGTGGTGCACCCGCTCTGTCCCTTGGACACAGAGATCTTCCCTGGCAATGGGCACTGCTACCGCCTGGTGGTGGAGAAGGCGGCCTGGCTGCAGGCACAGGAGCAGTGCCGGGCCTGGGCTGGGGCTGCCCTGGCCATGGTGGACAGTCCTGCTGTGCAGCGGTTCCTGGTCTCCCAGGTCACCAGGTACCTGCCCCCACTCCTCAAGGGGACATAGATTGAGGGATCTCTGAAGCACTGGTGCAGAGCCCTTAGCTGGGGAGGCTCAGGAGGAGGGAGGCGGGAGCTGAGCCGGCCACCTGTCAGTTCTGCAGATGGAGGGGTGGACATGAGCTGGGGGCAGCCTCTGGACACTCCTGGGGCGTGCCATACGGGAGGTGATGTGCATGGGGAACCCTGTTGGTTCCCACAGGCTCCATGGGTGCTTGCAGCTCTCTGGGCTCTGAGCCTCAGTTTCCCCATCTGGAAAGGGAGACCGTGAGGTAGGGGAGTTTGGGTAGGGGAGTGTGGGAGGATGGAGGAGTGCCCTGAGCCCCGCGCCATCCCACACTTGCCCACAGGAGCCTGGACGTGTGGATTGGTTTCTCAGCTGTGCAGGGGGCGGGCCCAGCACCTCAGGGCGAGGCCTTCAGCCTGGAGAGCTGCCAGAACTGGCTGCCTGGGGAGCCACACCCAGCTACCGCCGAGCACTGCGTCCGGCTGGGGCCCACTGGGTGGTGCAACACTGACCTGTGCTCAGCACCCCACAGCTATGTCTGTGAGCTGCGGCCCGGAGGTGTGCAGGGACCAGACGGGGGCCTGAGGCACTGGCTGTGGTTAGGGGTCTGCCAAGTGCCCGCGGTGGAGCCTGGGCTTCAGTGGAGGGGCTGGTGGGGGGCTGTCGGGCGGTTCGGTCCCCAGTCTGTTCGCCCAGTCTGTTCCCGGTGTCCTGGGCCCAGATCCAGAGCCTCACTGCACACTTGCCACCCCAGGCCCAGTGCAGGATGCCGAGAACTTCCTCGTGGGAGCGCCCAGTGGGGACCTGCAGGGACCCCTGATACCTCTGGTGCAGCAGGATGACCTGTCAGCCCCACGTCAGCCTGTGGAGGTAGCTGGCCCTCTGCATTCTAGAACCCACCCTTCTGTCCCTGGAGACCTTGCCTGCCATGCTTACTATGGGGCTCTCTCAAAACCTCTGGGGCTTTATTGTTGCTTGTGCCCAGTATAGATGGGTTGGAAAATCTCGAGCACAGAGAGGAAAGCATTTAATCACATTATTCTGGCAAATGCCAGACTCCCCAGGCCTTTTCTCTGAGTGTGAGTTATTCCTAAAAACCAGGTCAGGCAGTTTCCACCCGAGTCTTTCTCGGAACAACAGGATCCAGGCTTGTAGGGGGTTTGATGGCTCGCTCCCTTCCCTCCCGTCTTCCTTGGGAAGTTGAGGTAGGGGAGTCTGGGCTTTGGCCTGGGTTGTGGTGTGTGGAGCTGAGGTGGCCCCTGCCCACCAGGTCATGGTATTCCCGGTCCTGAGTCTTAGCCAAGAAGCCTTCCTCACCACAGCAGAATTTGGGACCCAGGAGCTCCTGCAGCCTGCCCAGCTGCGCCTGCAGGTGTACCGGCCCCTCAGCACAGCAGGTGGGACTCTTGAGTAGTGGGCGTTGAGGGCTTGGGGTGGCCTCTCTGAGCTCTCACATTTGCTGGTCCTGTGGCCACCAGAGCGGTCCCTAGTCTCAGGTGGACAGAGTAGGGGTTCAGAGACACCAGCTCGTTGCAAGTGTCCTGGGGATGGATCGGGTGGGTTGGTTGGCTGGCCAGAGGCAAGGGCACAGCACTGGGCTGGGAGTGCTGCCTGGTGAGACTTGTTCTCACAGCAAGGCCAGGCTTGTGGGTTTAAGCAGGTGGGCATCCCCAGTGATGGCCTGTGGGCAAATTAGGGCCCCGATACCTTCCCCTCCTCGCAGGAACCCCGGAGAATGGCAGTGAGCCTGAGAGCGGGTTCCGGGATAACAGGACCCAGCCGGCCCCCGAGTGCATGCCAGGGGGATGCTGGTGCCCTGGAGCCAACGTCTGCCTACCGCTGGACGCTTCCTGCCACTCCCAGGCCTGTGCCAACAGCTGCATGTCAGGGCCAGGACTCCCCAAGGCCCCCTACATGCTATGGAGGGAGTTCCTCTTCTCTGTTCCCGCGGGGCCCCCCGCACAGTACTCGGTGTGTGGCTCTGACCTGGATCTGTCCCCTGAGCTCCTCAGGCCACCTGCCTGTCCACCAGACACACCCAGCCTGCAGGCCCCTCCCACGTCCCTGCCACCTCTGACCTCCAAGCTCCGACGACCTTTGCAGTGCCCTGGCCGCTCTCCCAATTGGAGAAGCTCTTGCTCAGGCCCTTGGCATGAGCTGTGCCTCCTCTTCCCCTCTCTGGGCACAGTCACTCCCTCTTGCCCGCCGGGTCTTGGCCTGTGTCCTCTCCCCGTGTGTCCCCGTCTGCAGCTGTCCTCTGCCTGTCCCTGTCACAATCACCTTGGGGGAGGCTTCATGAGGCGTGGTCGACAGCACTGAGATCCCCAGCGTGGAGCCCTGCCTGTCCACCTTCACCCCTCGTGCTGGGGTCCATGGGCCATGACCACGAGGACGTGCTGCAGCCCTGCCTCCCTCTCCGCAGGTTACCCTCCGCGGCCAGGATGTCCTCATGCTCCCCGGTGACCTCGTGAGCTTGCAGCACGACGCTGGCCCTGGTGCCTTCCTGCACTGCCCGCTGGCTTCCAGCAGCCCTGGCCTCCAAGCCCCATACCTCTCCGCCAACGCCTCGGCCTGGCTGCCCCGCCTGCCTGCCCAACTGGAGGGTGCTCGGGCCTGCCCTGCCTGTGCCCTGCGGCTGCTTGTGGCCACGGAGCGGTTCACTGTGCTGCTGGGTCTCAGGCCGAACCCTGGGCTGCAGCTGCCTGGGCACTATGAGGTCCGGGCTGAGGTGGACAATGGCGTGTCCAGGCACAGCCTGTCCTGCAGCTTCAACGTGGTCTCCCCGGTGGCTGGGCTGCGGGTCATCGCCCCTGCCCCCCATGATGGCCGCCTTTACGTGCCCACCAATGGCTCAGCCTTGGTGCTCCAGCTGGATTCTGGTGCCAATGCCACGGCTACGGCTCGCTGGGCTGGGGGCAATGTCAGCGCCCGCTTTGAGGCCACCTGCCCTGCCCTGGTAGCCACCCTTGTGCCCAGCTGCCCCTGGGAGACCAACGATACCCTGTTCTCAGTGATAGCGCTGCCATGGCTGAGTGAGGGGGAGCATGTGCTGGAGGTCGTTGCGGAAAATAGCGCCAGCCGGGCCAATCTCAGCCTGCAGGTGATGGCGGAGGAGCCCATCTGTGGCCTCCGAGCTATGCCCAGCCCCGAGGCCCGTGTGCTGCAGGGAGTTCTAGTGGTGAGTACAGCGGAGGCTCCGCCGCCTGTTCCAGGCAGCGCCCCCAGACGGGTGCTCACAGCGCGAGGCCTGGCTTCCCAATGGGGGCGGCAGCTCAGTTACTGGGGACATTGGTTCCAGAAGTCCTGCTGGCCATCGACTCAGACTACTTGGTGGCTCTAAATTCTTAGAAAGTTGCAGCTCCAACAGCAGTTCCGCTTGTGCATTCTGCTGTCCGTGAAACAAGTCTAAAACTCTGCCTTCCAACCCCTTATGAACTCCATGAGTCTCTCGCACCCTCTGTGGTGTTCTCGCCTGGCTGAAGCGAGGGGCTTTTGAGGTGGAGTCTGAACCCCTGATGGCAAACTGTTGGCTGTCTGCGGTGCCACCATTCTGGGTACATGGGGAACAGAGTTGTCTCTGTCCTGGGGGTAACTGTCTCTGCACTAGGGGCCTTGGGAGGGGCCATTTCTGATGGCCCCGGCATGACCTGTGCAGCCTGTCCCAGGCTTCCTCTGCTGAACCTGTTCTGGTCAGCTGATGTGGGTCCCGTCGCTGGGAGGCCTGTGTGCCTCCCTCACCGTGCCGAGCTCTCTGGCTGAGGAGCTTGGGTAGGAGCTCTGGGCAGGTTTGAGAGGCTCAGAGAGAGGTGGACTCTTTGTAACTGGTACTAGGTCTGCTTTACAGATGGGGAAGCTGAGGCACAGAGAGCTTGAGGCATAACTAGTGCTACCTGGCTGGAGGCTGGAGAGCTGGACACTCAGTGCCCCAGTCTGGACTTGGCTCCTGTGGCATGTGGCTCCCCGAGCCCCGGCCACCTTCCCTCTATGCCCTGCATGGGACTCTCCAGCCCGATGGGAGGTGTGTCCAGGAGGTGACAGGCTGAGGGCAGAGTAGTTTCCCACAGAGCCTGGACTGACACCAGTACCCCCCGCAGAGGTACAGCCCAGTGGTGGATGCCGGCTCGGATGTGGTCTTCCGGTGGACCATCAACGACAAGCAGTCCCTGACCTTCCAGAACATAGTCTTCAATGTCATTTATCAGAGTTCGGCGGTCTTCAAGCTCTCAGTAGGTCGGCGGGGGGCTGGGAGGGGAGGGGATGGAGTGGGGTGAGAGGGAATGGGTGGGGTGAGTGGGTGGGATGGGGGGTCGAGGGGGCAGGGGGAGGAGAAGAGGGCGGGCTCCTCAGTCACCTCTGCCTTCCCTCTGCTTCATGCTGCCAAAGATGCTGTGGCGGCTGTGGGTGGGTGCGGGAAGAGGCGCCAAGCTGGGCTGGGCCTCCCACCCACTGCTGGTGCCCACTGATGCCTGTCCCCACAGCTGACAGCCTCCAACCATGTGAGCAATGTCACCGTGAACTACAATGTCACCGTGGAGCGGATGAACAGGATGCAGGGCCTGCAGGTCTCCACGGTGCCGGCCGTGCTGTCCCCTGACGCCTCACTGCTGCTGACGGCGGGCGTGCTGGTAGACTCGGCTGTGGAGGTGGCCTTCCTGTGAGTGCCTTGGGGGCCTGTCAGGGGCGGGCACCAGGCTCTCCCAGCTCCAGCCATGGGACCCCACAGCAAGGGGCCATTTTTCTAAGCCTCAGTTTCCTTGTCTGTTGGGAGGTCCTGGGTTCACAGGAGCCCTTGAGGCTGCATAGGAGCTGGGAGAGGCCCCACAGCACAGTGGGTGCACCCTGAACGGAGGGCCAGGGCGTGACTGTAGGGTGGAGCCTCAGCTGGGACTCTGGCACCCCCTGCCCCACAGGCACAGCCAGCCCCATTCACCTGCCCGCCACCACACCCTGTCCTGGTCCACTCACTGCCTGCCCACTGCCCTGGCAGGTGGACCTTTGGGGACGGGGAGCAGGCCCTCGGCCACTTCCAGCCTCCGTACGATGAGTCCTTCCCGGTTCCAGACCCTTCAGTGGCCCAGGTGCTGGTGGAGCACAACGTCACGCATACCTACACTGCCCCAGGTGAGGGGCTGAAGGGGTGAGGGGGCCTCTGCCCTTCAGGCCGTGAGCACAGGGCTCCCCAATCTGCCAGAGTCAGCCTGCCTCCTTCCCCGCCAATAGCCCTCACTATAGCCCCACCTGGGCTGATGGCTTTGGCCCTGGCTGGGGTGAGGGAGGGGCTAGATGGAGGTGGGGAGTGGACAGGGAAGCTGAGCTCTCTGGACTCCCTGGCCTGGCTCTGGCTGCTCTGCTGCCCCGAGTGCAGCTGCACTTGGAGGTGGTGCCATCCTCACCTGCTGGCCCTTAGTGCCGAAGCAGCTGTGCTTCGTCTGGCATGTAGCCTGGGAGCGAGGACCCTCAGGGCTGGGCCATAGGTGCACCATTCACCCCTGGGCTCCTCAGTCAGGGGCTTCTGTTGAGCGGTTGGGGAGCAGGTGGGGTTGCCACTGTTGCCCACTTGGGCCTGTCCCCACAGGTGAGTACATCCTGACTGTGTTGGCATCCAACGCCTTTGAGAACCTGACGAAGCAGGTGCCTGTGAGCGTGCGTTCTGTCCTGCCCTCGGTGGCTGTGGGCATGAGTGACAGTGTCCTGGTGGCCGGCCGGCCCGTCACCTTCTACCCACACCCGCTGCCTGCGCCCGGCGGTGTCCTGTACATATGGGACTTCGGGGACGGCTCCCCAGTCCTGATGCAGAGCCAGCCGGCCACCAACCACACCTACACCTCAAGGGGCACCTACCGTGTACGCCTGGAGGTCAACAACACAGTGAGCAGCGCGGTGGCCCAAGCAGACTTGCGCGTCTTTGAGGAGCTCCGTGGGCTCAGCGTGGACATGAGCCTGGCCGTGGAGCAGGGCGCCCCCGTGGTGGTCCGCGCCGCGGTAGAGACAGGCGACAACGTCACATGGACTTTTGACATGGGGGACGGCACCGTGCTGTCGGGCCCTGAGGCCACCGTTGAGCATGTGTACCTGCAGGCACAGAACTGCACGGTGACTGTGGGCGCGGCTAGCCCCGCTGGCCGCCTGGCTCAGAGCCTGCACGTGCTGGTCTTCGTCCTAGAGGTGCTGCGCATCGAACCTGCCACCTGCATCCCAACACAGCCCGACGCGCGGCTCAAGGCCTATGTTACTGGGGACCCAGCCCACTACCTCTTTGACTGGACCTTTGGGGATGGTTCCTCTAACAGGACTGTGCAGGGGTGCCCGGAGGTGACACACAACTTCACGCAGAGCGGCACATTCCCCCTGGCACTTGTACTGTCGAGCCGCGTGAACAAGGCACATTACTTCACCAGCATCTGCGTGGAGCCCGAGGTGGGCAACGTCACCCTTCGGCCAGAGAAACAGTTCCTGCAGCTGGGGGTTGCGGCCCGGCTGGTGGCGTGCGTCTGGCCCCCATTCCCCTACCACTATGCCTGGGACTTTGGCACTGAGGAAGCCACCTCTGCCCGCGCTGCGGGCCCTAGGGTGACCTTCACCTACCGAGACCCAGGCTCCTATCTGGTGACAGTCACCGTGTCCAACAACGTCTCTGCTGCCAACGACTCGGCCCTGGTGGAGGTGCAGGAGCCTGTGGTGGTCACAGACATCGAGGTCAATGGCTCCCTCGTGCTGGAGCTGCAGCAGCCGTACCTGTTCTCTGCTGTGGGCCGCGGGCGACCTGCTAGCTACCTGTGGGATCTGGGGGACGGTGGACAGCTGGAGGGTCCTGAGGTCACCCACACTTACAACAGCACTGGCGACTTCACTGTCAGAGTGGCTGGCTGGAATGAGGTGAGCCGCAGCGAGGCCTGGCTCAACGTGACGGTGAAGCGGCGAGTACGGGGGCTTGTCATCAACGCCAGCCGCACGGTGGTGCCCCTGAACGGGAGCGTGAGCTTCAGCACCTTGCTGGAGGCGGGCAGTGATGTGCGCTACTCCTGGGTACTCTGTGACCGCTGCACACCCATCCCTGGGGGCCCTACCATGTCCTACACCTTCCGTTCAGTGGGCACCTTCAATGTGATTGTCACAGCTGAGAACGAGGTGGGCTCTGCCCAGGACAGCATCTTCATCTATGTCCTGCAGCTCATCGAGGGGCTGCAGGTGGTGGGTGGTGGTGGCTACTTCCCCACCAACCACACAGTGCAGCTGCAGGCCGTGGTCCGGGATGGCACCAACATTTCCTACAGCTGGGCTGCCCAGCGGGAGGGGGGCCCGGCCCTGGCCGGCAGCGGCAGAGCCTTCTCACTCACCACGCTTGAGGCTAGCACCTACCACGTGCAGCTGCGGGCCACCAACATGCTGGGCAGCGCCTGGGCTGACTGTACTGTGGTCTTCGTGGAACCCGTGGGGTGGCTGATGGTGGCCGCTTCCCCGAACCCAGCTGCCATCAACATGAGTGTCACCCTCAGTGCCGAGTTGGCTGGCGGCAGTAGTGTTTTATACACTTGGTCCTTGGAGGAGGGACTGAGCTGGGAGACCCCTGAGCCGTTTACCACCCACAGTTTCCCCATGCCTGGCTTGCATTTGGTCACCGTCACAGCAGGGAACCCGCTAGGCTCGGCCAACGCCACCATGGAAGTGGCCGTGCAGGTGCCTGTGAGTGGCCTCAGCATCAGGGCCAGCGAGCCAAGTGGCAGCTTCGTGGCAGCCGGCTCCTCTGTGCCCTTCTGGGGGCAGCTGGCCACGGGCACTGATGTGAGCTGGTGCTGGGCTGTGCCCGGTGGCGGCAGCAAGTACGGCCCGCATGTCACCATGGTCTTCCCCGAGGCTGGTGCCTTCTCCCTTCGGCTCAACGCCTCCAACGCAATCAGCTGGGTCTCAGCCACACACAATCTTACAGTGGAGGAGCCCGTCGTGGGCCTGGTGCTGTGGGCCAGCAGCAAGGTGGTGGCGCCTGGGCAGCTCGTCCACTTTCAGATACTGCTGGCTGCCGGGTCAGCCGTCACTTTCCGCCTGCAGGTGGGTGGGGCCGGCCCCGAGGTGCTCTCTGGGCCCCGTTTCTCCCGCAGCTTCCCCCACGTTGGAGACCACGTGGTAAGTGTGCAGGGCGAGAACCATGTGAGCTGGGCCCAGGCTCAGGTGCGCATCGTGGTGTTGGAGGCTGTGAGTGGGCTGCAGGTGCCCAACTGCTGCGAGCAGGGTATTGCCACGGGCACTGAGCGGAACTTCACAGCCCGTGTGCAGCGCGGCTCTCGGGTCGCCTACGCCTGGTACTTCTCGCTGCAGAAGGTCCAGGGCGACTCACTGGTCATCCTTTCGGGCCGTGACGTCACCTACACGCCTGTGGCCGCAGGGCTGCTGGAGATCCAGGTGCGCGCCTTTAATGCCCTGGGCAGCGAGAACCGCACACTGGTGCTGGAGGTCCAGGATACCATCCAGTATGTGGCCCTGCGGAGCAGCCCCTGCTTCACCAACCGCTCAGCACAGTTTGAGGCCACCACCAGCCCCAGCCCCCGGCGTGTGGCATACCACTGGGACTTTGGGGATGGGGCCCCAGGATGGGACACAGATGAGCCCAGGGCTGAGCACACCTACCTGAGGCCCGGGGACTACCGTGTGCAGGTGAATGCCTCCAACCTGGTGAGCTTCTTCATGGCGCAGGCCACGGTGACTGTCCAGGTGCTGGCCTGCCGAGAGCCAGAGGTGGACCTGGCCCTGCCCCTGCAGGTGCTGATGCGGCGTTCCCAGCGCAACTACCTGGAGGCCCATGTTGACCTGCGTGACTGTGTCACCTACCAGACAGAGTACCGCTGGGAGGTGTACCGCACTGCCAGCTGCCAGCGGCCTGGGCGTATAGCTCGCATGGCCCTGCCTGGCGTGGACGTGAGTCGGCCTCAGCTGGTGCTGCCGCGGCTGGCACTGCCCGTGGGCCACTACTGCTTCGTGTTTGTCGTGTCATTTGGGGACACGCCGCTGGCACGGAGCATCCAGGCCAACGTGACAGTGGCCCCCGAGCGCTTGGTGCCCATTGTTGAGGGTGGCTCGTATCGTGTGTGGTCGGATACACAGGACCTGGTGCTGGATGGGAGTGAGTCCTATGATCCTAACCTAGAGGATGGCGACCAGACACCCCTCAGCTTCCACTGGGCCTGCGTGGCTTCAACACAGGTCAGCGGGTGCGGGGCTGTTCTCCCTGCTACCTCCTCCGCCTGTAACCCCAAGGCTGGGAAACACCCAGCACGCCACTAGGGTTGGCCTGTCCCAGCATGGGGAGGGAGTCTCCCGAGCCGTGCCCTGGTCTGGGCTCCACTTTGAGGCTGGGTGGGACTCTCATGCCACAGGACCCCTTGTTCTCGGCCTGCAGAGGGAGGCTGGCGGGTGTGCATTGAACTTTGGGCCCCGAGGAAGCAGCATGGTCACCATTCCCCGGGAGCGGCTGACAGCTGGCGTGGAGTATACCTTCAGTCTGACTGTGTGGAAAGCTGGCCGCAAGGAGGAGGCCACCAACCAGACGGTGGGTGCTGCCCGCCCCTTGGCCACACTCCTGGCAGCCCAGCACCCCTGCTCATCAATTGTTTTCTGTATTTTAGTGCTTGCAGAGGCTGTGCGCTCTCGCCCAACTTTCTGTTGTTTCGGTACAAATTGTATTTCACAAAACAGCCTGCTTCAGCTTTGCTCCCTTCCAAACCTGCCCCAGCGCCATGTAAAATCTTCAAGCCACACAGTCTCCCAACAACACCAACAGTGAGAAACAGCCTCTTCCCACCCTGGAGGCTGCCACTGTCCCGAGCCTGTGCCCCTGTTCCTGGATGCAGTGGGCCGGTTCTCACCCCCGAGATCCCCTCTCGGGACGGCCAGGAGGCTCGCTGACCCTGAGCTTGTGGTGGCTGCTCCTGCTGCTGTCAGGCAAGACCTGCTGGTGCCCCCAGAGCGAGTGTCTGTCTCCCAGGCCCTACTTTCCTCAGCTGGCCTGATCTTGGTCCTGCCCAGAGGGCTTGGCTGTGGGGAGGGCATGGGAGCATGTTCCATTCTGGCTCAACCTCCTGACCCAGGCCCTGGACCAGGGCTGCACCTGAGAGTCAGGACCACAGGGTCCTCATGCCCACATGTATATCTGTTCACACATGTCCCTCAGCACCACCGCCTGCTTCCTGCCAGGCTCCAGCTGGGTGCAAGACACCTGAACGCACACCCCGGGGTCCTCCACCCTGTGGATGAGCTTCAGCCACCTACATTGGGAGGTGGAAAACCGGACGACTATGCCAGCAGGGGCTGAGCTCACCAGCAGCAGCCAGTCCCCCAGGAATCCTGGAATTTGGGAGCAGCATCTTACATGGGTCCCCCAAATCTTCCAGCATGCTGTGCCGACGTGGGCTGGAGGTAATCCCGCTCCCTCCCTAGGTGCTAATCCGGAGCGGCCGGGTGCCCATTGTGTCCTTGGAGTGTGTGTCCTGCAAGGCACAGGCTGTGTACGAAGTGAGCCGCAGCTCCTACGTGTACCTGGAGGGCCGCTGCCTCAACTGCAGCAGCGGCTCCAAGCAAGGGGTGAGCACAGAAAGGGGTGTGGGTCCCATGGCCCAGCAGTGGAGCCTGCAGGCAGAAGTGGTGCTGGCAGGGCAGAGTGTACCACCCCCTTACCACCCCTCCTGCCTGCAGCGCTGGGCGGCACGCACCTTCAGCAACAAGACACTGGTGCTGGACGAGACCACCACGTCCACAGGCAGTGCAGGCATGCAGCTGGTGCTGCGGCGGGGCGTGCTGCGTGATGGCGAGGGCTACACCTTCACGCTCACGGTGCTAGGCCACTCGGGTGAGGAGGAGGGCTGTGCCTCCATCCGCCTGTCCCCCAACCGACCACCTCTGGGGGGCTCGTGCCGCCTCTTTCCCCTGGGCGCTGTGCACGCCCTCACCACCAAGGTGTACTTCGAATGCTCAGGTGAGTGTGGGCCTGCGTGGGGGTTGCGGCGGGAGCTCCCCACTCGGTGACACCTCGGGGCCCTTCCGTGATGCCGTGGGGTCCTGCAGGCTGGCAGGATGCGGAGGACTCCAGTGCCCCCCTGGTGTATGCCCTGCTGCTGCGGCGCTGTCGCCAGGGCCACTGTGAGGAGTTTTGTGTCTACAAGGGCAGCCTCTCCAGCTATGGGGCTGTGCTGCCTCCGGGTTTCAGGCCACACTTCGAGGTGGGCCTGGCTGTGGTGGTGCAGGACCAGCTTGGAGCCGCTGTGGTCGCCCTCAACAGGTGAGCCAGGCCTTGGGAGGGTGCCCCCAAGACTGCCGGCTGCTCACTGTCCCCCTCCACTCACCACCACCTTCTAATCACAGGTCTCTGGCCATCGTCCTTCCAGAGCCCAACAGCAGCGCGGCGGGGCTTACGGCCTGGCTGCACGGGCTCACGGCCAGCGTGCTCCCGGGACTGCTGCGGCAGGCTGACCCCCAGCATGTCATTGAGTACTCGCTGGCCCTGGTCACCGTGCTGAACGAGGCGAGTGCAGGCGGGGAGGGGACTGCACGTCTGTTGCACGCATGCTGGGGGACTGAGACCCATACTTTCTGGAATCTTGCGGAGGGCTCACCCCGGGTCCCACAGGCAAATCTCAGTGACCTTGAAGCGGCACCCTTTGCTCCCAGCAGCCACACCTGCCAGGCCCTCCCCAGTGCCTGCTTCCCAGTGCCTCCTGCTCCCAGGAGGGCCCCTGTGTGTGCCCTGTTTTGCCCACAAAGAAACAGCTCAGGGTCTCAGGTCGTTCCACGTCATGCAGCATCCACTGTGTAACTAAACCCCAGGAGTCGTGGGTAGCTACCAGTCTCCTTCCCTGGTGAGAGCGCCCTGTGCCCCCGCCTTCCCCAGTACGAGCAGGCCCCGGACACGGCAGCAGAGCCCGAACATGAGCGGCAGCGCCGAGCTCAGATACGCAAGAACATCACAGAGACCCTGGTGTCCCTGCGGGTCCACACCGTGGATGACATTCAGCAGATCGCCGCTGCACTGGCCCAGTGCATGGTAGGACGGCCCCACATGCCTGCCTGGGCACTGGGTCCAGCCTCCGCGGTGGACAGGCAGCTTGGCCAAGGAGCTGAGCCTCCCAGCCTGGGCTCCTTTCCACCGTGGCCCTCGGCCTCTGACCTGCCTTGGCAGCCTTAGCCGTTCTCCTGCTGTCGCTCGTGAACCCAGGGTGCCTCTGGGGGACTCGGGTCAAAGAGGGGCCAGATATAGGGAGGGGCTGGGAAGATGCTGCTCTGTCCACTCCCTTCCCCCACCCCCAGCATTTCCCTGGCACACTCGCAGTTTCTCTCCCCTGAGGCGCCTGCTGCCACAGCCCAGGCTCGTGTGGGCAGGGTACATCTAATGGGGGCACTGTGCCTGCATGGCAGGGGGCTGATTTGAGACTGGGGCAGGGCAGAGCCCTGGGAGGAGAAGTGTGAAGAGGGCTTTGCAGCTGGAGCTACCCTGCTGCCCTGTGGCATCCCTGGCTGTGCTGTGGCTGGGTCTGGATGCTATCCATGGCCTTGGCAGCTGCCTCACTCTCATTTGTGTGAAAAGGTGCCCTGTGTGGTTGGTGGGCCTTGTCACATGAGCCCAGGTGGAGACCCTGGGTCAGGGAGGCTGTGGGGGTCCAGTCTGGCAGGCTCTCTAGCTGTAGGTCCAGGGGCAGGAGCTGGGTGAGGACACTCGTGGAGAGGAGGATGTGTACAGGGAGCACTTGCGGCTGCACCCAGGAGTGGAGCTGGACACTGTCGGCTCCTCGCAGGGGCCCAGCAGGGAGCTCGTGTGCCGCTCGTGCCTGAAGCAGACACTGCACAAGCTGGAGGCTATGATGCGGATCTTGCAGGCGGAGACCACCGCAGGCACTGTGACCCCCACAGCCATTGGAGACAGCATTCTCAACATCACAGGTGTGCAGCCCGAGCCCCCCATCATCCTTCCACCCCACATCATCCTTCTGCCCCCCCCATCATCCTTCTGCCCCCCCATCATCCTTCCGCCCCCCGATCATCCTTCCGCCCCCCGATCATCCTTCTGCCCCCCATCATCCTTCCGGCCCCATCATCCTCCGCCCCCCCATCATCCTTCCGCCCCCCCATCATCCTTCCGCCCCCCCATCATCCTTCCGGCCCCATCATCCTTCCGGCCCCCATCATCCTTCCGCCCCCCCATCATCCTTCCGGCCCCATCATCCTTCCGGCCCCATCATCCTTCCGCCCCCCCATCTTCTGCCTTCTCCCCTCCCCATCCCCCTCCTCTCTCCCTCCCCCTCTTCCTCCGTTCCTTTTCCCTTCCCCTCCCGCTCCCCTTTACCTCCCCCATCTCTGCCCCCTCCTGTCCCCCTCCCCTTCCCTTCTCCCTCCCCTTCCCTTCCTCCCCCCCCTCCCTCCCCCCTTCCCCTTCCTTTCTCCTCCCTCTCCTTCCCCTTCCTTTCTCCTCCCTCTCCTTCTCCCTCCACCCTCTCCTCCCCCTCCACCCTCTCCTCTCCTCCCCTCCCCTCCCCCATCCCTCCCCTCCCCTCTCCTCCCATCCCTCCCCCTCCTACCCTCCCTTCTCCTCTCCCCTTCCCTCCCTCCCCTCTCCTCCCCTTTTTCCCTTCCCTCCCTCCCTTTCTCCCTCCCTCCCTTCTCTCCCTTTCCTCTCCTCCCTTCCCCCCTTCCCTCTTCCTCCCTTCCCCCTTCCCTCTCCTCCCTCCCCCTTCCCTCTCTTCCTTTCCCCCTTCCCTCTCCTCCCTTCCACCTGCCTCCATCCTTCCCTCCCTCCCTTGCTTCCCACCTCTTCTCCTTCTTCTGCTTCCCACCTCCCTATTCCCCCTTACCCCTCCTTCCCTTCTCCCTCCCCCCTTCTCCTCCCCTCCCCTTCTCCTCCTCTCCCTCTCATCTTCCCCCTCCCCTTCCCTTCCCCTCCCTTTCCACCTTTCCCACTCCCCTTCCCCTACCCCTTCTCCCTCCCCCGTTCTCCTCCCATCCCCTCCCCTCCTCCTTTTCCTTCTCTCCTTCTTTTCTTCTACCTCCCTTTTCCCCTTCTCTCCCTCATTCCCCCTCCCCACTTCCTCCCCCATTCCCCCTCCCCCACTTCCTCCCCCATTCCCTCCCCCATTCCCCCTCCCCCACTTCCTCCCCCACTTCCTTCCCTTCCTGTCTCTCTCATCTCCCCTCCTCCCTCCTCCCTCTTCCCCTACTTCCTCCTCCTCCTTCCCCCTGCTCCTTCCTCTCCCCTTGTTCTCTCTCCACCTCACCCTTGCCCCATTCCCCATTTTCATTCTCATTCCTTTCCTTACTCCCATTCCTTTTTTCTATCTCTATCCCCCTCCCCTTCTCCATTCCTCCCCCTCATCCCTCTTCTTCCTTCATCCCTCCCATTTCCCCTCATCCCCTTCCCCATCCCCTCCGCCACCTGTTCCTCCCCTTCCCTCCCCTCCCTCTTCCCTTCTCATCCCCCTCCTTCTCCCCTCACCTCCTCCCCATCCCCCTTCTTTCCTCATCCCCCATCCCTCTCATCCCCCTTCCTCTCACCATCTCTATCCCCCTCTGTCCCCTCCTCATCCCTCCTCTTCTCCCCCTCCTCGTCCCCCTCCCTCTCCTTGTGCCTCTCCTCTTCTCATCCCCCTCCTTCTCTCCAGCTTCCCCCTTCCTTCTGCCTGCATCTTCCCCACCAACCCCCTCAGGTTCCCCTTTTCTGCCAGCCCCCACCCTCCCTCTGCGTCCTCCTTTCTCCCAGCCCCCACCCTTCCTCTGCCTCCCCTTGTCCCTGCACTGACCTCACGCCTGTCTGCAGGTGACCTCATCCACCTGGCCAGCTCCGATGTGCAGGGGCCGCAGCCCTCGGAGCTGGGGGCCGAGCCGCCATCAAGGATGGTGGCATCCCGGGCCTACAACCTGACCTCTGCCCTCATGCGCATCCTCATGCGCTCCCGAGTCCTCAATGAGGAGCCCCTGACACTGGCGGGTGAGGAGATTGTGGCCCAGGGCAAGCGCTCAGACCCTGGGAGCCTGCTGTGCTATGGCAGTGCCCCAGGCCCCGGCTGCCACTTCTCCATCCCCGAGGCTTTCAGCGGGGCCCTGTCCAACCTCAGCGATGTGGTGCAGCTCATCTTCCTGGTGGACTCCAACCCCTTTCCCTTCGGTTACATCAGCAACTACACTGTCTCTACGAAGGTGGCCTCCATGGCGTTCCAGACACAGGCCGGCACCCAGATCCCCATTGAGCGGCTAGCCTCGGAGCGTGCCATCACTGTCAAGGTGCCCAACAACTCAGACTGGGCCGCCCTTGGCCACCACAGCCCTGCCCACTCTGTCGTGGTCCAGCCTCAGACCTCTGTCGGCGCCGTGGTCACCCTGGACAGCAGCAACCCTGCGGCCGGACTGCACCTGCAGCTCAACTACACGCTGTTGGATGGTGCGTGCAGTGGGTGGGGCACACGCTCTGGGGCCTCGTTCCTGGGGGACGGTGTTTCTCGTAGGGACTCCATGAGTGTTTCTGGTGAAGTCCGCCTTCTGCTTCATGGGCTGCTGGAGGCCTGGCGGTAGAGAAGTTGGGGTCCATGGAGAAGCCAGTGCCGGCTCCAGCGCAGAGGCTCCTGTGGCTTCTCAGGCCTGTGGCAGAGGGCAGGCTCAGGAGGGCTACTGTGGGTGTCTCTGGGTGGGTGAGCTTCCTAGCGGGCATCTGACCTGTGCATGCTGCCCCCAGGTCGCTACCTTTCTGAGGAACCCGAGCCCTACCTGGCAGTCTACTTGCACTCGGAACCCCGGCCCAACCAGCACAACTGCTCGGCCAGCAGGAAGATCCGGCCCGAGTCACTGGAGGGAACCGACCACAGGCCCTACACCTTCTTCATTGCCCCGGGGTGAGCTCCGAGGGTCGGCCTGGCAGGACGGGGAGGGGTGGTGCACCGTGGGTCAGCATGGCCTGGGTCATTAGCCCTGTGGGGACACCAGGCAGCGAGGGGACTGGGGACTGGGCCAGGCATGGGGTCTGGGACCCAGATACCCACCCTGGCAGGGTCCAAGCTTACCTCGACTGCCCCTTCCCTGCCCAGGAATGGAGACCCAGCGGGGAGTTACTATCTGAACCTCACCAGCCACTTCCACTGGTCGGTGCTGGAGGTGTCTGTGGGCCTGTACACGTCCCTGTGCCAGTACTTCAGCGAGGAAGACATGGCATGGAGGACAGAGGGGCTGCTGCCCCTAGAGGAGACCTCACCCCAGCAGGCCGTCTGCCTCACCCGCCATCTCACTGCCTTTGGTGCCAGCCTCTTCGTGCCCCCAAGCCGTGTCCACTTCATGCCTCCCGTGAGTGGCCCCATGTGCCTGGGAGATTTTGCAGGGTGGAGGATGGCCTGGGTGGGCTCGGCTCTGTCCTGAGAAGGTGCAGCTTGCATGTGACCTCCTGGGCCTGGTGGCTGTATCCTCACAGGAGCCAACAGTGGGCGTAAACTACATTGTCCTGCTGACATGCACCGTGTGCCTGGTGACCTACGCAGTCATGGCTGCCATCCTTCACAAGCTGGACCAGCTGGACGCCAGCCGGGGCCGAGCCATCCCCTTCTGCGGGCAGCGGGGCCGCTTTAAGTACGAGATTCTCGTCAAGACAGGCTGGGGCCGAGGCTCAGGTGAGGGGACGTGGCAGGGCGGCGTGGCCTCCGTACTCTTGCTGGCCCTGCGGGTTGCACTCTCTGGAAGTGAGTCTTGCTGCAGTCATCAGAACAAGGCAGCTTCTCCAGTGCCGTGCAAAGGGCTCATTTGTAAATCCTGGGAATGACCTCGTGGGCACTCACTGTCCCTGAGGACTAGGAGAGCTCCTAGCTGGAAGTAGGTGCCCACTTGGTCAGGGTGGGCAGCCTGTGTTTTGCACGTTAGTGTGGTCCCACAAGTCACTGAGCTTAGCCTGTGCAGAGGGGAGCGTCGTGACCAGTGCGGGAGACTGTGCTCCCCCCCGCAATCCTGGCATAGCTCGCCTCTCACACGGAGACGACGTCACCCTCCCCAGGGCTGGCTGTTTCTTTTTCTCCTCCTTTGTTCTGACACTGACACTTGCTCTGTTGCTCAGGCCGGAGTACCGTGTCGCAGTCTCGGCTCACTGCAGCCTTTGCCTCCCGGGTTTAAGCAACTCTTCTGCTTCAGCCTCCCGAGTAGCTGGGACCACAGGCACGCGACACCACCCCCAGCTAATCTTTGTATTTTTAGGAGAGACACAGCTCCATCGTGTTGGCAAGGCTGGTCTCAAACTCCTGACCTCAGGTGATCTGCCGATCTTGGCCTCCCAAAGTGCTGGGATTACAGGCGTGAGCCACCCCACTCTGCTCCCATAGTGTTTTAGCAATAACTCCACTTCTGTTCCGTTGGAATTGCCCTTCCAGCGTTCCCTAATTTTTTCTTTTTTTTTTTTTTTTTTTTGCCTACGGGAGTCTTGCTCTGTGGCCCAGGCTGGAGTGCAGTGGTGCAGTCTCAGCTCATTGCAGTCTCCGCCTCCTGGGTTCAAGTGATTCCCCTGCCTCAGCCTCGTGACTAGCTGGTGCATGCCACCACGCCTGGCTAATTTTTCATTATGTTGGCCAGGGTGGTCTCAAACTCCTGACCTCAGGTGATCCGCCTGCCTCAGCCTCCCCAGGTGCTGGGATGACAGGCGTGAGCCACTGTCCCTAGCCATGTCCCCATTTTTTATCTTCGTGCTGTGCCTTCATCTTCATTGGCCAGTTCTTGTTTTTGATTACCTACTTTTAAAAACTGTCACCTCGGTCTGTCAATGGGAGAGAAAGGGACGTGGCTTCACGCTTTGCAGTCTGCATGCACTGAAGGACAGTGTGTGGTGCGGGTCGCTGGTTGTGACGTGGACTGAGGCATGTGCAGGTATCACACAGTTATCTCTGTCACTCAACCATGTCCTTGTAGCTTTGGTGTTTATTGGAAAGATTGGGGTAACCGCAGCCCCTGGTTTGGCAGAGCTGTGCGAAGCTGGGACTGCCTGTGCAGCTCCTTGAGCGCACGGAGGCCGAAGCTGAGACAAGTGGCCTGCGACGCCACCGTGTTGGGGAGCAGACCCAGCCTTCCACGCCTCCCTCTCGTTCACAGGCACCACAGCCCATGTGGGCATCATGCTCTATGGGGTGGACAGCCAGAGCGGCCACCGGCACCTGGATGGCGACAGAGCCTTCCACCGCAACAGCCTGGACATCTTCCAGATCGCCACCCTGCACAGCCTGGGCAGCGTGTGGAAGATCCGAGTGTGGCATGACAACAAAGGTCTGTGTGGACCCTGCTGACCTCTGCCCCCTCCTGACCTCTGCCCTTCCTCACCTCCGCGCCCCTCTTCACCTCCGCCCCCCTCCTCACCTCCACCCCCTCTTCACCTCTGTCTGCCCCCTGCCGCTGCCTCGGGCGCCGTTGGGCCTGACCTCGCTCCTGTGCTTCCGTAGGGCTCAGCCCCGCCTGGTTCCTGCAGCACGTCATCGTTAGGGACCTGCAGACAGCCCGCAGTGCCTTCTTCTTGGTCAATGACTGGTTGTCGGTGGAGACGGAGGCCAATGGGGGCCTGGTGGAGAAGGAGGTGCTGGCAGCAAGTAAGGCCTTATTTCCTGCTGTGTGGGCAGGTGGGAGGATGGGCTGGGGGATCCTGCCCCAAGGCCTCCCGCAGCTCTGCCCTCCCTGCGCCCTAGGTGACATGGCTCTGTGGAGCTTCCGGCGCCTGCTGGTGGCTGAGCTGCAGCGAGGCTTCTTCGACAAGCACATCTGGCTCTCCATATGGGACCGGCCACCTCGAAGCCGCTTCACCCGCATCCAGAGGGCCACCTGCTGCGTCCTTCTCATCTGCCTCTTCCTGGGCGCCAATGCCGTGTGGTACGGGACTGTGGGAGACTCAGCCTACAGGTGGGTGCCGTGGGGGTTGGGACAGCCTCTTCCTGTCCATCGCTTTCTGTCCCTCAGCCTCACCTGTTTGGCCTCCTCCTCCACACAGCACGGGTCATGTGTCCAGGCTGAGCCCGCTGAGCGTCGACACAGTCGCCATTGGCCTGGTGTCCAGTGTGGTTGTCTATCCCATCTACCTGGCTGTCCTCTTTCTCTTCCGGATGTCCCGGAGCAAGGTGGGCTGGGGCTGGGGACCTGGGAGGACAGGCGATGGAGCCTGGGCCTCAGCACCATGCCCAGGGCACTGTTTAGCTCCTCAGCCAGAGGGAAAGGGGCCCACCAAAGGTGGGCTCTCAGGGAGGGTCAGCACAGTTGAGCAGCCTTAGACTGACCAGGGAGAAAGAGAAAACTTAGATGCCAGAATATTCTGTGAAAGGAAAGAGCACATTGCTGCCAACCCTGCAGACATTAACAGGACTTTAGGGATGCCACAGACACCTGCCCACAGCACATCAGATAACTTAGAAGAAGCGAGCACGTGGCTGCACACGCTCCTGAAACTGACTCAAGAAGAAAATCTCAGTACATCTTACAGCAAGTGAAGAGTCTGACCAAGTTAGTCCCTTAGAAACCCCCACAGGGCAGCCGGCATGGTGGCTCACGCCTGTAATCCCAGCACTTGGGGAGGCTGAGGCGGGCAGATCACGAGATCAGGAGATTGAGACCATCCTGGCCAACATGGTGAAACCCCGTCTCTACTAAAAATACAACAATTAGCCAGGTGTGCTGGGCGCCTGGCTACTTGGGAGGCTGAGGCAGGAGAATTGCTTGAACCCAGGAGGTGGAGGATGCAGTGAGGCAAGATCGCACCACTGCACTCCAGCCTCAGGAACAGAGTGATATTCTGTCTCAAAAATAAATAAATAAAGGAAATGAAATTCCAAGCTCAGTTCCTTAGCTGCACCAGTCACCTGTCAAGTGCTCAGTGGCACACCTGAGGGGCTGCCGTCACGGACAGTGCAGATGTCACACACCACTACCACTCTAGAGTGTTCTGTTTGATGGCACCAGGCTCTGTCCTGTCCGCTGAGGTGACTTCTCATGCCTGTCCTGAGCAGGTCTGAGCTGCCGCCTGCTGACCACTGCCCTTGTCCGCAGGTGGCTGTGGGCCCAAGCCCCACACCCGCCGGGCAGCAGATGCTGGACATCGACAGCTGCCTGGGCTCATCTGTGCTGGACAGCTCCTTCCTCACATTCTCGGGCCTCCACGCTGAGGTGAGCGCTCTGCCGAGGGTCCCAGTCTGGGCTGAGGGTCCTGCCGCCTCGGGGCAACTCGGACTCAGACACTGCACTTCTTAGCAGGCCTTTGCTGGACAGATGAAGAGTGACTTATTTCTGGATGATTCTAAGAGGTGGGTTCCCTAGAGAAACCTTGGCCCTGGTGCAGGTCGCTGTTGGGCGCCAGGGATGTGTGGGCTATGTGTCCTTGGTGGGTGTCTGTGGCTCCATATGGTCACATTGCCTGGGAGCGGGTTTACTTGGAAGCCCAGGGTGTCCTCATGTGACTAGACGGGGGTGGGGTGCGTGCATGATGCATCCCCTCGCTCCTTGCTGACCTGCGCCTCCTGAAGCCTGGTGTGCTGGCCGTCCAGTGAGGGCACACTCAGTTGGCCGGACCTGCTCAGCGACCCGTCCATTGTGGGCAGCAACCTGCGGCAGCTGGCTCGGGGCCGGGCAGGCCATGGGCTGGGCCCAGAGGAGGACAGCCTCTCCCTGGCCAGCCCCTACTCTCCAGCCAAATCCTCAGCATCAGGTGAGTTGGGATGAGAGGAGGGGGCTCTGAAGCTCACCAGCGCAGCTGAGTCTACCCGCTGCCTCCTGTCCCTCTAGATGAAGATCTGATCCGGCAGGTGCTTGCCCCCACCCAGGATACCCAAGTGGAAACGGACCTGCTCACCAGCCTGTGAGTGCCCGGCTCTTGGGAAGGAGGGGTTTGGAGGAGAGGCCAGGACCTGGGTGGGGAGGGGGGTTGCTGGAGGTGGGGCCAGGACTCAGGGGAAGGGTTGCGGGAGGAGGGGCCGGCTCTCGGGATGGGGGGTGCTGGAGGAGGTGCCAGGACTTAGGCCCAGCAGCCGTGTTCCCCTAGGATGGGGTGGTGTGGCTGCACCAGGGCTGGGCTGTACCGGTTCACTTCTCTGAACCTCCCGTTCCTTTTCTGGAAAGAGCCTCATAGGCTTCCCCAGAGCCCCAGAACCTTCCCTCTGGGGAGGAAGCAGGAGCATGGGGATTTGGAGGAGCAGAAAGGCTCCTGTGTGAGGCTGGCCGGGGCCATGTTTTCATCTTGGTCTCAGAACAGTGAGAAATTGTGGGCAGGTTTTTAAGTACCCCATTTTTTTCTTTTTGAGACCATTTTTGGTAATTTGTATTTTAAAGAATTTCTTGGTTGAGCGCAGTGGCTCCTGCCTGTAATCCCAGCACTTTTGGAGGCCGAGGCGGGTGGGTCACCTGAGGTCAGGAGTTCAAGACCAGCCTGGCCAACATGGTGAAACCTCAACTCTACTAAAAATACAAAATAATTAGCTGGGTGTGGTGGTGGGCACCTGTAATCCCAGCTACGTGGGAGGCTGAGGCAAGAGAATTGCCTGAACCCAGGAGATGGAGGTTGCAGTGAGCCAAGATCTCGCCACTGCACTCCAGCCTGGGCAACAAAGCGTGACTGCCTTAAAAAATGGTTTTACTCAATTTCTTGGTGGTTTTCCAACTTAGCAATAAAGGGTAACATAGAGTCAGCACGTATGTAGTCACGTGTTATGTGGCGTGGTCCCACACATGTGACCCTGGGCACTGCCGTGCCTTCCCATGCTCAGAGGTGCTGAGGTGCACACGGCCCTGCCTCGTGCTGCAGCTGCCGGCAGGATTCAGTGCAGCGGTGCCCGGTGCATGTGTGGAGCCAGGAGCCAGCAGCCACAGCACAGGGCCTGCATGCGTCTCCGTTTGGGTAACTACACCCTGTGACGCTAGCAGTGACAATGACCTCATGACGTGTTTCTCAGAGCGTCTCCCTGGCACCGAGTGGTGCGTGGCTGTGCTGCTTTTCCAGCCACATCTGCTTTGAGTTCTGCATTATCATTCCTTTCAGTGCTTGTCATTGTCCCAGGACCCAGACAAAAAGAACACTTCCGTTTTACAGAAGGCAAAAGGCAGATAAGCATGGCGTGAGGGCATCTTTATGAAAAAGTTGCCAATCGGTTTTCAAAATACAGAGTATGGGGAAATCCAGGGGGAGTCACTACACACTGACCAGCCCCCCCAGTATCTCCAGCCCAGAGCTGTTTGTGAAATCCAGATTCAGTGCCTCTGTGGGGACTTCTGGCAGCAGCTCAGACTTGGTGGCCACACAGAGCACGTGGTCCTCCCATCCTCCCCACGCCCTCAACCCTTGGCCATCCCTTCCTCAGGCAGTGCTTCAGGCTGAGCACGTTGGAGGCTTGGGTTCGTCCTGGACCCCTCTCTGGGTCCTTCCTCACGCCAGCCTCCAGCACATCCCATGGCTCCTTTCCCAATTCAGAGGCCTGGCCTTCCCGCAGCTGGGCCTGCACCCTCCGTCCTGGTGGCGCCTCTGCCCTGACATTCCTGGCTGCCCGTTGCCTCCCCTACAGGCCATTCTATTTGCCAACAAGAGCCCGCTCCCCGAGTCAGACACCGTTTGAGTCGTTTGTGTTTAGCTTGGGTCTTTATTTTAGACAGGGTCTCACTGTGTTGCCCAGGTTGGAGTGCAGTGGTGTGATCACGGCTCACTACAACCTCTGCCTTCCAGGCTCAAGCAGTTCTCTACCTCAGTCTCCTGAGCAGCTGGGATTACAGGCACCCGCCACCATGCCTGCCTGGCTAATTTTGTTTTTAGTAGAGATGGGGTTTCACCATGTTGGCTGAGCTGGTCTTGAACTCCTGACCTCATGATCCACCCACCTTGGCCTCCCAAAGTGCTGGGATTATCAGCGTGAGCCATTGTGCCTGGCCGACTTGAGGCTGGGTCATTTTTTTTGTAGAGGTAGGGTCTCCCAACTGCTGAGCTCAAGTGATGTTCCTGCCTCAGTCTCCTGAAGTACTGGGATTATAGGTGTGAGCCACTGCGCCTGGCTGAGACACGCCTCTCAAGGAGCTGAGAGTGCTTTTTATCCTCTGGGAGACAGCCAAACGGAGCATTCAGTGCAGTGCGGCCCCTGGCCAGGCCGTTCTTGTGGTGGGCTCACCAGGGTGTACCTAGAGAAGCCAGCAGATCTCTGGCCCCAGGGAGCCTTACATACTTTTGGGATTTGAAAGGCTTTTATGTTTTCTTGCCCAAAAGTTAATTTTAGGCCGTCAAACTGTGTGAGACAGACACATTGGCCTCTAGATTGTGGACGTGCTCGCTGGATGGTTGGGACCCAATCATAGTTTGCAGGGTTGAAAGGGGCCTGTTGCACCCTGAGAGGCTGTGTGCCACTGTAGGGGGAGCTGGAGGTCTAGGACGAGGGCTGGCTGGTCAGGCTGTGAATGATGGGTTTATCAGCAGAAAGCCAGCAGGAGGGGGACACAGGCGGACACCTGGCCTCGGCGCCTGGAGCAGCTCTTGGTGCACTGGCTCCCAGCACCACTCCCACTTTGGTTTGGCGTAGGGTCTTCTGGTGGGACACTCATGGCCCTAGAGGCTCAAGAAACTGCCTGCCCAGATGAGCATGGGCTTGGGTGCCACTGCCTCCAGCGAGGCAAGCAAGAATTCAAGGCCCATCATGTCCTTCAGGTCCAGCACTCCTGGGGAGAAGACAGAGGCGCTGGTGCTGCAGAGACTGGGGGAGCCAGGGCTCCCCAGCCCGGGCCTGACCTGGGAAGAGCCCCAGGCAGCGAGGCTCTCCAGGACAGGTGTGCTTGCACAGGCCCGGGACACCCCCAGCCCCTCCCTTTGGGCCTCCGGTCACAGGTCTGTCCCTGCATCCCCAGGACTGGTGGAGGGCCTGCGGAAGCACCTGCTGCCGGCCTGGTGCGCCTCCCTGGCCCACGGGCTCAGTCTGCTTCTGGCGGCTGTGACTGTGGGAGTCTCAGGGTGGGTGGGTGCTGGCTTCCCCCCTGGTGTGAGTGTCGCATGGCTCCTGTCCAGCAGCGCCAGCTTCCTGGCCTCGTTCCTCGGCTGGGAGCCACTGAAGGTGAGGGGGCTGCCAGGGGCGGGGCTCCAGGCCTCTAGCACAGGGGACCCCTCTGAAGTCTTCTGCTCCCCAGGTCCTGCTGGAAGCGTTGTACTTCTCACTGGTGGCCAAGCGGCTGCACCCTGATGAAGACGACACCCTTGTGGAGAGCCCGGCTGTCACGCCTGTGAACACACGTGTGCCCCGTGTACGGCCCCCCCATGGCTTTGCACTCTTCCTGGCCAAGGAGGAAGCCCGCAAGGTCAAGAGGCTACATGGCATGCTGCGGGTGAGCCTGGGTGCAGCCTGTGCCCCTGCTACCACCACCTCTGTCTCCCATCTCCCACCCATGCACACGGGACACTCCCATCCCCTTCCTCACCTCAGAAGGCCCTTGGGGGTTCAAGGCTCTGTAGCCTGTACCCGGACTCTTACCCCAAGCTGTCCACCTGCTGCCCCAGTCCCTGTCAGGGCCCAGCTGCAATGCCTGCTCCTGCCTGGCCATGAAGGGCCCTAAGCACTGCTTTAGTGGCCTGCATGGGGTCCCTGGGGCGGGGGGGGGTCCCTGGTGGGGTGTGCTGCCATTACTTGCCATCAGGGACCCAGTCAGGCAGTCTGCTACCTAGCGTTCCCAAAGCCCCACTGTCACTGTGTGCTGGGGCCAAGCTGACCACAGGGCCCTCCTGTCCACCAGAGCCTGCTGGTGTACATGCTTTTCCTGCTGGTGACACTGCTGGCCAGCTATGGGGATACCTCGTGCCATGGACACGCCTACCGTCTGCAGAGCGCCATCAAGCAGGAGCTGCACAGCCAGGCCTTCCTGGCCATCACTCGGTACGGGCGCCTGGCGCACTCGTCTGTTTGCTGGGTTTTGGTTTTCTCTAGTCCAGCTCGATGCTGGAGGACACGTGGAAATGTATAGAGCCAGAACTGGAGCTCACTGCTGCTGGCATCAGTGGGCAGAGGCGAGGGATACAGCTCCACATCAGTGCACAGGATGGCCCTATGATAGAGAATCATCTGCCCCAGAACGTCCCCGGCTGAGGCTGAGGAGCCCAGATGTGGCTGTGGCCAGTGGGGTAGGGGGGCCGTGGGAGCCATGCTCCCTGGGCCTCTGGCAGCCGCTCACCCGAGACAGGTGTGAGGCAGTGGGGGCCAGAGTGTGTGACTGTGTCTGGTGTGGCAGGTCTGAGGAGCTCTGGCCATGGATGGCCCACGTGCTGCTGCCCTACGTCCATGGGAACCAGTCCAGGCCAGAGCTGGGGCCCCCACGGCTGCGGCAGGTGCGGCTGCAGGAAGGTGAGCTGGCAGGGGTGCCCCAAGTCTTAAAGTCTTGCTCTTTTCCAGAGAGCAGCCTTCAGTGGAGCTCTGGCGTCAGCCCTGCTCCCTAGCTGTGTGACCTTTGTTTTTTCACACCGTGGTTTCCTTTTCTGTATGTTAGCGATGATCACGTTGTCTAATAGATGGCTACTGGGAGGGTTCCCTGCGGTGGCACGGAACCAGAGCTCAGGTGAGCAGGCCAGGGGTTGTGACGATGCCCTGGTCCTGGCCTGGGCTCTGCATTTCAGCACTCTGCCCAGACCCTCCTGGTCCCAGGGTCCACATGTGCTCGGCCGCGGGAGGCTTCAGCACCAGCGACTACAGCGTTGGCTGGGGGAGTCCTCACAATAGCTCGGGGACATGGGCCTACTCGGCGCCAGACCTGCTGGGGTAAGCAGGGTGAGGGCCCCAGGCGTCCGTGGCAAGGGAGGAGCTCTCCAGGGGTGCCGTGGCCTGCGGGGCTGGGTTGCAGCACGAACGCCACCTCTCTCCGGCAGGGCGTGGTCCTGGGGTTTCTGCGCCGTGTATGACAGTGGGGGCTACGTGCAGGAGCTGGGCCTGAGCCTGGAGGAGAGCCGCGCCCGGCTGCGCTTCCTGGAGCTGCACAACTGGCTGGACAACAGGTGGGAGCACGGGGCAGACCCCCTGGGCTGCGGGACGGTGGCTCCCTCCACGGGCCCCTCCCACGCGGCTGCAGTCACCAGCCTAGGCAGCTCCTGCCCTGCCACCCACTCCCACTGACCAGCACCCTCTGCGCAGGAGCCGCGCTGTGTTTGTGGAGCTCACGCGCTACAGCCCGGCCGTGGGGCTGCACGCCGCCGTCACGCTGCGCCTCGAGTTCCCGGCAGCTGGCCGCGCCCTGGCCGCCCTCAGCGTGCGCCCATTCGCGCTGCGCCGTCTCAGCGGGGGCCTCTCACTGCCTCTGCTCACGTCGGTATGCCCGCCCCTGCCCCTGCCCCTGCCTCTCCCACAGCGTCCCACCCCTCAGCGTTCCGCCCTCAGCCCATCCCACCCCTCACAGGACCCCGCCCCTCCTGACTCCACCCCTCACAGGTGTGCCTGCTGCTTTTCGCACTGCACTTCGCTGTGGCAGAGGTCCGCACTTGGCACAGGGAGGGGTGCGGGCGCATGTTGCGGCCCGGGGCCTGGGCGCGGTGGCTGCTGGTGGCGCTAACGGCGGCCACGGCACTGGTCCGACTCGCCCAGCTGGGCGCTGCCGACCACCAGTGGACCCGCTTTGTGCGCGGCCGCCCGCGCCGCTTCATCAGCTTTGACCAGGTGGCGCAGCTGAGCTCCGCAGCCCGTGGCCTGGCAGCCTCGCTGCTCTTCCTGCTCCTAGTCAAGGTAAGGGCTGGGCCGGCGGGTGTAGGGCTGGGTGCAGACCCCAGGGCTGCCAGCTGACATATCCCTCACCCACAGGCCGCCCAGCAGCTACGCTTCGTGCGCCAGTGGTCCGTCTTTGGCAAGACGTTATGCCGGGCTCTGCCAGAGCTTTTGGGGGCCACCTTGGGCCTGGTGGTACTTGGGATAGCCTATGCCCAGCTGGCTGTCCTGGTAAGTGACTGCGTGGCCGGGGAGGGCAGCTTACCTCAGCCAGCACGCCCTCACTGGTGCCCTTTCCTGCAGCTTGTGTCCTCCTGCGTGGACTCCCTTTGGAGTGTGGCCCAGGCTCTGTTGGTGCTGTGCCCTGGGGCCGGGTTGTCCACCCCGTGTCCAGCTGAGTCCTGCCACCTGTCACCTCTGCTGTGTATGGGACTCTGGGCGCTGCGGCTGTGGGGTGCCCTGCGGCTGGGGGCTGTCATCCTCCGGTGGCGCTACCACGCCCTCCGTGGAGAGCTGTACCGGCCAGCCTGGGAGCCCCAGGATTATGAGATGGTGGAGCTGTTCCTGCGCAGGCTGCGCCTCTGGATGGGCCTCAGCAAAGTCAAGGAGGTGGGTACGGCCCAGTGGGGGGGAGAGGGATACGCCCTGGGCTCTGCCCAGGGTGCAGCCGGACTGACCGAGCCCCTGTGCCGCCCCCAGTTCCGCCACAAAGTCCGCTTTGAAGGGATGGAGCCGCTGCCCTCCCGCTCCTCCAGGGGCTCCAAGATCTCCCCGGATGTGCCCCCACCCAGCGCTGGCTCCGATGCATCGCACCCCTCCACCTCCTCCAGCCAGCTGGATGGGCTGAGCATGGGCCTGGGCCGGCTGGGACTCAGGAGTGAGCCGGTGCCTGAGCCCTCCCGCCTCCAAGCCGTGTTCGAGGCCCTGCTCACCCAGTTTGACCGACTCAACCAGGCCACAGAAGATGTGTATCAGCTGGAGCAGCAACTACACAGCTTGCAAGGCCATAGGAGCAGCCGGGCCTCCGCTGCTGCTTCGCGTGGCCCATCCCCGGGCCCACGGCCAGCAATGCCCAGCCGCCTTGTCCGGGCCAGTCGGGGTGTGGACCTGGCCACTGGCCCTATCAGGGCACCACTGTGGGCCAAGAACAAGGTCCACCCCAGCAGCACTTAGGCCCCTTCCCTGGGGTGGCGCCTGTGGAGTCACAGTGGACACCACTCAGTATTACCTTCTGCTGCCCTCAAAGCCACGGGCCAGGCAGAATGGCTGCACACAGGTTCCCCAGAGAGCAGGCAGGGGTCTCTCTCTGTGGGCTTCAGCACTTTAAAAAGACTGTGTGGCCAGCCAGGACCCAGGGTCCCCTTGCTGGCTCCCTGGGGATGACACAGCAGTTAGTGGGTATTGCCAGCCTCTGAAATGCTAATTTATTTCCCCAAGTCCTCAGGTACAGCGGGCTGTGCCCGGCCCCACCCCCTGGGCAGCTGTCCCCCGTGCTAAGGCCGCTGGCTTCAGGGAGGGTTAGCCTGCGCTGCCGCCGCCCTGCCCCTAAGTTATTACCTCTCCCATTCCTGCTGCATTCACCGCGCCGTCTGTGTCTCATGTCAGTAATTTATATGGTGTTAAAATGTATATTTTTGTATGTCACTATTTTCACTGGGGCTGACAGGCCTGGCAGCTGAAACGGCCCTGTGCCCAGAGCTGGCCTCCCGCGCAACACCTGCCTTTCTTGGTAGGCGTGGCCGGGCTTCAGAAGCCCAGCTGCTGCTTGGATGCGAGCAGGGCCTTGGGCCGGTGCTGGGGGTACGGTCGTCCCCCAGGCAAGGCCTTGTCATCCTCCCTTGCCCCAGGCCAGGCACTGAGAAAGCAGCACCCAGGCCTGCTGGCATCGGGTCTGGGTGAGGAACAGGACTAGGAGTGGTGGTTAGAGGAAAAGACCCCTCCTGGGGGCTGGCTCCCAGGGTGGAGGAAGGTGAGCATGTGTGTGTGTGAGTGTGCGCTGTGTGGCCTGGGCAGCCCCAGGGCCCTCGGAGCTGGCTGCGCCTGCCTCTGTGTACCACTTCTGCAGCCTCAACGCCCCCCAAGCAGACAAGGTCAATAAAGAGTGTCTGACTGCAGTCCGCGCCCGTGTCTGCGTGCAGGGCCACGGCTTTATTTCACCGACACAGTACCGTCTAGGGCTGGCCTCCGCGTCACACGAACTCGGTGAAGTCCTCCACAGACGAGATGAGGCGCTTCCGCTGTCCCATCTCGTAGCCAGGTGCGGGCTCGGCTGGAGTCTGTGCAGGGGCTTTGGCATGGGCCGGGGGGGTGCACCAGAGGCAGGCTGGGGTTGGAGTACGGGGCTTCCTCGCAGATCTGAAGGCAGAGGAGGCTTGGGCAGCAAGACCAGGAGGCATAGCACCCGCTCTGCTCATACCCCCACCCTACAGCTGGGGCAGATGCCCTGCCCTGGCCAGCCAGCACCCCTCTCTGAGGGAGCCCCATCTTCCCTACCCGCTGGCGGAGCCTCTTGATGTGGCGGAGCCGGGCGATCCACTTGGAGGGGTAGATGTCAGTGGGGTTGGAGCGGCTGTGGTGCACCTGTGAGGCCATCTGGGGATGGAGGCAGGAGTGAGCTCGCTCACAGGTGGCACCTGTGCCCCACCAGCTCACGCCTGGATGCACCCCACTCACATTTGCATGCAGGGCCATCTGGCGGGCCACAAAGGACAGGTTACGGTCAGACACAATCTTGGCCACGCTGGTGTCCACAAGGCCCTCCATGTCTGAGGAGACGCAGTGGTCACGCCAGGCCCAGGGCCCTCGGCCCCGCCCCACCCCACCCTGGCCCGGCCCTACCATTCCTGCACTGCAGCGACACCAGGTTGCACTCATAGTCCAGCGGGGTGATGATCACGTGGACAAAGTTGAACTGGCCCTGCCCGACAACAGAAGGCGTCATCCCCACACACGTGTGCCGAGAGTTGCTCTTGGCTACTGCCTGCGCGTACTGCTAGACGCTCGTCTGCCCCCAAACTTCCCCCTCCCTTGGGTGGGTGTGTTGGTCCGGCCTCTCTGGGACCAAGCCCACTCCACACCTGGGCACGGAACCCACATGTGCTGGAGCTGCAGCCTCCACCCGCTGGGGCCCTCGTGCCTCTGCAGCCACACATCCCAATCACTGCCTGCCCAGCCACGAAGTGCCCTGGGGGCCATGCACCCCATCTCGGCACGGCCACACCCTCCTCAGCCTCCCCGGCGCCCCTCCTCGATTGTCTCCCCTATGGTCCTGGCCCCTCTTGGACTCCACCAGCAGCCCCAGTTTTGGGTTTTGGTTTGGTGCCTGCCACAGTGTCCTAGGGCTCTCGGAGTACGGCCTCCAGCCTGCCTGCCCTGCCTGGGCGTGCCAGCTCTCCCTGCCATACTGGACAGAGCACCCAGGATGTGCTCTGTGACATCAGCCAACCGAGCCCACCTCCAGGAAGAGGGTGATGCTGGTTGCTGCTGAGTCGTATGTGGCAATAACCAAGTGAGAAGCCTGGCAGCTGCCACAGGGGGAACCGCAGGGACCAAGGGCTGAGAGGGCAGACAGGAATCCCCACTGCATGGTCCCCGCCCAGCACACCCAGTCTGCACTTGCCAGCTACTCCTGCAGAACCCCGGCAGGAGGGCCATAGGCTCCATGGCACAGATCAGGAAACAGGCTCAGAGGTGGAAGCTCCTGCCCACGGGGCTCTGAGCACTGCGGCTTCTCCTCATTGTCGTGACCGAGGCTTGAGGACGACCTGCCGCTGACCCAGGACACAGCAGTGGGCACTTGCCTGGGGCCCGGCCTGAAAAAGCCCCTCACTCACCTTGATGGTACCGAGCTTGAAGTCCTCGCCGGAGTCATTGTAGACAATGGACACAAAGTCATTGCCCAAGTGGCGCTTCTTGTCACAGCGGTGCTTGTCCACATCCTTGGTGGGCATCAGGGTGGCGATGTGGAAGATGGCTGTGGGTGGGCAGGGCCAGGTGGGTTTGTGGGGCCAGCGCCGAGGCCCTCTGCACCTCTCACCAGGAATCTCCCGATTCCTCCGGAGCTCTGGGGCCCTGTGGGGGCCAGGTCCTCTGGTGCCCGGCCAGTAGCCCTCGGCTCTCCATGGGGGCAGAGCTTTGGGAAGCAAAGCTGCCAGTCCCATCACTGCCTCCACACCCATGCTGCTGAGCTTGGCCCCAAGGTGTAGGCAGCTGGAGCAGGTGGGGCAGCGGGACTGGGTGGGGGCCCTGCCCGGAGGCGTGGGGCAGTGGGACTGGGTGGGGGCCCTGCCGGGAGGCGTGGGGCGGCGGGACTGGGTGGGGGCTCGGCCGCACCTTGCATGATGTCGTCGTGCCAGCAATAGGTGAACTGGCCGTCCTCACCACACACATCCAGGCCTCCCAGGTACACCTTGTCTGGCTGGCAGTCCTTCAGCTCGATGAGCCGGCCCAGGCCCGTCAGGAACTCTGTGTACCTGTAGGAGCCATGCTCGTTGGACAGGATGGCGAGCTCGCTGTTGCTCTGTGGGGAGAGAGAAGCAGCAGGGTGGCATCGCCCCCGGGCTGAAGCCCAGCACCTGGCTCCAGGCCCTGCCCAGCTGTGAGGGCCTGCAGAGCCTGTCACTGAGGAGGGTGGGGGTGCCCAGAGGGCTCTGCAGGGAGCCCCACTCTGGTTCCTGAGGCAAGCAAAACCACTCCATTCCAGCAGCCACCCAGGCCAGACACCTGGGTGTCATCCTTGACTCCCTCTTCCCTCAGCCTTGTGTGCTCCTGGCCAGCAAAATCAGGGAGCTCCACCCTCAAAACACACCCAGGACCCTGACCCCTCAGCAGCCTGCCCCCAGGGGCCCACCCCGTTCCCACAGGGACTATCACTGTCCACCTCCACAATCCACACAGGCAGGAAGGACTCATGGAGTCTCAGCTGAGTCAGGCCATGCCCTCTGCTCAGAACCATCCCAGGCCCTGCCCTTTCCCTCGGAATGAAGGTGCAGCCTCCGGAGTGCCAAGGCTGCCCATGCCTGTTGGCTCCAGTGCTCGTCCAGCACCAGCACTCGAGCTGGGGAGTGGTGCCCCACAGCACAGGCTGCCCCCACCCCTTATGCAGCCTCCACCTGCCCGCTCCCTCACCACTCAGCTGTCAGCTCACTGACACCGGCAGCCTCCCCAGCCCCAGGACCAATACTGCCCGCCCAGCCCTTCCCACTCCCTGGCATACTGGGTGCTCACACACTGACCTGTCACTCTTGCACTCAGAGCACCACCTGGCACGGAACTCAACAAGCACTTGATGCTCTAGAGGACCCAGCAGTGCTGAGCTCCTGATGGCAGGAGAGGACCAGACTCCCACCCCCAGCAGGCCCCGTCCTGGCACCTCGGCTAGCCCCGCAGCCTCACCTGGCCTTCGCCCACATACAGGACGGCGATCTTGTGGGTGTCATACGACGGGATCTGATCGAGGAGCTGCACCGACCGCTCAAAGGACTGTGACTGTGGCACACAGAGCCGTGCCTGAGCCCCAGAAGCCCATGCACGGGGAGGCCGCCCCACCTAGGCTGGTCACAGCAGGCTGCTGCAGGGAGCTGAGGCTAGAGCCCTCTGCAACCCTGAGCTCTGAGCAGCAGAGCGCCCTGCCCTGCCCGTGCCCCTGCTCCCCGTCCCCGCAGCCACACAGCTCCAGGAGGCTACAGGAGAGGGAGGCCACACCCACCTCATTGGGCAGAAGGATGGGCTTGTTGGACTCGTCTCCAAAGAAAGGTGAATGGTAGAGCTGCAGGAACACGAAACTGCATGGGGAGGGACAGGCGCCAGGTGAGGGCCTGGTCAGGGCACCACAGCCCACGGGAGGCCAGAGCCTGGCCATCTCCTGCTCCACCGCCCTCCCGAGGGGCTCCAGCAAGCCAGGAGGAGCCTTCCCCAGCCTGCTCGGCCTGGGGCAGCTGAGGCACCAGGCTCCCGCAGGACAGGTGTCAGGAGCCCTGCCCAGAAGCCAGAGGCCCACCTGGGGTTGATGCCTGGCACTTTCTCTGCACTGGAGGCCGCGGCTCTGCTCTTAAACGCGTCCCTCTCTACCCTCTTGCCCCTGCGTGATGGGGCCGAGTCCGAGATGGTGTATCCTCGGGGCCGGAGGCCACTGGGCGAGCGGGGGGAGCTGGAAGGCAAGGGACCCTCGGGCTGGCCCCGGCTGTCTTCTCCTGGGCCTGACCAGGTAGCACTGTCCCCATCCAGGATCCCTGACTGTGACCGGGCCTTAACCTCAGGGCTCAGCCGGCCTACTTCGGCCTTGTCCCCCGGGTCGCCGAGGATGTCCTGCAGCGTCTGCAGCTCAGGAGAGGAGCTGGACTTGCTCAGGGGCTGCGAAGGCTGGAAGGGGAGGTCCACGGAGGGCCGGCCACCCTCGGAGGAGACGGCGCGCTCGATGGGGATACCCGGGCCAGCTCCTCTGCGTGGAATGACTTCTCCTCCTGGCTGGAGGTTGAGGAAGACTAGAAAGGACATCCCAAAGAGAGCCCCCGTCAGGAGGCACCCCCGAGCCCATATTTGGAGGTGGTGAAGCCCGTCCCAGGGCCACAGAACAGCCCAAACACCAGGCTATGGCCCCACCCGTGAAGCAGCAGCACAAGCAGAAGTGTCAGAAACCCAAGACCACAGGCTGCCCAGCAGTGAGGGTCCAGCGCAGACCGTCTGTGCACGAGGGATGTGGAAGAACATCTTGCCCAAGTTCACAGCGCCAGTTCCTTGGGTGCAGGCACACCCAAGCAGAGGCTGTGCCTCCCCAAGGAGCCTCCCGAGCCGTCCAGGCTCTGAGCCACACTCACCCGGCTGTAAGCATCCGTGCGTCTGTCTGTGCCCAGAGCCGGCTCGAATTCCTCCAACTCTGGGGGCTCCACTGGGGCAGGACTTCCCTCCTCCATGACCACGGCCGAGTCTGGGAGGACACAGATGGGGCTGCTGGATGTGGGGCTAGGCCAGGCCCTGGCGCTCACGTGGCCTCCGAGAACCAGCCTTTTCCCAACAAGAGGGACAGCAGCCCTGCGAGCCTCCCCAGGGCTCTGCTTGCTGCTGCCACCCACCGAGCGGGCAGGGAGGACACCTGGGAGGACCCGGTGTGACCCTGACACAGGCGTCTCCAACACGAGCTCCTGGGGGTCGGCAGCAATCAAGCTCTGCCCCCTGGTGTCCACCAGCAGCTACCCATGCCTCCAGGTAGGCAGGGGCAAGATACTCTGTGCCCAAGACGGGCCTCAGCTCTAGAAGAGCGAGCGCCTAAGACCAGCCCTCTGTCACCGAGAGCTGTGGAGGAAGTCCCTGTTTGCACAGACAGGAAAGCCCACTCCCAAGGGCAGAGGCTCGCCCTCCAACTCCAAGCCAAACCCACAGCTGGGCACGCTAAAGAGAGAGGGTGCGAGGTTCTAAAGCAGCATTTCCTATGCCAGCATCAGGGCAGGGGGATATTGAGTAGAAGCAACAGAGTGGAACATCACAGCTCCCGGGCGCCCACACAGCCCTGCACACGCAGTCGGCCGCCCCACGCCCATGTGCAAGCTCCTGTCCACACGTGGAACCTGGCCGGGGAGCGCCCTGCATGTCACAGTAGGCCCTGCTGGGGCCTGGGGGCAACAGGCAGAGGTCAGTCTGCAGGGCCCTCATCAACCAGGGATGCAAGGCAGACGCAGCCCCATCTGTGGATTCCAGAGGCCAAGGGAGCCACCACAGACCAGGGCAAGGCCAGCACGGCGGAGGCCCAGGGCCAGGCTTCCCCTAAACAGCGGCCAGCAGCTCAGATGATGTCACCACAGAGACTTAGGCCACCCCCACCCCTCGGGCCTGAGGCTGGGCCAGGAGGGATCACACAGCACGGGAACAGGGCTCAGCCACAAAGGGAACGAGTTAAGGGGGTCCTCTGGCCAAGCCAAGGCGTTCTGCACAGACGTCGTCATGCGAGTCGGGACCTGCTCCCCAGGGCGACGAAGGCCAGACGGACCACGGGGTAAGCGGGTGAGGCGATGAGCCCCGCGTCTCTGAGGCAGAGGCGCTCTGCAGCCAACCGCTTCCCTTCGAGAGGCGCGCCAATACCTGCCCAGGAAATGCTCCTGTGCAGCTGTCCTTGGCAGCTGGACTGGTACAGGGAGGAGAAAGAGGCCACTGCAAGGGAAGCCCATGAGCGGCCACGTCAGCAGGAGAAGGGGCTACACACAGGTCGAGCAGAGAGCACAGGCCCCGTGCCTGCAGAGGAGAGAGGGTACGGCCAGCGGAGGCACGCAGGGGGCCCAGTGCTGTAAGCCGCTCGGGCGGACCTGGGGAGGCCAGTGCCTCCCTCCACGTGAACAGACGTCAAAGGCCACTAAGTGCCATCTGCAGCCAGAGGGAAGAGCCAGAGGGTCTGGCGAGAAGCGCAGCACCGAGTGGGATGGGGCCCGAGCACGCGCAGGCAGGCTCAGGTGTCCAAACCCGAACCCTGGCAGGGAGGGAGGCTGCCGCGGAGCCTGCTGGAGCTGCAGTCCTGTACTCCCCACGGAGGGGGCTGGGTAGAGGCTCCACAGGGCCCCTACTTCTGACGCTGCCATCCCCAGCTTCCCGAGTGGGGCCGGCACCTCCCATGGGCCAGCCTCCTCCCAAATGCCAGAGAGTGGTGCTGAGGCAGGCCAGGGACCATTGCCAGTGGGGTGGGCGCCCTCGGCAGAGAGGAGCCATGCTGCTGTCGCCAGTGAGCACCAGGCTGGTGGGAGCAGAGCCCGCCCCCAGGCCTGCCATGCTGCTCACCTGTGTTGGAGCGTGGCAGAGGAGGGGGTTTGGCCGTGCTGGCCGCGGGCACTGACAGCGACTTATACAGGGCTGTGTCCCGGTGCTCCTTGAAGCGCTCAGCCGCCATGAGGGCGTTGGACAGCTCCTGCAGCGGCATGCTGTTGATGTCTGAAGAGAAGGGGCTGAGGGGGTTCTCCAGGCTCATCAGCCAGCTGGTGTTCCCTGCAGAGGCAGCAGCACCCCCAGCCTCAGGCCAGCACCTCCCTGAGCCATCCCTGGTCCCCTGGGCAGCCTCCTGGCCCAGGCCCTGGCTTTGCCCTGATGTCCCTCCCATGAGCCTCAGGACCATGATGTTGGAGCCAGTGCTGCTCTGGCAACCACCTGCCCTGCTGCCCCCATCAGCTCCTGCACCAAGGCCAGGCTTGGCCATGGGGAGGCACCTCAGAGCAGCAGCCTCCAACCCACAGCCTCATAGTCCAGACCCCAGACCTCCAAGAGGGTCGGAACCCCTACTCCTCACACCCCTCAGCTGCAACACACCCAGGCACCTCTGGGCCTCTGCAGGGGCTCCCTCTGCCCTGGGAACGGGCTGAGCTGTGCCCCCATGTTGCTGTGCTTTAGTCCCAACCCCAGGAACTCAGAACAGACCGTCCCTGGAGACTGGGTTCTAGAAAAGTAATTAAGACTAACAAGGCACCAGCACAGTGGATCCTAAGCCATGACTGGTTTCCTCCTAGGAGGAGATGAACAGAGACATGCAGGGAAGACTCTGGGGACACAGAAAAGCAGCTGCCTGCGTGCCAAGGACAGAGGCCTCTGAGGAGCACCTCCTGCCGAGGAGCATCTGGATCTCATGCTTCCAGCCTCCAGGTGGAGAGGGCAGCTCTCTGCCATGGAAGCTGCTTGGTCCACCACAAGCCCCTGCCCAGCCTTGGCCACCTGAATTGCCCCTCAGGGCTCACCTCTGGAGACTTAGTCACCCCCAAATACCCCAAGTAGGCCGAGTCTGCACTTGCCCCTGTTGTGTCCACAGCTCTATGGGTGACTAGCAGGGGGCCGGGGCCGGGGCCAGGGCCCGGGCCAGCCCTGCCCAGTACCTGTGGGCCTCCGGACCAGGATCTCCGCCCAGCCCTGGGTCAGCAGGGGCACATAGGCCGCCAGGTTTGTCTTCTGCACGGGAAGCCGGGTGCTGGCTTTCTCAGCCTTCATAGCTGGTGCAGTCTGTGGTCCTGGAGAAGTTGCACTGCCCGGGAACTGGGAGGCTGGCACGTCCAGGGCGCCGACTCGAAGACCGTGTCCCCCTGGAAAAGAGGGTGGAAACCTTGTGACCACCACTTGCCCAATGCAAAGCCACCAGCTTAGAGCCAAATGCTCCACCCAGGCCTGGCAGGCTAGCACCACAGGGAGCCAGAGAGGGTGGCACTCCACCTTCAGGGCACAGCCCGCCACAGCACTGTCTCAGTGGACCCAGGGCCACAGGGAGGGACCCAGAGCCTGTCCTGCAGTCAGACCATGGCTCACTGGAGCAAACAGCGGCTCCAGGACTGAGCTGGGCTGAAGGCTCACAAGAAACATCAGCACCCAAAACAAGCTTCTCCATACCAAGCGGGCCCCACTCCACCACTCCACAGCTGTGTGGCGGGTCATGGACCTCACCCGAGTCAGGATGTGGGCTGGGCCTTAAGCCAGCCACCCTGGGCCCAGACCTTCCTGAACACTGAGACCAGCAGCAGCAACTGAGGGAGCCCTGGTGCCTGCATGGGGGTAGCTGGGGCCAAGGCTCACCCGACATGGAGCGGACCCGGTCCCGGGCCCCACGGGACACCTGCTGCCCAGCCTGGGACTCCAGCTTGGCTGGCGCCTCCTTCGTCTGTCTCACGTGCACAACAGGGCTGGAGCTGAGAAAAGAATCCCAGGCACAAGGTGGACTCGGACCCAGGCCAGCACGGTGGGTGGCCACGTGGGCTTGGGCTCAGGACAGCCCATGTCAAGGCTGACCGCCACGGAGGGAAGGAAGGTGCAGTCACCTCAACTCTGGGCCGGCCTGCAGCTCCCCCGAGTCCAGACCTAGCAACGAACGCGTCCCCGTTCCCACGCTTGTGGTCACGGTGACAAGCTTGTTCCCAACCAGCCAAGTTTTAGTCCTGCCACCAGCCAGGAGGAATTCTCCCACGGGAGACCTGGAAGACAGGCAGTGTCAGCCCCAGCTTGCCCCTGGAGCTCCCGGATGCCTCGGCTCCCGAAGGCACGCCCAGCCCCGGAGGGCCGCCTGTACCTCTTTGGCACAGCCGTGAAGTTAGAGAAGACGTATCGAGCCATCATGTCCAGACAGGTTTCCGTGAGCTCCAGGTGGAGGGTTTTCAGGCTGTCGTCAGCCTGGGCCACGGAGTTCTCGTCTGCAGACCCCAGGCTGGCACTGGTGAGGGACGCCTGTATCCTGCTGGAGGGAGGCGCAGCAAATGTGGTCAGGGAGCCAGGAAGGGCAGGCGGAGCCACCTACCACCAGGGGGCCAAAGCTCAACGCATGCAGTGCCGAGGGCCTTGCTCGGAAGGACCCCCCAGCAGGGCACAGGCGGCCCGGCGAGCCTCAGCTTGAGAATCATGTGGACCACATCCTCCCAGAGAACGAAGAGACGCTGGGTGGGGGAGACCAGGACCAATGGTGGGAGCAAAGACTCAGGAGGCTGGAGGGACGGACGGCCCCTCACCGAAGCCCACAGGAGCACTAGGTTACGGCCTCCTGGTGAAACAGTATAGTCATGCAGAGAGGCGGAGGCCACGCACACAGGCCGGGATTGCATTCTGCCCGCAGGCTGCCTCCGGCGAGGACAGACCTTGGGGACCCCTCCCGACCTTTCACTCAGGCAGGTGAGCGGCTGCCCTGAGCTCTACACCCAGCGACAGTGAAGAGGCTCATTCTGATACAAATTTCAAAGCCCCTAGGCAGTGTTCTGCTCAGGATACAGAATGTGCCTCACTGAGCATCCCACCGCCCCCACCCCTGGCCAAGTACCACCCAGCAGAGGCCAGCCTGAGGTGGATGAGCTCAGGGCCACGGGACTCCTCGGACTGCAAGGAGATTCCAGGAGGAGACAAGTACCCCCTCTCTGCCAGTGCCAGCAGCGGTCACCCACAGGCAAGTGATGGCCAAGAGCCCACACGTGCACCCAGAAACCGGGAGAACTGACTGAGGCCGTGGCCTGGGGCCCAAGCCCACCCCCCCGGAAGATCCTGGCCTCCACCCAGACCCTCACAGGCCAGCCCCACCCCAGCGCCCTCCGCAGATGCCTCTGGTTCCCCGGCAGCTGCAACAAAAATAAGCTTTGTCGAGAATGGAGCCGAAGGAAAAATGTCCATTCTAGAAAATAGGAAAAGGCCAAAACCAGGAGCGGAGTCTCCCCCAACCTGCACTGCAGCCTCAGGGACGGCCTGGGGAGGCTGCCGACGGCCCTGGCTCTCTTGAAGTGGCACCCTGAGGGGCTCCCAGGCTGGCCTGGGGATGTGTGCAGCCAGCCCGTGCTAATACGGGGCCTGGGGACAGAATGCAACCCTTCCACCCCTTGTCACCGGCTCCCCTGAGCTGGCTAGGGAGGGCTCAGGCAGACAATGAGGTCATGCAAGCAGCCCCATGCACTGCCACCCAGGTGCTCACGGGGCCAAGCTCCAGGGTCTGTGCCCCCCGCCCGACACGGCCCCGCTACCTGCGGACCACATGTTCAGACACACTGATGCTGCGGCATCGGAAGGCCTCGGCTGCTGAGCTCTCCTTGAATTCTTTCACGGGTGGAGAGTTATTCAAGCCTTGTTTGGGGGGTCTGGCTATCCTCAGACTATGGGTGAGGAAGGAGCCCCAATGCCCCAGAGAGCCCAGCTCCCGGGAAGGGGAGAACAAGCCAGTGGAGGGTGAGGAGGATGGGTCCCAGGCCACAGGGTCAGGATGGAGAGGTCCCGCGGGTGAGATGAGCAAAAGAGCCATGCCAAAGGTCAGTGAGCGGGAAGAGACAGGAAAGAAAAACGCATAACACGTCCGGTCAGCATGACTGAGGAAGAGGGAGGCTTCACGACCGCCACAAGGAACATCCGTGCAAATTAAACGTGTGTGGGCCACCCCGACGGCAGATTCCAGGCTGTGCTGGCCAGGCGACCCCGCCCACCCGTGGAGGGCAGGCACCGCCCAGCTCTGAACCAGCCTCTGAGCCCTCAGCGGCCAGGCCCTGAAGGTCACTAGGAAAAGAGACCAGGACCCCAGGAAGGAGCCTCTGGCCGTAACGGCTGAGCTTGGAGCTTGGAGCTTGGCCCCCAGCCCCCGGCCCCCAGCCCCCAGCCCCCAGCCCCCAAGTGCTGGAGAAAACAGTTTCTGAGCTGAGGTCACGCTGGAAAATGCCGTATTTCCATCTAGGGAAAGCCGAAACAGCTTGGGCAGGAAGGTGGGGGATGGGGGAAGCTGCTCGGATGAAATGCAAACACAGAAGCTGGCTCAGCCTTTCTGACCTGGCGAAGCATGTGATGGCGAAGCTAGTGGCAGGCTGGGGACTGCGGAGGAGGGGAAGCCCCAGGCAAGGCTGGGCTCCTTCAGGGGGGTCAGGCACCTACAGCTTGCACCCTGATCCCCAACTCCACAAAGAGGTGCTCACGGCACAAGTGGCCAAGACGGTGCTGTGGTGCTACCGCACTGCAGGCCACTGTGGCTGACTTGGTGAGGCACTGAGGGGTGTTAGCGGCCGAGGACCCGCCCTGCCTCACCTATTCCCCCAGCCATGGGACCGTTTCCACTTGCTGACCTGAAGGTACCATCGGCCAGGCCATGTGCCCCACACTGGTCCCAGGCCACAGCCCCTGTCCTTCCCCACCCCGCGCAGACACCAGGCAAACCCTGAAGGTGCCGTACCTCTTGGGCCTCTCGTTGAGACTAGTACTCCGTGCTCTGAAGCTGTCCTTCTCAGGGGTGTCATCAAAAGACAAGAGAACATTGGAGCGCAGGCCCTGGAGAATGAGCAGGCCCAGATGGCTGAGGGATGGCAGTGGGGGGTGGAGGCTTGGCCCTCAACAAGCCTGCTGGTGCCCTCCCGGCCGGGGACAAGCTGTAGGCTAAGGACAAGGTGGCGGCACCCAGCCCCCACCCCTCAATGCCTGCTGTGCATCAAACCCCTACAGGCTGCCGAGCGCCACAGGCACACCCCAAACACCCTCCCACTGCCCTCTGCCTGCCCGTCACTTTGCCCCAGCCATGGACAGCAAAGGGCAAAGAGGGCCCTGGCCCAGCAGGGGACATGGTTCACCAAGGGCCCTGGGCGCACCTTAGTGATGAATGGGACGAAATCCTTCCGGAAGGGCAGGCGGCACCTGATGAACCACATGGCTATGACATGATGGGCCAGGCACACGATATACTGATTGAACCTGAGACAAGAAAGGGGCTGGCACTCCATCCTGGCACCAGGCAAACATGCCCAGGACAGGAAGTACAAAGGCTACCAGGGCTTTCTGCTCCAAGGCATCGCTGGGGCCACGGCTGGGAGGCACAGGCCCTGTGGTGGCCACTCACTTGGAGGGGTTGGTGTACGGCAGGGAGATGGCAAACACGCTGGCGTACTGTTCCGCGGCGAAGTTCCTGTAGAGGTGAGGCAACCTGGCCAGGGCTGCACGACAGAGATGGCGGTCAGGGGAGCCGCTGTCCCGTGGGAGCCGCAGTCCCGGGGGAGCCGCAGTCCCGGGGGAGCCGCAGTCCCGGGGGAGCCGCAGTGCCGCAGTCCCATGGGAGCCGCAGTCCCGGGGGAGCCGCAGTCCCATGGGAGCCGCAGTGCCGCAGTCCCATGGGAGCCGCAGTCCCGTGGGAGCCGCAGTCCCGGGGGAGCCGCAGTCCCATGGGAGCCGCAGTGCCGCAGTCCCATGGGAGCCGCAGTCCCGGGGGAGCCGCAGTCCCGTGGGGAGCCGCAGTCCCGTGGGGAGCCGCAGTCCCGGGGGAGCCGCAGTCCCGGGGGGAGCCGCAGTCCCATGGGAGCCGCAGTGCCGCAGTCCCATGGGAGCCGCAGTCCCGTGGGGAGCCGCAGTCCCGTGGGGAGCCGCAGTCCCGTGGGGAGCCGCAGTCCCGTGGGGAGCCGCTGTCCCGTGGGGAGCCGCTGTCCCGTGGGGAGCCGCTGTCCCATGGGAGCCGCAGTCCCGTGGGGAGCCGCAGTCCCGTGGGGAGCCGCTGTCCCGGGGGGAGCCGCTGTCCCGGGGGGAGCCGCTGTCCCGGGGGGAGCCGCGGTCCCGGGGGGAGCCGCAGTCCCGGGGGGAGCCGCAGTCCCGGGGGGAGCCGCAGTCCCGGGGGGAGCCGCTGTCCCGTGGGGAGCCGCTGTCCCGTGGGAGCCGCTGTCCCATGTGGAGCCTCTAAAAGCCAACACGGGTGCTCTGCCCACAACAGCAATTGTCTGCTGTGGAGGAGGAAAGGCCAGGGCCACAGATGTGGCTTTCCTGACCCTGAGGCTCAGCTCTCTATCCCACAGCCAGCCAACCACAGCTTCCAGGCCAATTCCAGCCGTGGCCTGGGTTTGTGTGACCTGTGAGGAAACGCTTCTATACCTTTTTTCTCTCCCTTTTTTTTTTAAGACGGGGTTTCACCATGTTGGTCAGGCTGGTCTTGAACTCCCGACCTCAGATGATCCGCCCGCCTTGGCCTCCAAAGTGCTTGGATTACAGGCGTTGAGCCACTACGCCCGGCCACTTTTTTTTTTTTTTTTTTTTTTTTTGGGATAGAGTCTTGTTCTGTCGCCCAGGCTGGAGTGCAGTGGTGCAATCTTGGCTCACTGCAACCTCTGCCTCCTGGGTTCAAGTGATTCTCCTGCCTCAGCCTCCCGAGTAGCTGGGATTACAGATACACGCCACCACACCCGGTGATTTTTGTATTTTTAGTAGAGACAGTTTTGCCAGGTTGGCCAGGCTGGTCTCGAACTCCTGACCTCAGGTGATCCATCTGCCTCTGCCTCCCAAAGTGCTAGGATTACAGGCATGAGCCACTGCGCCCAGCCAGTCTTCTATGCTTCTAAAGGATTATAAACAAAACAAAGGCTGACAGGACCCGTCTGTGGCCCACAAAGTATACACCACCTTCTCTCCAGCCTCTACACCCAGTGCCGGCCCAGCAGTGCTGCCTTCTAAATGACAAGGGCCTGGCCAGATGTGCACTAGGCAGTGAGGGGAAGGGACAGGCACCTGAGCTCCTGAAGTCACAGTCTGGGGGAGGTGAACAGACTAGGGGCTCAGCAAAGCCCCCATGGCACAGCATGTGCTCTGATGGACAGAGAGCAGGCCGAGAACCAGGGCAGGGCCAAGGCTGGGTGGGGAGAAGCTTCTTCAGGGAGGAGCCCTCACATGGACACTAGAGGGCTGAGAAGAGCCGCCCTCCAGGCCAGGAGGGAGCGGAAGGCGAGACATCCGGTTCCCCAAGGAGGCCTGAGACAGGTTACCGGAGAAGCCCACATGGGTTATTTGAGGCAGGGCAAAGCCCGAACCTCTAGGGAACGCATGTAGGCAGGGGGCAGGGACTCACTGGACAGGAACTCCAGCAGCGGGACGGCCATGCTGGCTGTGGCCGAAATGTGCGTGAGCTTCACCACCAGAACAGGCAGCGCCTTGATGATGATGTCAGGCATCTCCACGCTGCAGATGGACAGGGCCACCACGCACTGGCTGGCACAGCGGTGGACGAGGCCCTGCTCCAGGCAGTAGACCATCTCGCGCTGCGGGAGACAGGACGCCTCAGGCCCCACCTGCCTGCAGCAGGGGAAGCCCTGCCTCTGCCTCACCCACCTCAAGTGCTCCACGGGGAGAAGGGCCCAGGCTTAGGAAGTCCCTGAATGCCTGTGGAGCAGAGCCACTGGTGCTGAGCCTCCCGAGCAGGCTCTGCACAGCAGGCTGGTCTGGTCAGTTATTCCAACACCACGCCACAGGCCAACAGAACCCAGACACGCGGGGCTCTCGTCCCCTGGTTCCGGGCCCCTAACAGGCTGGCTCTGTTGTAAGGCCAGTGCTGCCTAAAGTGGCAAGGCTGCCAGATCCCACACTAACCCTGGGCAGCGTCTTCCATGAGGGTGGTGGAAGATGAGCAGCACTCAGGCAGAGCCTGGAGCAGACGGCTGCCGGGCAGTAACCCGGGAACAGCTTCCCTTTCACGAGGCAGGCTTCACTCCTCGGAAACACCATTGGCCAGTAAGGCTCAGAACCTGTAGCCCAGCAAGGGCGGCTATGCTTTGGGGCAAGGCCCATGAGGACCCAGTGAGCCTCTTAGAGGGGCAGAACTGCCCCAACAGGGTGGGGGCTGGGCCTGAGAGATGGGCACCTGATATCAGCTCCCCAAAGGGGCCACCATCAGGAGCTGAGGCCTAAAACACAGAGGGGCTGAGCCTGAGAGTCAGCATCGCCTGGCAGACATGGCCCTAAGTGGGGGCCAGAATCTCTAGGACACCAGCTCCTTGTCCTCGAGGGCCATGTCGAAGAGAGGTGTGGAAGAATACGACCAGACCGGAGGTGTCAGGCAGACTGTGGGTGAAGGGACAGTGCCTCTGTGAGTTTCCGGCACCCGATGGTGGGTGTGGAGGGAGGCGGAAGCCAGGGCCTGTGGCCTCCCCACCCTGCGCCTCAGAACCAGCCCAGCTCCACCAGCTGGCATGGCCACCTGCCCCATGACCACGGCAATGCTCAGGCAGGCAATGCTCCTCAGAGAGCACAGACGCTGCCCAGGGTGGAAGGGGAACACTGAAGGGCCCCCAGGCCCATCCCGCTCGCCCACCCCGCTCCACCGTCCACCTGCTTGGTTTTGTCCAGGTAGTTATGGTAAGAGATTAACGCTGTCAGCACTGGAACCACGGCCAGGTGCAGGTCAGTTCTGGAGAAGCCTTCCGGGGCGCCTCGGAGCCGCTCCACTGTCTTTGGGCTTGAAAGCTGATGACCAAACCCAGGCATGAAACCCCTGCCCAGTGGCCAGGTCACTGGGGTAACCAGGGGAGTTGGGGAGGCCCTGGGAACGCAAGCCCAAGAAAGGGCATCACGGGGCTGAGAGGGCCTTCCTGCCTCCCTCCCAGGAGGGTCTCCCTTTCAGAGTGGGAGGAGTGTCTGCCAAGCAGCACACCAGGGACGTGACGTGAACGGTACAGGAGGAAAGGCACAAACAGGAGCCATCCACACTCAGTGACACGCCCTCGGCTGGAGCCCTTCGACTTCAGTCCCATACGCTGTGAGCAGGAGCAGGGGTCCCTCTGCCCTGCCTCTGAGGCATGCTCTGCACTCCAGAGTAGAACTGAGTCTGAGGGAAACGGAGCCCCAGCCTGCAAGGTCTCACTCGCTCTGCCCAGAGGCTCCCAGTCTCTAGGGGAAGAACCCTAAGGCAGCCCCCACCCCCAACCCAGGCCGGCCATGCTACCATGGAGCAGAGGGCGGAGCACAGCTGGTCCACACTGCATGGGGAGGTGAAGATGAGCACTTTGTAGCGCAGGGACTCGGGCAGCCTGCCTAGAACCAGCTTTAGCACCTTCCAGTCAGTCTCCTGCAAGGAGAGGAGGCATCAGGATGGGGTCTTCCTGACGGAGACAGGCGGAAGCTCAACATCTGAGGCTCGGCTTGCGGCTGCATAGCCGCAAGGGCCCTGGAGCCCCACTCTCGGCCAGTGGGGGACTGCCCAGCACGGGCCTCTGTCCCTGCAGCTGCTCAGGGAAGGGAATGGCTGCCCTCCACGGGCCAGGCAAGGCAGGAGGCCCAGCAAGCTGCTGGTGGCTCCCTGTCCTCCTGGCCCCACTCACCTGCTTCAAGCACTGCAGCAAGACGCGGAAGAGCAGAGAGTAGGGCAGGGAGCCCAGCCGCACAGCCGGGCCCGCAGGCCCTGTGGGAGGAGAAAGGGAGCCGCCGGCCTTCTTCTCAGAGCCTCTCTCCAGCTCCCTGCCGAATCAAGAGAAGCAGCTGAGGCCAAGTTCCCGCAGCAGCAACAGAGCAGACTCAGTACCTCCCCACCCTGGGACATCCCTCAGACATGCAACCGGGGCCGCCACAGCCCCAGTGCCCGACGCCCTGAGCCTCATGGGCTGTGGGAAAGGCCCCACGTACATGTAGTCACAGACGCAGTAGGGGCTGAACCGCACGACCCCGTCCTTGTTGGGCAGGCCGAGGCGGTGCAGTGAGTCAGCCCGCAGCAGCAACAGGAAGTCAAAGGCCTGTCGAAGAGAGAACAGTGAAATCCAGCCAGGCTCGTGCAGGTCCAAGACAGGCGGCGCCCTCACCTGCTCGGACCTGAGTCTAGTACCATTAAGCACTCAGAAAAGGCCACCTGCTGATGAGCACACATCCACACCCCAACACAGACACAGGCTCTGTCCTGGTGACACCGGAGGCCCAGCACCCACCGCCTCCTCCCTCCCTGCCTGCCTCAGAGCTCACGCAGAGCCTGACGTCCCCACCACCACAGCTGGGCCCTCCTGGGATGGAGGGGATGGATGCCTCACTCCTCTGGCATCATCACATGCCCCCAACTGCCAGAAAGTGGAGCTTGGTTCCCAGCGTGCCACTTCTTCCATCCATGCTGAACAGGACTCCGACGCCACAGGGGGAGTCTGCTCTGGAAGGGGGGCTCCCATCCCAGTCACCTCTGCTCAGCCTAGTGCCGACATCCATAGGGCAAACTCAGTGCAGCTCCTCCAACTGTACCCTCTCCAGCCCTGCCCTGCCCTGCCCTGCCCTCCCCTGTGCTGCCCATCTGCCCAGCCCTCAGCTGCAGGTCCTTCACAGATTCTGCAGCACCAGGAGTGTCAGGGCCATGCACTCCCTGAAAGTCGCCATGCTTCCTTTTCTCTGCCTTAACCTATGCCACCATGTGGCTTAGAGTGGTAAGCCACACACACATGGACTACAGGCAGAGTTAAGGGCAGCAGGGCTGGGGAGGCTGCAGCCACAGTGGGTACAGAGGAGAGGACAGTTGGCTGAGGGTCCATCCTGGGGCCGCCTCTGCAGCTTCCAAGAACCACATCTGCCAAAATGGGGACACCTGGCTGGGCCCCAGGAACCGGTCACCCACCCTGGGCCATCGTACCTGTAGCCGGATGCTGCTGGCAATGGGCAGGGTGTACTTGTGCTTATAGTGGAGCTGGATGTGGCTGACCAGCATCTCATACACGCGCGTGGCGTGGCTCGCAGGCAGGGTGTACAGCTTGGTCTGCAGAGAGAGGACACAGCTTACCGTGGTGCAGGAGGTGGAAACACAGCCCTAAGACAGCACACCCCGGGGCAAAGGCCAAAACGGCCTCTCTAGAGAGGATGGGTGCTTCAAAACGCCACCCTTGAACCCAGGACCCCCAGGGCTTTCTCCTCAGCAGCAAAAAGTAAAACCCAGCCTCGTGAGCATCTCATTAGTAGGGTAGATCAACAGGTGAAGCACGATGCATTCAATGGACAAGCTTCAGCTGCATGGCTGAGAGCACCGAATGGGGCAGGGAGTGTGCTCTGCAGGGGGGACCCCAGGCATGGCTATCACCCCCACGAAGCCCCCACGGCACCTCCCTGACACATGAGGCAGGGCATGAGAGCCGCTGGGGCCTCCAGCAACCTTGGGGCCGGGGCCAACAAGAGGCAGTGGAAATCCAGCCACAGCCCGAGGGACCCTTCGTGGTACTCTGCACCTTGGAAGTGACTGGTGATAGTATTTACAAAACTTACGCTGTTATTTATTTATTTTTTTCTTGAGACATAGTCTCGCCGTTGCCCAGGCTAGAGCGCAAGAGCGAGATCTCAGCTCACTGCAACCTCCACTCTCCAGGTTTCAAGCGATTCTCCTGCTAAACCCCCAATCTCAGCCATCTGCCTCCACCTCCCACAGTGCTGGAATTACAAGCCTTAGCCACGGTGCCCGTGGGCTGTTACTCTTTCTAAAGAAATTATTCACACATTTACATGATTAGAGAAATCATTTAAAGAAACTACTGAGGCCAGGTGCGGTGGCTCACACCTGTAACCCCAGCACTTTGGGAGGCCGAGGTGGGCGGATCACGAGGTTAGGAGTTTGAGACCAGCCTGGCCAACGTGGTGAAACCTCATCTCTACTAAAAATACAAATTAGCCAGGTGTGGTGGCGCGTGCCCGTAATCCCAGCTACTCAGGAGGCTGAGGCAGGAGAATTGCCTGAGCCTGAAAGGCAGAGTTTGCAATGAACGGCGATTGAGCCACTGTACTCCAGCCTGGGCAACAAGAGTGAGACTCTATAAAAAAAAAAAAAAAAAAAAAAAAAGATAAATCAGAACCCCTATATGCTGCTCGAGTGGATGGAAAATGGCACAGCACCAGTGGAAACAGCCTGGTGTCACCTCAAAACGTCAAATGCAGACTAAACCTAGGTCCCAACAATCCATGCCTAGGTGCAGACCCAGGAGAAGTGAAAATGCAGGTCTGACAGGACCCTCCAACGAAGGTGCATAGCAGCTGAAAGGGGGACACAGGCCCAATGTCCACCAACACAATGTGCTCCACGGAGAGGCGATGGAATATTAGCCACGAAAAGGAAGGAAGCACTGACACTTGCCACAACCTGATGGGACTGAAAAAGTGATGCTGGATGAACAACCCAGTCACAAGACAGGAAATTCTTCCACCAGCCAATGACTTTCGGATGAATTTGCTGTGACTTCATTCCTATGAAATATTCAGAGTAGACAAATCTAGGGCTTGGTGGTACACAGGGGTGAGGCAGCAACAGGGGATAGGCAGCAACAGGGGATAAGAACTTGTGCTGCTGGTGTGCTCTGGAGGTTCTCAAGCGGACTGCGGGGAGGGCTGCAGAGCTCTGAATTGACTGAAAACAACGGAATCCTTCACTGTGAACGGGCAAACTGCATGGCACGTGAATTAAACCGCAACAAAACAGCTGCGAATATTAACCTGACCTCGGGGTGGAAATGGAGGTCCACCCTTCCCTCAGCTGCTGTGCTGGGTGCCAAGGGGAAGTGCTGTGCTGAGGATGGTCCGTTCTGGCCCTGACTTAGGAGCGCAGGGACAGGCCCTGGTCAGGGTGTAGGATAGGGCCACTCGCATCCCTGCTGTCACGGGCAGAGGCAACCAAAGGAACCTCCTTCCATCCCTCTACAGAGCAGGAGGGTTTGGCTGCCCATGGTGACCACCGCACCCTCGGCGAACCCAGGTAAGCCACCGGTCCCGCTGGGGAACAGACTCCAACATGAAGCAGACGCTGCTGGTGGACAACAGCTAGCCCCGCACATCCCAGGAGCAGAGGCCTCCCACAGAACACCCACCTGAAGGATGACCAGGAGCCCCAGGACTGCTGTCTTCACGTCCTCCAGGGAGGCTGAGTATGCAGCCACATCCCTCTCTTCCAGCTCCGGGGGTGGGGAGAGGGAGCGGGCCATCACCTTTAGAGACAAGACCAGGGCTTGGAGCCAGGCTCATCGCTCTCTATGACAGTGGCCGGCAGAACAAACACTCTCCACCATCAACACCTCCTTTGCTTTTTCTTTTCTTTTTTTTTTTGAGACAGTGTCTCACTCTGTCGCCAGGCTGGAGTGCAATGGCGCAATCTCGGCTCACTGCAATCTCCACCTCCTGTGTTCAAGTGATTCTCCTGCCTCAGCCTCCAAGTAGCTGGGACTACAAGCGCACACCATCTCACCCACCTAATTTTTTGTATTTTTAGTAGAGATGGGGATTCACCATGTTGGCCAGGATGGTCTTGATCTTCTGACGTTGTCATCTGCCCACCTCAGCCTCCCAAAGTGCTGGGGTTACAGGCGTGAGCCCCCGTACCTGGCCTTTTTCTTTTTGAGATGGAGTCTCACTCTCACCCAGGCTGGAGTGCAGTGGCAGGATTTTGGCTCACTGCAACCTTTACCTCCCAGGTTCAAGCAATTGTCCTGCCTCAACCTCCCGAGTAGCTGGGATTACAGGCGCCTGCCACCACACCTGGCTAATTTTCAAATTTTTAGTAGAAACAGGGTCTCACCATGTTGGCCAGGCTGGTCTTGAACTCCTGACCTCAAGTGATCCACCTGCCTTGGTCTCCCAAAGTAGTGGGATTAGAGGTGTGAGCCACTGTGCCTAGCCTTCATCTTGGTTTCTCAAAAGCAAAGATGCCCTTTACACCCGAGTGTGAAGAAACCAAAATGCATCTGAAAACTGAAGGGCAAGCTGCTGGCTGGGCAGGAAGGATGGCAGGCCAAAGCCCTGACCCCAGGTCTCGGCTCCAGCCAGGGTCCAGGAGGCCCAGCATGGTGGCCCCAGCATGTGACAGGACACCCATGTCCAGGACCTTCAGTCATGACACAAACCCAAAAGTGGCAGGCCCTGCACAGGCCTCCTGACACCCATACTGCAGGGAGAGGAGCCTCACCAATGGAGACAGCCACCAGTCACTTGAAGAAAGGAACAGAGGGCCCAGAAGCCATTTCTGCCCATGGGGCTCTGACACCGTAGCACCCCGGCCCTTGGTCCAACGGCGCTCACCTTCTCAATGATGTCCAGCAGGCTGTTGAAGTGGTGTGTGTGGCAGCCCTCTGCCAGGTCCACCAGCAACTGGGTGGCCAGCTTTCGGACCTGGTGGTCTTTATCCTCGGGGATGTGGGAGAGCTGGGAGATGACCACCGAGTTAATCAGCTCCTCCTGCACAGGCACAAGGGAGGCAAGGTGAGCACCAGCTCAATGAGGGCCACATCTCACGAACTTCCAATTCTACAGGGCACCGACCTGGAAGCAGTGGACATGTCCCTCAAGCCTTCAGCACAGCTGGGCAGGGAGCATCGGCACCAATGAGCATGACTCAAGAGACCCCAGTGCCCCTTCCTAGGGATCCCGTCCAGTCCCTTGTTCAGAAGACTAGCCGGCACAGGCTCAGGGCCCAGGATTCACAAGGGAGCAGCAGAGGAGAGGCCCTGCTGGTGGCCGGTCACCGTCACAGCCAAGAGCCCCTCCCATGTGGGGCTGTGAGTATGTGCATGAGGGTGAGTGCGGGTGGGTGTGAGTACGTGTGGGCATGTGCACGTGTGTGTGTTGGAGAAATGGAGGCCCTGGCAGCACACCACCTGTGCTGGGGACGGCATGAGTTTTTACAGAAGCAGGTAAAAGGTTCCACAGGAACACAGAACAGGACAAGACCCCTGATGAGAGAAGCCAGAGAACCCAAAGGAACTTCCTGGAGGCAGCCCTTAGCTCCACCGGATGGGACTTGGGATTGCAACACCCAGAGGCGGGCGATTCAGGGAGAGTGGAGGCTGCGGAGGGGAGCACAGGGGGCAGCTCTCAGCAGGGGAGGACTTCGAGGCTGCGGGCAGGGGTGCAGCGGAAAGGGACAGCCTCAGAGCCTAAGCTGTGTCTACTGGGAAAGGGGTGGGTACAGCTGGCAGGCACACAGTCTCTCTCAAGGAAGGTGCACAGGGTGAACGCCATGACAAAAACAGAAGACGATGTCCCCACACCAGACTGGTCTAAACTAACTCACAACAGAATTCTTAAGAGGCTTCTGTGTTTGGTGATGACCCGGCCGGGGCTCCCTGAGGCCAGGCGCTGTGCCCATCTTGCTACCTGGCCATGTGTCAAGGCCTGGCCCAGGCCTGCCAGAGGCAGCCAGGACGAGCAAGCTAGCGAATGAACAGGGGTAAACAGACCATGCCGGGGGCTGCAGAGGGCCCAGCAGGACCGAAGTCCCAGGCAGACTGCAGCTCTGCAGGAGCATGTGCAAGGCGGGACAGCCTGCCCCATGAAGAAACAGCCCTGAGCCCCCAGCTGCAGATGCCCAGGACACATACCTCATAGAATTGCCTGTTGATGAGCAGCACGAAGGACAGCACATCCAGCACCTTGATGCGCACGGCGCCTCGGGACTCGCTCCTGTGAGACAGCAGCCTGCTGGGGCAGCGGGGAGTACCTGGCCACAGCCCCGCACTAGCCTGTCCGCCTGGCACTGGCCAGCCCAACTGTGGGTCCTCCCGTGGCCAGGCACACATGGCACAGGGCTCTGCCTCCCAGGACAGGTCTCTACAGACAACCCCCGACAGGAGGAAGCCCAGCGGCATCGAGAGAGGATTTTGTCCTGCTGGAAAGCAAGCTAACAACAGCTCACCCAGAGCCGGGGTGCTCCAGAGGCAGAGAGGAAGGCTGTTTATCGGCCATCCTGAGACCCAGCCCAGGGTGAGGGACCCAGAAAGAGACAGGGCCAGGCTTCAGGCTTCAGGCAGGGCTGCAGAGGCCCCCCTACCTGAAGAATCTCTCCATCAGTGCCTGCAGGTTCTGAATCCAGCCATCCTTGGCCGGGTGGATGGACTGCGCTCTATACGAGATGAGGTTCAGGAGGGAGGACTCCTGTCAAAAGAAGAGCCAGCGTTGGCGCCTGCCCCTCCAGTGCTCTCCTTCTCCACACTGGGCTGCTGGCCCGGAGGCTGCTTTGCTCTTGGAACGCAGCTGCCTCACAGCCTGCAGGGAGCCCACAGACACAAAGGCACTCCTGGCAGTGGGGGAGACTCGTGTACAAACCCACGGAAAAGCCTGGGCACCAAGCTGAGTGTTCCTGGCAAAACGACTGCTGCCGCCTGGGAGCCACAGGGCTCCACAGAGTTGGGCGGAAGCTTCCTCCACGCAGGTGAGAGGAGACCGATGGGCAGGCTAACGCTGAGCTCGCCAGCAGACACGTGCTCCGCCCGTTGGTGCCCTGGCAGCCTTCCTTGCCCTAGTGCAGAAAGCAGGTGCCCACCCAGCCTTTGGCTTCCAAGGCTCAGAAAGCTGCACTTCACCCAGAACCGGCCCCTCCCTGCCAGCCAAAGCCCAAAAGGCCCACCCGAGAGGGACTCTTACAGGCCTCTGGTCTGCACAGCTCTCCACCAGCTCAAAGTATCTCTCCTGGGAACCGTGGAACTCGTTCTGGTCACACAGCTCCTCCACCGTGGTCAGCAGGTCATGGACGATGGTCCTGAGCTCCAGGCTGTCCAGAGTCTGCAGTGGGCACGGTGACACAGGCTGACTTCCACTCCCCACACGGACTCAGCACCAGAGGCCTCGCTCTGCACCCGCTGCATGGGGACACTCCCGGCCAACTCAAGCCACACTGGGCCACATGGAGACAGACAGCCCCAGCCCTCTGAGGCCATGCAGGTTAAGACACCCCCCAGATCCTCTCCAGGGGCCACACTGGGCCACATGGGTCAATATGCCCCCCACTAGGTCCTCTCCAGGGGCCACAGTGGCTGTGTTGGCAGCTGCTGTTCCTGCCCATACCCCACTCTCAAGGAATCCAGGCTATGCCCACACAAGGAGGAAGCTCAGGCAGGAAGGCTGACGGCAGCCACAGCCATAGGCCCTTTCTTGCCTCTCCCAAGTCCAGCCTTTTCTAGAAGCCCTGGACTATGGCTTCTGCCACTGCCACTCGGAACTGCAGCATCCCCTGGCCAGCGGTCGGTGGCAATGGTCTGGCCAGCAACAGGCCCTGAGAGGACCTCAGTCCCTGCTAAGCCCTGGCCTCCCTTCCATCGTCTAGTCTCCTGTACATCGCCCGGCACAGGCTCCAGGAAAAGGCCCAGCCCTGAGCCCCTGCTTGTTACCAGCCTCGCCTCCCCAGAGCCCCTAAACTGATGAGGCTGTGTGGCTGTGGAGTCCTCGTTATAGATGTAGTTAACAGACTTGACTAATGCTGTCTTGTCACACCAAAGCCACACTGGATTCCCTCTAGGTCATGAAGGTGGCCTGCAGGTCACTCTGCAGACTGAGCAACACTGGCCCAGGGGCAGCTCACCTACTGCATATCCCTGTCTGGGGCCGAAATGATGGAGCACATCTGGAAGGATCAGATCTGTCTCCAGTAAAAGGTGGATTCGCACCCCAGTGAATCACCAGAGAACACAGTTCCAGCAGTCTCTACGGGACGCCCAGAGATGGGGCCCAAGGTACCATCTTCTGAGTGGGCTGAGCCTGCCCGTCTGGGGTCCCAGTGCTTCCTGGAGCTCCTGCCCTCGCCTCACCTGGAGCTGCTGAAGGAGCCGTTCGATGATGTTCAGCAGAATGTCCCATGTCACCGCCTGGAGCTCCTTCCTGTACTTCTTGATGAGCCTGGTGATTGACAGGACAATCTCATAGGACACCACCTCATTCGCACACGCCATAGCCTGGAACACAGGGCAGCACACAGGGTCAGAGCAGCTTGCTGAACAAGGAACGCCCTCCCTGTCACCCTTGGAACTGGGCAAAGTACACCTGAGCCCACGATGCCCACCATGCATGCATCATGGGCCACAGAAAAAGCATGTGGGGCACCCAGGACGGGTTTTCTACATGCTCCGGTACTGTCAGGACACAGACAGGGCCCCACCTCCATGACTGCCTGCAAAGTCCCTGACTCAAGACAGACCAGCAACTCTGAATCCTGGGCACCCAGTGTACCAGCCCAGCAGCACCCGAAAGCTGCCCCAAGTTCTGCTGCAAGCCGTGCACAAAGACGACACCCACCCCCACCGCCCCTATGGGGAAGGTTGCAGCAGCAAGAGCAGAGGATCAGGAGAGCCCGTGTGACCCGCACTGCAGCACATCTGAGCTGCTCCTCACTATAAAACCAGGATGGCCGGGCACGGTGGCTCAAGCCTGTAATCCCGGCACTGTGGGAGGCTGAGGCAGGCGGATCACAAGGTCAAGAGATCGAGACCATCCTGGCCAACATGGTAAAACCCCATCTCTACTAAAATATAAAAATTAGCTGGGCATGGTGGCACTCGTCTGCAGTCCCAGCTATTTGGGAGGCTGAAGCAGGAGAATTGCTTGAACCCAGGAGGTAGAGGTTGCAGTGAGCCAAGATCGCGCCATTGCACTCCAGCCTGGTGCCTGGCGACAGAGCGAGACTCTGTCTCATAAAAAAAACAGGATGATGCTTATGCCCTGGCCTCCAGGGGGCTATGGGCACCAAATGAGGACGCGCATAGAATGCGTGCCAGTCATTGCAGGGCACTATGGAAACTGAAGCTGTGCCCCCAGCATCTGTGCCACAGCATCACTGCAGAGACAGGGCACGCTTAGCACTGGACAAAACAGAACCATCAACAGCAAGAGAACGGCTGTCCCAGAGGGAGCATTCAGCTCCAGATGATGAAACTGTAAGATGTATGGTTTGCTTGATAATAAAGCCTTAAGGCCGGGTGCAGTAGCTCACGCCTGTAATCCCAGCACTTTGGGGGGCCAAGGTGGCTGGATCACCTGAGGTCAGGAGTTCCAGAACAGCCTGGACAACATGGTGAAACCCCGTCTCTACTAAAAATACAAAAACTTAGCCAGGTGTTGTGGCACATGCCTGTAGTCCCAGCTACTCAGGAGGCTGAAGCACGAGAATCACTTGAACCCTGGAGGCAGAAGCTGCAGTCAGCCAAGACTGTGCCACTGTACTCCAGCCTGGGCAACAAGAGTGAAACTCTGTCTCAAAAAAAAAGGAGAATAAAGCCTTCACAGTAGCCCCAGACTTCACCCCTGGTGGCAAAGCAACTGCCTGGAAAGACCTAAAAATGCAACCGCAGCCCCCATAGCAGGACCCCCAGCAGGGTGGGCGGGCAAGGCCTGTTCCTGCCAACTCACTGGGCAAGGAAACCGCCTCACCTGGTAAAATGATGGCAGCACGGATGTCGGCGAGTTCCTGAGAGAATAGAGCCGGTGGGCTCCCCAGAGAGCCATGCCCACAAAAAACACGGCTCCTCTCAGCAGGGGGGCGTCTTCCATGTAGGCTCTGAAAGTGTTCCCCAGAGAGACAGTACGTGAGCAGGGCCCCAGCCCAGGGTCTGCCATAGATGGGTGAGGTTGCTGGGGCTTCTGCAGCAGCCCCAGAGGTCCCTGTGCTTAGGGGACAGGAGCACACTGGGCAGGGCGGGGAACACAGGCCAACAGTAACACTCTCGTTCACTCTGACACACAGGTGGCAGCCCATCACCGCTGACCATACTGTGAGCCACAGGTCATGCCAGGGACAGGAAGGGGGCAAGAGGGACGACCCTCAGCCTCACAGTCTGGGGGGAGACATAGGCGCCAGCCACACCATTTCCCAGGTAAATGCAAAATCTCCTTGTCCAATCACAGCCAAGGAGAGCTCACAGGATGACGGCAAAACCTACTCTGGGAGGTGGGGGAGTTAGTGACCATGCTAAGCCTCAGGGAACACTCAGACCAGCTTATAGAAGGTGGAAGAACCTTCCAGCAAGAGGAATCAGTGCATGCACAAGCCCGAGGTGGGCGGGAGATGGCAAGATGGAAGGAATGAGGGGAGCAGGGGCTGAGGCAGGGCTGGGCCCCCAGGGTCTGGTTCCATGGGAGGAACTTGCATCCCGAGGGCACTGGGAACCAACTGGCTTCAGGCAAAGGGTGACATGGTCAAATCTGTGTCAGAAAAAAGCCACCTGGGTGCTGCATAGAGGAGTGGGCTTCAGGAGGTAGGGACAGATACAGGAGAGCAGGAGGAGGGGAAGCTGAGAGCATGGATGGGAGGCCAGGGTGTGGGCAGAGCTGAGCCACCTCCCGGGGCTAGAGCAACAGAACTGGCCACAGTGTGGCTGTGGGGGTAAAGGGAAGGGCAGTGTCAAGGTCAAGACCTCAAGCCTCGCCTTGTAACAGGCTAAGCCCCGCTGGAGGATGTCCTGGCACAGGGGCAGGCTCCAAGCTGGTTGTGGACATTCTGTTGAACTGACAGAGGAAGGAGAGGACAAGGACTCGCTCCCAGAAGTCACGGGCCTCACTCTAGTGGCAGCCTCTCGAACAGCGGCCCGAAAGGACAGGGACTCTCTAAGCCAATGTGTGCTCAGCAAGGGACACGGAGGCTGCCCCGAGGGCTGTGTTGGCCTCCACGGCCCTGAACCCCGCCCAGTGCACTTGCCTGTCCTCCATGAGGTGGCACATGTTGTAGATGGCGCTGTGACCCAGGTGGGTGCCAAGGAGGTTCCGCATCAGCTGCAAGACACGATGCATGTCAGGGGCTGGCAGGCACAAGCCCCGCCCCCAGCCCCAGTCCCTCTGCGGCCCCGCCTGGCTGCTGCTGTAGACACTCAAGGTTCGGCCAGCTCACCACTATCTCCTCCAAACACAGGGGCAGCGGGGTTCTCAACACGCCACCAAAACCCTGATCTCAGCTCAACTGCCCGAGAAAATGACACTGGCCATCCATCAACAGGCTATTGTCTTGCCATCCCAAGAATCAGGTGACCATTCATGGAAAACAAGCCAGCCCTCGTCCCATCTGTGTGCCCTCATGGGAAACAAGCCGGCCCTCGTCCCATCCGTGTGCCCTCAGGAACCTTCCGGAGCAGCTTCAGAGACCCCACCTTCCAGCAAGGCTCGCAGAGCTCCTTGGCGTTGACGGTGCGACAGAGAGTGACAATGAACACTGGGAGGCTCTCGGCCGGCAGGCAGTTGTAGCAGACCACAGCGTCCAGCACCTGCAGGGAGACCTGGAGGGAAGAAGACACGGCTCACGCCACTGCTGCCCCAGCTCCTGGCTGAGGAGGACACCCAGGCCTCCTTCCCACCTCCTTCAGCCAGCACTGCCACGCCTCCCCACTTCCCAGGCCGCCTCTCTCCAAGCCACAGGGCAAGCGGGCATGTGGGAAGCACCCAACATCCCTGTCACTGAGGGTCATTGATGCTGTCATCTACCCTGAGCTCCAACTCCACATGGAGGCGCCCTGCTGTCCTGACTTACACGGGGGACTCCTAAGGCTCAGGGAGACCGAGCAGCTTCCCCAGGGCCACACAGCCAGCAGATGCCACAGAGGGCTCAACCCCCAAGCCCAAGCCTCCCAGATATGAGGGCGAAATGGACTGGCCCTGGAGAGGGGAGGCACTGACCTCTATGTCCACAGAGGACGCGGTCCGGACACACAGCAGACAGATCATCCTGCAGGGGGCACTGTGCTCAGTCCTGGCAGCGCTGCCTGGAGGGCCAAGCCGCCCCAGGCTGTGGTTTAGTCACTACACGTCAGTTACACACGTGGCTCGTCCTCCCTGGGGGTCCCACCCACCCAACAAGCACTCAGGTTCCTGCCGTGCACCAGCCACTGCGCTCAGTGCTGGGTGTTCAGCAGGAGTGAGACAGAGGCCCGGCTCTCAGAGATTTCAGGCAACAAATCATGACAAAAAGGAACTAAATATCAGGTGACAGCTCCGTAGAAGGGAGCTACGTCAACCATCAGCCTCTCCCTTTTTTGGTGATTTCAACAACTTTATCTGCCCTGCGGAGCTGACCGCAGGACCGTCATCAGAACAATCTCCATTCTTTTCTTACTGAACCATCCTTGCGATGTATTCGTCGAGGTAGCAGCTGTTGAATTTCACCAAATTCACCAGCACCAGAAGGAATTCCGAGGACAAGCCAACATCCATCCACTGCAGGACAAAGTCAGCTGGGGGAGAAGCGGCAGCAGTCTGCAAGGATGCTGAATCCATACCTCCCACTCGCCTCCCCCGGCAGGACAGTGTGTCCAAACCCATCGCTGCCGGATACCACATCTTCAGTCCCCCTGCAGCAACAGGCAGGCCACGCACATATACTAGAATCCACCATCCCTGGGACTGTGCAGAGGGTCTGAGCCAAGACGGCAGCAGGAGCGTGTGCTGTACACTCAGAGCCCAACTGAGGCTGGAAGGCATCAATACCCCCAGATTCCTGGGCATTCGCCACTGCCCCACAAGAGAGCCACTTGGAGGAGATGCCCACACACTTGGCTGCCAGCCTTGTCACTTCAGACAAGAAACCTGCTAGCAGGCACCTGGCCAGCACCTGGCCGGGGGGCAGCCCAGCCGCTGAGGCCCTTTTCTGGGTGACAGAACAGTGGAGCCTGAGTCGGACTGATCTCTTCCTCCTCTTTCTCTACTCTGCACAATAATGATACAGAGACCCAGGACAACGGAAACCTCCCACTGCAGGATGGCAGGAGGAAGGTCCAAAAAGGGGGAATGGGAGGACGAGGATGGGACCAGCACACTCCAGTGAGACCGGGTCAGCAGCGCCACCTCCCGGTGAAAGAACTCAGCCCAGCTCCTGCCACTGCAGGAGTATTCCTAGGTTCCAGGCCCCAGAGACTCACAGTCAGCAGGTCTGGGGTGAAAGCCAGGACTCTGCATTTTTAACAGGTGCCCCAGGAGATTCGGGCCATGCAGGTGAGCCCAGATGCATGGAGCAGCACAAGCGTACACGCTGCAGCCACTCCCCAGCCCTAGGTCCTTCCCATCCCAGACCACACTTGTTCGCCAAGGGCAGAGAAACCTCACACCCAATGTGGCACCCACCCAGCTCTTCCTCCAAGTAGGTGATATGTCTCCCATTGTCCGTGAGGGCCTTGAAAACTTCCAGCCTTTCGTGGAGGTCTTCGTTGGAAGGGTAATCCTTGATGACCTTAAAGAAGAGAGCCCTGAGGATCCCCAAACGCTCGCCCTAAAGACAAAAGACACAGGATCAGCAGACCTGCCAGCATCTCCTCCACAGCTGCCAGAAGTCCCTGAAGGGCAGGGGGCACCTGCACTCCAGCCCTGGGCTCCATTCTTCCCACGAGTGCCCTGCAAGGGACAGTTCTGCAACATCAGTGGTATTCAGGGCAGGGGGCCGCTGACCCGCATATGGGAGCACCTGCTTCGTGTCGGTTCCTGGCACAGTGGGCTGTGCAGGGCAGAGACCACTCAGCTCCCACCTGACCCCTGCACTTGGCCCAGGGCAGGCACCCTTGTGCTCACAGACTGATGACAAAGCTGAAGCGGGGGAAGCCCAGGAGAGCCCGTGAGAGCGACAGCCCTTTTGAGCAGCGAGCAGCGAGACAGGAAGGAGTGGAAGTGGCCAACCGCGGGAGGCTGGAACAGCAAGAGGCCTGGGTGTTCAGGGTCACCCGAGACCAGCACGGCTGGAACGCAGTGAACAGGGGAGCGGCCCCGAAAGGGGGCGGGGGCAGAACAATGCCGCAGCCGTGCACCAGCTGCCAGGCACAGTCTCAGCACTCTGTAAGAACTGCCTCACAGGATCTCCAGAACATCCCAGAAGAGGAAGAGGCAACGACCATCTCTGATTACAAGCGAAGAGGCAGTGCCCACAGTCACACAGACATCGTGACAACAGGAGACCTCAAAGGACATCCAGCTCCAGAGCCTGTCAGCCCCTAGACCCTGTGCCCAGCACCTCACCTAGGCATGAGTCCAAACCCGGCCCCGCAGGGACAGGACAATAAGTGGGCGGCCCGACGTCATTCATCCCAGCGTGGCCCCGGGCCTTACCTGCCCCTGCACGATGGCCTTCAGCAGAGCCAGCACCGCGTGCCGGGCTTCCAGCGGCCGTTCTGGCTGCAACATATCCGCAACTGCCTTCCAGAGTGCTTCCACTGCATGCTGTCACCAGCAGAAGGGACAGCGGTGAGGACGTGCTCTCCAAGAACCCTGACCCCGTCAATTGGAGGACAGTGCCATGAGCAGAGGAAAGGGCGGAACAACAGGGGCTTGTGACTTACAGCCCACCTCTAAAGCTCACATTTCATGTGTGTCCTGCAGCCTGTGATGACCACAGGCTTGGAATGGGGAATGACTCAGACCTGCCTCAAACTCCAGCAGGTCCCTTTCACCACCACCAGGTGACCAACTGGGAGCACAGAGGACAGCAGCAGGCCAGGGCAGCTATCCTGGCCTCATCTGGACCAGCAGGCATCCCACTAGAGCTGTGTGAACACTGGCAGGAAGTCATGGGACAGTGTCAGAACCAGAGTGCACACTGAGCCCTGGGCCTGCACCTACCCCAGAAACCCTGCTCGTGGCCTTCCTCTAGTGAACACGCTGGCCTCGGGCCCTCGGCCCCACACCCCTACCCAGCCCCTGCTGCCCACCTGCTGAAATCTGCCTCCTCTAACTCCCACCCAGCCTGTGCGGTGCTCGGCCCTGCTCCCTAGAGCTGCGTTCTTTTAGGTGTCATCTGACCAACGTCCCAACCAATTCAGGACAGCTGGCATTCTCACCTCCTTTGTCTCACTGACAATACTCCTATGGCTGCAACCTGAGTTGCAAAGATGTGTGGACACAGGGCCCAGGACCATCCCAGCCTCAGAGACCTGTTCATCTGTTCAAAGGCTGCTGCGTACCCACACACACAGCTTTCAGAACTGGATGCAGGATGCTTATTCTTTTTTTTTTCTGGAGACAGAGTCTTGCTCTGTCACCCGGGCTGGAGTACAATGGCATGATCTCAGCTCACCACAACCTCCGCTTCCCAAGTTTAAGCGATTCTCCTGCTTCAGTCTTCCAAACAGCTGGGATTACAGGTGCCCGCCACCACGCTGCCTGGCTAATTTTTGTATTTTCAGTAGAGACAGGGCTTCACCATGTTGACCAGGCTGGTCTTGAACTCCTGACCTCAGGCAATCTGTCTGCCTTGGCCTCCCAAAGCGCTAAGATTACAGGCAGGAGCCACTGTGCTGGCCCAAGGATGCCTATAATTTTGTTTTTTTAAGATGGAGTCTTGCTCTGTTGCTCAGGCTGCAGTGCAGTGGCATAATCTTGGCTCACTGCAACCTCTGCTTCCCAGGTTCAAGCAATCCTCCCACCTCAGCCTCCCGAGTAGCTAGGATTACAGGCGCACACCACCATGCCCAGCTAATTTTTGTACTTTTTTTTTTTTCTTTAGTAGAGATGGGGTTTCACCATGTTGGCCAGCTGGTCTCAAACTCCTGACCTTGTGATCCGCCCACCGCAGCCTCCCAAAGTGTTGGGATTACAGGCGTGAGCCACTGTGCCCTGCCAAGGATGCCTATTTTTTTTTTTCTGAGACTGAGTCTTACTCTGTCGCCCAGGCTAGAGTGCAGTGGCACGATCTCGGTTCACCTCTGCCTCCCAGGTTCAAGCAATTCTCTGCCTCAGCCTTCTAAGTAGTTGGAATTACATATACCTGCCACCATGCTAGGCTAATTTTTGTATTTTTATTAGAGACGGGCTTTCATCATCTCGGCCAGGCTGGTCTTGAACTCCTGACCTCAGGTGATCTACGCACCTTGGCCTCCCAAAGTGCTGGGAATACAGGCGTGAGCCACCGCTCTCGGCAGGATGCCTACCCTTTACACTTATCCTTGGCAACATGCAGCCGGCATGTTTCAGATGAGCTGCTACAGGGGCAGCAGTCTCTCTCCTCTTAGCAGATCCAAGCCTGAGAGGTCCAGGTATCCCCCCACTCTCCCACACAAACGCTGGCCAAGGTGGCCCTGAGGTGCCCCAGCTGCAACATGCACTCCAGGAATGACCACTTCCCATCCTGTCTCCGGGTCACCAGGAAAGCCTGGCAGTGTCTTCCCAAAATAAACATGTCTATGTCCATGAAGTCACCCAATACCACCAACCAGTCACCCTCCCAAAATGGCACCAGGACCAGTGTGCGTAGGGTTGTTCTCTGTGGAACCAACCCTTTCTTGATTTTTCTCCACCTGAACTTATACTACAAGAGGGCGAGTGAGCATGTATTAGTGTCAGCCACTGCAAACCTTTTTTTTTCTTTTTGAGACAGAGTCTCGCTCTGTCGCCCAGGCTAGAGTGCAGTGGCAAATCCCAGTCCACTGCAACCTCCACCTCCTGGGTTCAAGTGATTCTCCTTCCTCAGCCTCCCAAGTAGCTGGGATTACAGGCGCACACCACCATGCCTCACTAATTTTTGTATTTTTAGCAGAGAGGGGGTTTCGCCATGTTGGCCACCCTGGTCTTGAACTCCTGACTTCAGGTGATCCACCCACCTGGGCCTCCCAAAGTACTGGGATTACAGGTGTAACCCACCGTGCCCAGCCTCCAAACCCTTTCTGTGTTGCTAGAAAAGCCTAATCCCTTTGCTCTGCATGTCCACACTTGATTGGTCCCTCAAGGCTGTACTCAGGGCATTTCCAGAAGCTTCCCCATCACTAAGAGGAAAGCTAAATTTCCCTACAATAGTGCAAACCAGCTGGGTGCGGTAGCTCACACCTGTAATCCCAGCACTTTGGGAGTCCAAGGCAGGCAGATCACGAGGTCAGGAGTTCAAGACCAGCCTGACCAAAATAGTGAAACCCCATCTCTATTAAAAATACAAAAATTAGCCAGGTGTGGTGGTGCGCACCTGTAGTCCCAGCTACTGGGGAGGTTGAGACAGGAGAATTGCTTAAACCAGGAGGTGGAGGTTGTAATGAGCCAAGACCACACCACTGCACTCCAGCCCGGGTGACAGAGCAAGACTCCATCTCGGAAAAAAAAAAGACAGTGCAAACCGGATCATCAGCAGTCAGCTGTCAACCATGCACCTGAAAAAGGCAAACTCAGGCTTCGAAACAGTCCCCATGCCCCGCTCTAGGAGTTCAGTTGGACAAACCTACCTCTTCAAATTTCTTCGTTCTTGCAACTTCACAAATCTGTCCTATCATCCGGATGCGGTTGTTGAGGCCACATTCCACACTCAGTTCCTAGAGAAAGTTGAAAGAAGAAAAAGGGACCATCGCTCAGGTCACAGTCTCCTCGACTGCACGTCACAAACCACCTAAAGACTCGCACTGCATTTTCCAGACTAGAGACTTAAAACAGATATTTCTAAGCTGGTTGTGGTGGCTCACACCTGTAATCCCAGCACTTTGCGGGGCTGAGGCGGGTGGACTGGCTGAGGTCAGGAGTTCAAGACCACTGGCCAACGTGGTGAAACCCTGTTTCCACTAAAAATACAAAAAATATTAGCTAGGCGTGGTGGCACATGCCTGTAACTCCAGCTACTCGAGAAACTGAGACAGGAGAACTGCTTGAACCTGGGAGGCGGAGGTTGCAGTGAGCAGAGATGACACCACTGCACTCCAGCCTGGGCGACAGAGCAAAACTCCATCTGGAAAAAAAAAGTTATTTCTGAAATCAAGATTCACCAAGGGGCTTAGTGCTCCAACCTGGGGAGTTGAAATGTGCAATTTTTTTTCATGACTAAAATTTTGTATTGAGATACAACATAACATGAATTATACCATTAACAATTTCAACCTGTACAATTCAGTCTTTTTTTTTTTTTTAATTTTTTTTGAGATGGAATCTCACTCTATTGCTTGGTCTGGAGTGCAGTGGTACAATCTCAGCTCACTGCAACCTCTGCCTCCGGGTTCAAGCAATTCTCCTGCCTCAGCCTCCCGAGTAGCTGAGATCACAGGCGCCTGCCACCACACCTGGCTAATTTTTGTATTTTTAGTAGAGACGGGTTTTCACCATGTTGGTCAGGCTGGTCTCGAACTCCTGACCCTCAGGTGATCCACCCACCTTGGCCTCCCAAAGTGCTAGGATTACAGGCGTGAGCCATGGTGCCTGGCCCAATTCAGTCTTTCGTATAATCACAATTCTTGCAGCTATCTCTGCTAATTCCAGAACATTTTCATCATCCCAAAAGAAAATTCCGTACCAACTCCGTCTTCACCCCACCCCTGGCAAATATGAATATACTTCGTGTCTGAATGGATGGGTCTCGTTGAGCATCTCACGTAAGTGAGTTGGGCAGCACAGGGCGTTTATAAGCTTCTCTCGCCGGCACGTTCTCCAGCTTCATCTATGCTGCAGGCGCATTAGCGCTTCATGCCTTTCTATCGCCAAATCACATCCCATTGTATGGATGGACTAGATTCTATTTATCCACTCATCAGTTGATGAACGTTTTGGTTATCTCTAATTAGAAAACTTTACAAGTACAAAAATTCAGCATTTACTCACGGGCAAAACACAATGCCAAGTATGTGTGACAAACATACATAAAAAGTAAGGAGCTAGTCCCAGGCGCAGCAGCTCACACCTGTAATCCCAGCACTTCGAGAGGCCGAGGCGGGCAGATAACGTGCAGTCAGGAGTACAAGGCAAGCCTGGCCATTGTGGTGAAACCTGTCTCTACTAAAAATACAAAAACTAGCCGGGTGTGGTAGTGCCCGCCTGTAGTCCCAGCTACTTGGGAGGCTGAGGCAAGAGAATTGCTTGAACCCAGGAGGCAGAGGTAGCAGTGAGTGGAGACTGCGCCACTGTACTCCAGCCTAGGCAACAGAGCAAGACTCCATCTCAAAAAAAATAAAAATTAGCCAGGTGTGGTGGCAGGCACTTGTAGTCCCAACTACTTGGGAGGCTGCACTAGGAGAATCCCTTGAACCTCAGTGGCAGAGGTTGCAGTGAGCAGAGATGGCGCCACTGCACTCTAGCCGAGGTGACAGAGGGAGACTCAGTCTCAAAAAAAAAATAAAATAAAATAAGAAGAAGAACCTATTTTTCCCCGGAACTCACGTATTATTATTTAACACCAGGCTATATCCTTACCTGTGAAGATGACGATACTCAGGCCACATCTATAAAATGGGCTTTGTTTCAACATCTCAATAGTAACTCAAGTGTGCCTAAAGCCGGTCACCAAGATCCTGACTTTCCGAGTCAGGATCCTGAGGAAGGACATGTAGGCCTCCAAGTACTGGAGACAACGTTCCTGTGCAGACAGTCACCAACAACCCATCTCCCCCAGAAGCTGGTGCGAGACCAACCCAACCTTCCCCGCTCAGACGCTGCGCCCACCCCGCCCGACTTCTCTGTAGCCCAAACACAAAGGCAGCTCGCTCACCCGCAGGACTTCCGCGGTGATGATAAACTCTGTCTGTTTGCCCTCTGCAGACCTGGGATTTGGCCTCGGTGTTCCCAGTCCCAACAGATTCTTAAACTTCTCCTTCAGGCCCGAATCTTTGCTTGTGGGCTTGGCCATGGTGGGCCAGAACGCACCAGGAAACCCCTCTGAGAAAACAGAATAAGCATGGGGACATGCGAGCAACAGCTCTGCCCACCTTCCCCACTGCGGACCTCCAGCCGTCAGGACGCTGGGTCTCTGGGGGGCATAACCTCTCCTCCCACTGCCCCTGGGAGAACTCAGGCACCTAGGAAAGCCTGGGAGATACCAGGCCTGGTCTAGGGGGCTCTCTGCTCAGACGCTGCCGCCCACCCCGCCCGACTCAGTGCACGGGTTAGGACGGCCGCCGCGAGGTCCAGGGAGCCCCGACGTTTGCCACGTCTCCTCTCCCCATGTGGAGGAGGAGCTGTCAAGGAACCGCCTGCAGCAGAGACCCGCTGGCACCCGCCATGACTTCAAACCAAGGGATGCTCGGAGCTCCGGGATCCGGATGCAGTGGGCGCGGGTGAGGCCCGGGACCCGGACACTGCAGGGTCCGCCTCTCCAGGCCGCTGCCCTGCTGCCCTGTGGGAACCGGGCCACAGTGTGGCCCAGGCCACTCACCCCACGCCGCGCCACCGCGAGCCGGGTAGTCCCGACGCGGAGAAAGGCGCACCCCCTCGGTCGCGGACGCCGCCGGAAGCGCGACTTGCGCTTCCGCCAGCGGCACCGCACGGAGAACCCCCGCGAAGTTTGCTGGGAGTTGTAGTTCTGGTCCGCCCGCTGGAGGAAAGGCCGGAGAGCTTAAAGTCACTTGACGGGGCCGCGGGGGCCGCCGGGATGTGTAGTCCGCAGGAGTTCGGCATGAATGCCTGGAGCGGGAGGATGCTGACCCGGAGCCGGAGCCGGAGCCGGGGACCCGGGGCTGGGCCGCGGAGGTGTCGGGAGGAGCCCGAGCCTCTCCGGAAGGGAGAGGCTGCAGCAGGTAGCCCCGCACCCTGGCCGGAGCAAGGGAGGAGGCGGGATAGGGGCTGCAGGCTGGAGTCCCCGGCCGCCTCCTACGGCTCCTAGCTGCGCGGACAGGAGCTGTAGACCCTGCATTCGCGAACGATTCCTTGACTCCACGTGCGACCCTGCGCTCCCATCTTGCGCTCTTTTCCCAAAAGTCGCGGTCCACAGGGGCTGGGTGGCGGGCACTCCGCTCGGCTGCCCACTTTTGCCCCGGGCAAGAAAACGCTTCCCTTCCCACCAGCCTGCCCCGGACTCTTCACTCCAGGCGCCGTGGGCCCCAGCCCCGCCCTCCTGCAGTGAACTTGCTTCTCTTAGAGAGGCTGGGTGCCAAGGACACACCCAGCCAGCAGCCTGCTCCCTCAGCTCGAGGGTGCCTCAGAGGGAAAACAGGAAAGGGCATGGCACTCGTTATATTTATCCTGCAGCCGTTAAGGACATGTTGAGGGCCAAGCATGGCGGTGAGCAGAGAGGGACATGGACAGGGCCCCTGCACTAGTCCCGCCGGGACTTCCGCAGAATTGGCCAGAGGGGGATTCCCATAGGCACCCAGGGGCCCCAGGCATGGCAGGGATCGCTACAGCTGGGAGCAGGCAGGCGGTGATGCCAGCCAGGGCGACAGGAGCTTTGATGCCAGGATAGAGTTTGGACTTTATTATGGCAGCAAAGGGAAGTCAATTAGGATATTTTATTTGTTTTGAGACACTCGTGTTCTGTCACCGAGACTGGAGTGCAGTGGCGTGATCTCAGCTTGCTGCAACTTCTGCCTCCGGGTTCAAGCTGTTCTCCTGCCTCAGCCTCCCAAGTAGCTGAGACCATAGGCACCCGCCACCAAACCCGGCTAAGTTTTGTGCTTTTAGTAGAGATAGGGTTTCACCATGTTGGCCAGGCTGGTCTCAAACTCCTGATCTCAAGGATCCACCTGCCTGAGCCTCCCAAAGTGCTGGGATTACAGGCGTGAGCCACCACGCCCAGCCAGCCAAGAGTTTTTAAAAGGCAGTGACCCAACCTGATCTGGGTGTTACCAAGTTGTCTCTGGTGCAGTATAGAGGCACCATGGTAGAGTCCTCGTGGGACCTGGACCTTGTCAGGGTCGCTGGCATAAGGAGGGCTCACCTACCCCAGACTGCAGAGGGCAGAGCACCCCAAGCATATTAGATGATGGACAGTTGTGGCATGAATGAGTGAGCTAGCAGGTGGGATGGCACCCCTACCTACCTTCACCTGTGGCTCCACCAAAGGGACTGGGTGGTACTTTTTGCAGAAAGAAGGAAAAGCCACAGCCCCATGAAGCATCAGCGGAAAGCACAGAGACTGTGTGTGGCCTATGAGGGCTCAGACAGTGAGAAAGGTGAGGGGGCTGAGCCCCTCAAGGTGCCAGTCTGGGAGCCCCAGAACTGGCAGCAACAGCTGGCCAACATTCGTGCAATGAGGAGCAAAAAGGACGCACCCGTGGACCATCTGGGGGCTGAGCACTGCTATGACTCCAGTGCCCCCCCAAAGGTAGGTAGGGGCCTCATCTGCCCAAGTGACCCACCCCCCCCAGCAAGATACTTGTGTACCCTCTACCTGGTGGCTCTTGGCTTGCAAGAACCTTAGATCAAGCTGAGTTCTAACCCCTATTCCCTATTTTAGAGACAAACAAACTGAGCCCTCACTGCTATCCGCTGAGGCTTCACAGGGTTTTGATTACGAAGCAATCATAACAGTAGCGGCCAATAGCTATTCAGTAGTGATGGGTCAGATACAATTCTTTTTTTTTTTTTTTTTGAGACGGAGTTTCATTCTTGTTACCCAGGCTGGAGTGCAATGGTGTGATCTCTGCTCACTGCAACCTCCGCCTCCTGAGTTCAAGCAATTCTCCTGCCTCAGCCTCCCGAGTAGCTGGGACTATAGGCACACACCACCATGCCCAGCTAATTTTTTGTATTTTTAGTAGAGACGGGGTTTCACCATGTTGACCAGGATGGTCTCGATCTCTTGGCCTCATGATCCACCCGCCTCGGCCTCCCAAAGTGCTGGGATTACAGGCGTGAGCCACCGCGCCCAGCATATTCTTTTTTTTAATGAGACCGAGTTTTGCTCATCACCCAGGCTGGAGTGCAATGGCACAATCTCAGCTCACTGCAACCTCCACCTCCCGGTCTCAAGCCATTCTCCTGCCTCAGCCTCCTGAGTAGCTGGGATTACAGGCATGCTCCACGACACCCAGCTAATTTCTGTATTTTTTGTAGAGACGGGGTTTCACCATGTTGGCCAGGCTGGTCTGAAACGCCTGACCTCAGGTGATCCGTCTGTCTTGCCCTCCCAAAGCGCTGGGATTACATGTGTGAGGCACCGCGCCCGGCCCACGTATGATTCTAAGCACTGAGATGATTCGTTTAAGCTTCATATTGATCTAGGGAGGCAGGTACTGTTACCGTCCTGGTGTTGCGGGTATCCCGACACACCCAAACTAGACCTGGGCGTGAGGGGAGCCTGGCCCAGGGAATCACTCAGGACCCACCACCACCCTGGTCCCTGTCGCTGCACAAGCAGGTGCGAAGGTACCAGGTGCTGCTGTCACTGATGCTCTCCAGCCAGACCAAAGACCAGGTGACGGCTGGTGCCATGCAGCGGCTGCGGGCGCAGGGCCTGACGGTAGACAGCATCCTGCAGACAGATGACGCCACGCTGGGCAAGCTCATCTACCCCGTCGGTTTCTGGAGGGTGAGCCCTGCCTGTAGCAACCGGGGCTGAGGTGGCACTGGCCTGAGAGAGACCTCAGAAGGCTGAGGGGGGCTGTGGTGGTGAAGGAGGAAAGGGTCAGACATCTCTGGCCGCGGGGTCCCCTGGAGCCCCCATCCCAGGCCATGGGGCCGTGACGCCTGGCGCCCAGTCCCAGCAGCTCCTTGGCCGTCCTGTTTGCATCCACCCTTCCTTCCTCTGCCTCCCCGCCTGCCCACCCTTCCTCACCTCCCAGGCTGCCTGCCCACCCCCTTTCCCTTTGTTGACTGCAAGCCTCCCCAGTGTGTCACCCCCTCCTGTCCAGAGCCCCCCACCCTCCAGGAGCCCCGGGGAGGCTGTTCCCCCACCCCGCCGAGCACTGGAAGGTTGTGGGCGGATCTGTTGAAAGCAGCTTGGTGGGTGGGGCGGCTTCCCCTTGGCACCCGCGTGGGCCGCAGTTTGTCAGATGGGTTTTAAATAGCCCTCTCCACTTGGGTACAGGATGGGAACCACCCGGCAGTCCTAGCAGCTGCTGGGGAAGCCCCAGCTCCAGCCCTCCTTCCTGAAGGCCCAGGTGCAGCCAAGACCCACTCCTGGGAGCAGCTGGCCTGCCTGGCCTGGCCTGGGTGCTGGCAGGGCACTCACAGGCGGGGGGAGCCTGAGCCAGACCCTACACATGTGTCATTGGCCTACACGAGTGGGAGGAGGGGGTCAGGCCTGCCTTGGGCCTCCCTGCTGCCCTCCACTCATTCCTGCCTCCTGGGGGGTAGGGTGTGAGCAGGTACCTTGCACACGTCCTGGGCAGGTGACAGGTAGCTCTGGCCACCTGTGGGTCTCCTAGGGGCTGCATCCTACCAGGTCGGGCTATGCCCCTGCCTCTAAGATTGAACTCACGCCATCTTTCAGAGCAAGGTGAAGTACATCAAGCAGACCAGCGCCATCCTGCAGCAGTGCTACGGCGGGGACATCCCAGCCTCCGTGGCTGAGCTGGTGGCACTGCCTGGCGTCGGGCCCAAGATGGCACACCTGGCTATGGCTGTGGCCTGGGGCATCGTGTCGGGCATTGGTGAGTGTCGCACCCCCCCAGGGGGCGGGGCTAGCTCTAGCTGGCTGCTCTTGGGATTTCCCACATTCTGGTGACCTGTATTTCCACCTCCAGCGTCCTTATTCTCCACTCAGCCCATAAGGTCAGAAAGGTGCTCGCACAGCTGAGCCAGACCAGCCCCACTCAGAGGCAGGTGCTGGGGCAGGAGGTCATGGGGGCTGAAGGCCTGCATATGCGGGGCTCTCAGGGAGGCCCCAGGCTAGACTCCCCACCTGTGCTGTATTCGGGAGCGATGTGGAACGTGGAACTCCCCCCCTTGGGGGGTGGAAACACTGATGGTTGTGCAGGGAGCTGCTGGGGGCCTGGCCTTGGCCCAGGACCTCTAGGAAGGCCCCTGAGGTCATCCTTCCACTGAGAGCTGCAGGGCAAGGTTGGGTGAGCCAGGCCAAAAGAAGGAAGTGCATTCCCAGCAGAAGGAACAGCATCTGCAAAGCCAGGAGGCGGGAGAGAGGGCCAGGAGCAGGAAGTTCTGGAATGAGATGAAGGCTGGGTGGGGAGGTGAGGGCTGAGGAGGGAAGACGGAGTATCACCTCGGCATGTGTGGTGGGGAGGAAGGCATTGGGGGGAAGCGGGGAGGATTGAGAGGGAGGTGCTGGGGGCATGGGGCAGGTAGGGTGGGGAGGGAGCCCACCCTGAATCCTTTTCCCAGGTCCTGGTGTCTCATCCTGGCACCTGAGGCTTCTTGGTGGTGAGGTGAAGACAGACCCTTGGGTTTGGGGTGGGGCTGCCTCCTCCTGAGCTTTGCCCAGAGATTTTGGGGCTCCTAAGGCCACATGCAGCCAGATCCAGCCAGTCTAGAAACCAGGGCTTGGCCCTGCCCTCTAGGTGTCCCCATCTGAAGCCGTTTTGGGACTCCTGAAGGGGACCTTCCAGCACTGCCTGGCGGCAAAAGGGCCACCGGGGGCTGAGGGCCTTGGTTCTGAGCAGGGGGCCATCTGGTGAGGCGAAAGAGCCAGAGCCAGGCCAGGTGCGCCTGGGCAGGGCTTCCTCCCACCCAGACTCCCAGCGCCACCACCTGCCAGCCTCTCAACAGATACTTGAGCTTATCTGGGTGGCTGTCCTCAGCTGCCCGTGTCCCTGGAGTGCTGCATTGTGGTTGGGCACGGCTGTGGGGGAAGGTCCCTGCCCAAAGCTGGGCAGGGAACAGGCTTTGGGATCAGCGGGCACAGGAGTCGGAATACCTCCCTCTCTGGGTGTCCGTGGGCCTGACCACCTGCCAGAAGAGCCCAGGGCTTCCTCCTAGGGGTTCCCAGAAAGAGAAACACTCTCAGTTAAAACATCAGAGTTGGCTGAGTATGAGGGCTCAAGCCTGTAATCCCAGCGATTTGGGAGGCCAAGGTGGGTGGATCACCTGAGGTCAGGAGTTCAAGACCAGCCTGGCCAACATGGTGAAACCCCATCTCTACTAAAAATACAAAAATTAGCCAGGCATGGTAGCCCATGCCTGTAATTTCAGCTACTGGGAAGGCAGAAACAGGAGAATAGCTTGAACCCAGGCAGTGGAGGTTGCAGTGAGCCAAGGTTAGGCCATTGCACTCCAGCCTGGGCAACAGAGCAAGACTCCATCTCAAAAAAAAAAAACGAAGAGAAAAAGAGGCCAGATTGCACCATGGCACTCCATCCTGGAGGACATCTCAAAAAGAGGCCAAAGCCATCCAGTGCTGGCTCATCCCAGCTCTGCGCCTCCTCGCTGGGTGACTTTGGGCAAGGCACTCGGCTTCTCTACGCTCTGGCCACAAAGTGGCAAAGGATTCCTCACTCACCGTCCAGCTATGCAGGAGGCTCACGTAACGTGACGTGGCCCAACTCAGCCTTGGGTCTCCTAAGGAGCATGGCCACTTCCATGAGAGAGGAGGAAACTCAGGCTCAGAGCCCCAGGGGTGGGACCCCTCAGCCTTGGGGGTCTCCCCACAACCTCAGACACCTTTTTCCAGGCAGGTGACGGCAGAGCAAAGGAGCCAGTGCAGGGCTCGGTCTTCTCTTTGGCAAACACTGAAGGAGGAGGCCCGGCTAGGGCTGCAGCTGGCTGGGGCGACCGGGTGGGAGAAGGGAGCCCTGATGAGCAGGCCTCTGGGGTGGCCAGCTGAGGGGAACGGGGGCCAGAACCCAGGGGGACAGCAGCTGCCATTGGCCGGGCCATGCTCCCACTCTGTCCCTGACCACTGCAGTGGCAGGTGCTGGCTCCTGCAGCCAGTGACCTCATGCCAGCCCACTGGGAAGAGCTGTTGCCACCCAGCCTGGTGCCCAGAGCTGGTGTTTCTGCTGGGTGGGACCTCAGACCACAAGTGATGGACAGAGGAAAGCCTGGCTGGGCCCTTCCTGGGTCAGGGCCTTGTTCCTGGGGAAGCTGAGTGCTGACAGGTGCTTCAGAGTCCAGATCCTGCCGGGCCTCGGTCTTGGCATCTGTGGGACCTCATGAGGATTTGCTGAGCCGCCAGTCTCTCAGGCAGGGTCTGGCCCCAGCAAGCGCTTCTTGTCCGAGTGAGCTGTCGCTGTTGTGGGAAACAGAGCTCGAAGCAGAGCCGAGTCACCACCCCTAAGCCCTGCCCAGAGCAGAGACCCTACCACCCGCACACCCATCTTGCACCAGGGTTGGTGGAAATGGCTCAGCCCAAAGCAGAGCCCCCACCAAGGCTGGCTCAGGTGATGGGAGGGAGGCCTGCACCACACGAGGGCTCAGCCCCTGCCCCAGCACCTCGGGGGCAGCGGAGATGGTCACGTGTAGGCTTGCAGGGCCATGGGGGTGGTGGCAGATTTGCCTCTGGGCAGGGAGGGGCATGGGCTGGGCTGGTGGAGTGTGCCCGTTCACCCGCTTGGCCTCTTAGCAGCAGTGGACACGCACGTGCACAGAATCGCCAACCGGCTGAGATGGACCAAGAAGGCAACCAAGTCCCCAGAGGAGACTCGCACCGCTCTAGAGGAATGGCTGCCCAGGTATGGCATGTGGGGGGCTTCCCGGGGGAGGGCTCACCCCACCCTCCCTCCGTCAGCACTGACCCAGCCCCCTCCCCCACAGGGAGCTGTGGCACGAGATCAACGGACTCCTGGTGGGCTTTGGCCAGCAGACCTGTCTCCCTGTGCACCCTCGCTGCCAGGGCTGCCTCAACCAAGCCCTGTGCCCGGCCGCCCAGGGTCTCTGAGGGCTGTGTGGCTTTGGCCAAGGTGCCACTGTGGCCACCGCCTGTGAAGTGCCTTTGTGCAGGAAGCCACACCTGTTGGATAAAGCTTTGGGGTGTCTGCAGGTGGCGTCTGGCTGATGTCTGGCCCTGAAGGGCCGGGGGCCTGGGAATCGTGTACAGGCGTGTGTGCGTGCACACCCGTGCTTTCGTGTCTGGAGCAGGGCTGCCTGGGAGGCCGGCTGGGGACGTGACAATCTTTGCTATGTACTCAGGGATGGGGAGGGAGGAAGTGGAGGGAGCCAGCTGCAGCCGGCTGCTGGAAGTCTGCTAGGGAAGCAGCCCCTGGGCAGCTGGCTTGGGACCCTGGCCCCTCATTATCCATCACCGGCCCCCTAGCTTCCCAGCCTGGACACTGCCAGTGCCTGAACTTGCATGCCCACAAAGCCCAGCCTCTGCCAGGGTCCCACCTCCCTCTTTACAGAGCTCCCCCGCCTTGAAAGAGACACTGGGGACCCAGGCAGGAAGCCACAGGGTACAAGGCTAGAGGTCACGGAGTGAACTGGACAAAGGGCCATGTGGGTGTTGTGTGGGGCCAGATGGCTTCGCAGGGAAGGTGAAGGTGGGAGGCTGAGTCCACCAAATAGAGAGGTGGGTACGGCCCAGGATGGACCACGCGGCGCGGGTCCCATGGGGGCCGGTGGGGGACAGCAGCAGGGCAGGGAGCAGATGGATGCAGGGCAGGGGCTCAGGAACGAGACTCAGTTTCCAGCTGCTGAGACTCGGGGAAGGGGCTCCCTGGAACTGCCTCATCCCTCCACTCCTCTCACCCCGCAAGGAGGAGGCTCAGAAAAGACAGAGGCATGTCGGTCCCAGTTAGGGCCTATTTATTCTGAGGGCGCGCATGCGCTATGGCTTACGAGGCAACAGTGGTGCCAGTCGATCAGTCAGTTCAGGGGTGTGGGCCCAGAAGGGAAGAGCAGTCAACAGGATGTCCACGGGGGAGCCCGCCAGGCAGGGCTGAGCCAGAGGCCTGAAGTCCTTCCTGGGTGCCGCACTCACACACCTACATTCCCCAGGCCTGGGAGCTGCCGTGCAGAATGAGGGGCCCGTAGAGAGGCCGTCCTCTGAGGGGACATGGGGCCTCCATCCTTGGGCCCCTCGGAGAGCCCAGGCCCTGCACTCCAGATCCCCAGCAAGGCAGAGGCGTACAGGGTAGCTGGGTGGGGAGCAGGGCCTGGCCTAGGGACCCCCACACCAGGGCGGGCAGCTCCTATGGCCACATCCAGCCTCCCTGGCCTTACCCCAAGGTCCCCACAAATAGGCTGGGGGCCCCAGCTCAGCCACCAGAAGTCTCAGGGACTCCCGCTCAGGACAGCCACTGCTGAGGCCGGCAGGGGTAGGGGGTGGGGGGCCGGGGAGGAAATGGTTTGCAGAGAAAGGTTTTATTGCAATTATTTAGAGGGCGTCCCAAGGGGGAGGGGAGGGGGCGCTCTGGTATTAAATGGAAACATGTGGAGCTGGAGATCTTCTTGGAAAAAAAGCAAAAACACAAATTCCTTTCAGTCAGCAGGCCCAGCAGAGCGGCAAAGGCCCTCACCCTGTGGCCACCGCGTGCGTGCTCTCGCTCGCTTTCTCTTTCTCTCTCTCTCTCTCTCTCTCTCTCTCTCTCTCTTGCTCTGTCTGTCTCCCTCTCTCTCTCTGCCCCTCTCTCTGTCTCTCTTACATCTCTGGGTCTCTCTCCCCCTATCTTGCTGCCACAGGACCCCAATACCTAGCAGGCAAGGGCAGGATGGGGGCTCACGGGGGCTGGGGCTGATTTCTGGGCAGTGGCAACTGCCAGTCCACTGAGGCTTGGGAAGCTCGGGGCGGGCTGAGGCCCAAGGTCCGTGCAGGAGGGGTCCCAGGGCCCCGAGACAGGCAGGGAGGGGCTCAGAAGTTGCTGAAGATCTCTCGCTTCCGGTTCCAGTCCATCTGTGGCGCACGCTTGTTGACTCTTGTGGCTCGGGCCTTCTCCTTGGCCTCGGCCGCTGTGGGGCTCAGGTGGAGGCCACTCTCCTGGAAGGGGTCTCGCTTCCAAGCACTGCCATCCTGGGGTGGGCATGGTGGGTGGGGTGCCTGCAGTGAGCCCTAGTCCCACACCCCAGATGGTAGCCCCTCCCAGGGACCAACCACCAGAGGCCGCCTGCTGGGGCTGAGGCAGTGGGCTCTCAAGGGCATCCTGGAGGCACAGACCCCTCTGCCTGGCTGATACCTCCACAGATACCCACCCCGAGGTCTCTGGCACCGAGTGTGAGCTCAGGAGTGGTGGAGAAGGACATCCATACCTCAGCGTCCTTGTCTGAACCAGGCAGGTCACTCCGGGAAGAGCACGCAGAGCCACCATTGAGCTGGGAAAGCAAGGACAGGTTGTGGCTTCAGGGCTCCTGCCCAGGGAGCCGCTGGTTCACAGACAGACGCAGTGCCTGCACACGCACACACACGTACACATGCACACGCCCCACAGCTGTGTGTGCTCCTCCACTCGGCTGTGGCCTCGGGCCTCAGGTGCACTCCAGCTGCGGCGGGGCAGGCACTGGGAACCCGTGCCTGGCAGTAACAGACGGGTGTCCTGGCCAGCTCATGGTGCAGAGGGAGTGGGCACAGGAACAGCCAGCATGCCCGATGCCTGCGGTGAGGCCACCGCCAGCTCCCTTAGGAGGCAGAGACTGGACAGCTTACCAACTCCTTACCAGGTGCTGCCCAGGAGGGGAGGAAAGGCAGCGGCCCCAACCCCAGGTGCCCCATGTAGCTTAGGTGTGGCACTGACCCAGGACTAGATCCATAGGGCCATTAAAGACAGGTGACAGGGCCAGAATTGGGTGTCACTACCACACCTCCTCAAGGACAGGGATCTCCAGGGAGAAGGGGGCCTCTGTCGGCCTGAGTACCCCAGAGGCACCGTGTCTCATGGCACCCCATTCACTCACCTGGGCAGGGCTGGTCCCGTTGGTGATGGGTGTTGGCAGAGGACCTGTGGGTGGTGACAGCGTGTCAGTGGCTGCTCGGCCACCACACTGTGCCCGCCCTGTTCCCCGGGCCGTGGCCCACCTTCCACATGCTCCTCGGTGGGGGTGACCCGAAGCCGTTTGAAGTGTTCGTCTGTCTCTGGGTCCACCACCAGCAGCCGGGCCTCATCCTCCCGGGCCTTGATGCTGGCCACGACCTCGGAATGGCGCAGCCCCTCCACATTCTGCCCATTCACCTGCCACCACCAGCACATGTCAGCCCCGAAGTGGACCCAGACAGCCCCCCACACTACGTGGCCAGGTGTGGCATCAAATATTCATCACAAGCACCGCCCGCCAAGGCAGCAGGAAGCACGCCAGCTCAGGTTCCCGGCATCTCCTTCCTCCCTGCAGGGACCGAGGGGCCCGATGTGGACGGGCATGGGGTACCCAGCACCCTGCAGCCCCGGTGGGCCGGTACCTCAATGAGCCGGTCCTGGGCGCGGAGGCCAGAGTGAGCAGCAGGGGAGCCCGGGTCCACAGAGCGGATGTACTGGCCGGGCCGGGACTTGTCACTGTGCAGGTTGAACCCATAGCCCTGAGGTCCCTTTCGCAGGTGGCAGAGCCGAGGGCGAAGCTCCCTCAGGGGCCCACCAACATCCTGCAGGCCCGAGAAACAGGATCAGTCTCTTGGCTCCAGCCTCCTGCCCTGAGAGGTTACTCTCAGGTGGAGCTGCCCCTGCCCAAATTCAGTACCATGCCCCCCCACAGGCAGGCCCAGGTCTCGGGGGCAAAGGCTCTGGGTGTCCAGGCTGCCTGTGACGGAGCTCTAGCTGTGGGAACTTTCACAAAGCCTATTTCTAAACCCAGGAGCCTCCCCGATGGGCCCAGCAGCTTTCCCAGGTTGCTGAGAGAATTCTCTGGGCTCAAGGCCAGTGCAGTGCACAGGCGGGGTGGGAGGAAGTGCCAGGTGGGACGAACTGTCACCATCGGCCTCCTAGGTGGCTGTCCCCCTGCCCCAGGCTCGCCTCCAGAGCGTGGGCGAGGCGCTCCTAGGCCAGCAGTTTTGTTTTGTCTCCAGAGTCCTCCGTGGCTAGCTGCGGTGGCGGCTCTGTTTGCTTTCACATTCCGGGAAAATGAGCCGCCCCACCCCCATGGGCCCAGCAAGCAGGGGCTGGGGCCGGAGCTTAGAGTGGACAGGGCACAGAGCGCCTACTGATCCCCTGAGGGACCACGATACCATCCCAGGGCCCTGCCCCATGTTACCTCTGGCATCCTGCAGTGGGGCTCTGGGCCAGGGGACCGTGCAGGCAGGGGCCAGGCCCAGTGATCCCCCCAACCAGGGGCTGGGCCGGGGCAGGCAAGGTGGCAGTGGCCAGCGGCTGCCTGTGCTCAGATAAACATGGCGGTGGCTGGAGCAGGCGGGCGACAGCTCAGGTTTCCAGGGAGTGCCAGGCTTGAGGGTGTGTGCAGGGGAGAGTGTGCGGGCAGGGTGGGGGGCCGCCCGGGCCCATCCCTCACCTCCTACCACCCTGTGTGTTCCTGAGGGACCTGAGGCCAAGCCAGGGCCAGGCTAGCACGGCGGGAAGGGCACTCAGACCTCAGGAAGGCAGGTCTCCGGGCCTCACATACCCCTGACCCCTCCAGCCACCCACCTTCAGGCTCACTCCAAACCCCAATGGACTGGGAACAGCCATGCTAGTGGGGGGGGGTCGGGTGCCGCCCCACCAAGGGCGCACAGGGGTCCTTCCCCGAAAGGCCAGTGCCCCGTACCCTCGGCTCAAGCCCTGCCCTTGGTCTGGAACACCCTCCTCCTGTCCTGCCTGCCAGACACCTCTTGTGGAGCCTCCTGCCCACCTGAAGCCTTTCTGCATGGCTGCCACCCAGCCCATCACACCAGGAACTCCAGGGACAAGGCTGGGGCTCCTCAGTCCCCAGGGGGCTCAGCTGGGCTACATGGGTTGGAGGGTACAAGACCCCCAACATCTTCAGGGCCCCACCACACAAACCCGCCCTTCCTCCAGACACACCTGGTAGCACAGGCGTGGGGCTTTAAGGCTGACCCTGACACCTGCCCACGGAGGTGCCCCTCAGGGATGCATCAGAGCTCAGCCCCCAAGGCTGGCCTGACACAGAGGGAAGGTGTGGGGACAGGAGCGCAATTTGGGAGGGGAGGTGGGAGCGTGACACGGGCCAGGCTGCAGACACACGTCACAGGGTCACAGACACGAGACACCCAAATACACCTGGGAATACGCATAGCCACCCACACATGTGACCGGCCCCGCAGTGCTGGCCCCGCAGCCCTTCCCACACCTGCACAGAGGCCTGCCGGGCAGGCTTTCTCAAGGCACCAGACAGGAAGCAGGATCTGGTGGGGCATCTGGGGCCCTGAGGCCAGGCCAAAGCCCCCTCCATGTTCTCGGAGTCATTCTGGCCACCCCTCTGTGTCTTTAACTCTACAAGGCAAGAAGTTCTGCCTGTCATCGAGCCTAAACCCTCCTCATTGTCAGTAGGGTCCTGCGATGCCAGGCATGGCACTAAACCCTCAGGTAGAGGGGCTGCAAGGTAGTGGCCGGGGTGGGCTGCTGGCAGCACATGGGGCAGGGTGGGGGGGCCCAGAATGTGGAGGAGTTTGGGCGGGGCTCATAGCTCACATTCCTCCCTCCTCACTGCCCTGGCTCAGCACACACTTCCTGCTGCCTCCCGCCAGGCCCTCTGGCTCCCATGGGCTCCAGGCTCCCTCCCGGCCAGCGGCCAGCGTAAAGCCGGGCCATCTCTGGTCCTCCAGCCATGCCTGTGTCCAGACAAAGAGGCTGGCATGGGGGTACCCTGGGACCCCCCCCAGATGGTGACGCACCAGCCCTGGCAGAAAAAGGCCTCCATTGTTGCTCAGACGCTGGCCTGCTTACATCAAGGTCCCAGAGTCCCCTCCTCCCACCCTGGGAGGCTGAGCGGCTGCTGGTTCCTCTGAGCCCTCCCTGCCTCCCACCCTGTACCTGACCTGTACCATTCCCTGGGATGGGGTCCGTGGAGGGGCTCCTGGAGCCCGAGCAGGTGGCGTGGCACTCCCAGAGCGTGCCATGACAGCAGGACAGTGGCAGCGGGTGTCCAGCCAGGGTGGCCTGAGCTCTCTGGCCGACCCAGGCTCCCACTCGACTTATCTACCTCCCTCAGAGGCCCTGGCTCCCCAGGGATGGGTGGGACATGGGGGCTGAGTCACTTTGGGGAGCAGGGTGATGACTGAGCCCACTCCCCCAAAGGCTCCAGTCCGGCGCCCCCCACCCAGCTGGGTTTCCGTCCCAAGAAAGGAAGGAAGGAAGCTGCTAGAAGGCCCTGCCCTGCCCCAGGACCCAGGGCTGGGGGGACAGGGAGGAGTCCCGGCCCCAGAACACAGGACAGCGCTGCTGAGCTTCGAGAGGAATAAGAACCAGGGGTGCCTGGAAGCCCCCACAGGGATCATGTCGCCCCACACAGCCGCCTCCTGCAGAACTGTTGCCCCAACTGGCTCTCAGCCACTGTCACCCTTCACCTGCTCTTCGCCCCCAAAGCCCTCCAGATGGGGGCGGGACATGGGCTGGGAGCAGGGGATGGAGGGCCCGGGTCTGCCACCACCTCCAGAGCCTGGCACTGCTGACCGCCCTGTCTGTTTGGGGGCTGTCCCCTGTCACCACGAGGATCAGCTGCACTGCAGCTGTGACCATCCTGGTGTGGTCCAGGCCTGAGTCATCACTAACTAGGCTCTCACGGCCCCAAAAGGAGGGTCAACCACATCAGTTCCTCCCCTGCCCACCTCCCTATACCCAGCCAGGACAGAGGACACAGGGAACCACCCTTAGCTCCCAGAGGGCACCCACGGGTGGGCCCTCTCCATCCTGCACCAAAGCCAAACTACACACAGTCCTCCCCAGGGCTCTGCCTCTCTGCCACCAACACCCCCACTGGAGCCATCCGCACAGGGTCAGCTCTGCCCTCCCGGGCTCCCTGACCATCGCGGGCTTGCCGTGTACCCAGGCTGAGGAGGGCGGGATCTGAGCCTGCTCTTTGGAGGTCAGATGAGGCCCAGCTCTTCCTGCTCATGCTGGGAGCTCGGGTAAAGAAACCTCAGGTCTCGGGCCAGGCACAGTGGCTCGCACCTGTCATCCCAGCACTTTGGGAGGCCGAGGTGGGCGGATCGCTTGAGCCCAAGAGTTCAAGACCAGCCTGGCCAACATGGCGAAACATTGTCTCTACTAAAAACAGAAAAGTTATCCAGGTGTGGTGGCGCATGCCTGTAATCCCAGCTACTTGGGGGGCTGAGGCAGGAGAATCACTTGAACCCAGATGTAGGAGATTGCAGTGAGCCAAGGGGAAAAAAAAAAAAGAAACCTCAGGTCTCAATGACAGAAGAGAGAGGGGGAGAGCTTGTTCCTTGGGTGCCCCTGACCTCCTGGAGCCCCTGTCCTCAGCCAGACTCATGCACAGAGGGACCTGCCACTCAGGCCACCCTTTGTTCCTCTAAAAATACGCCCAGAGGAAGCCCCTCCTAGGGCTTCCTGCAGCCCCCAGAGCCTGAAATAGCAAAGGGGGAAGGTCCCACCCAAGGCAAGGTGCCTCAGCTACCACACCCTCCAGATAAAGTCCGAGGGCCGGATTTTTCCACAGGAAGGTGACCGGTGCATTTGTGTCCAAATCAATGGACAAATGCCTGGGGTGGAGGGGGAGCTTCCTCCTGGGGGAAGGAGGGTACCTGGGAAAGAGGGAGGCCCCAACCCTCAGCCTGGAGCCAGGAGCCTGGGCCAGCCAGCCCCCCTGTAAGGCCAGCCCCCACCAACCCACCCGGGGCTGGGCATCTTGGCCCCGAGCACTGCCATAGTCTGCCCTCAAGCCCCAGGAACCGAAACAGGTCCCACAGGACCTATGGCCAGGCCTGTGCCCAGGCTCGGCTCCCCACAGGGAATGCCGTCTCCCTGCGAAGATAGCCCCCGGGGCTCAGCTCCAGGCGCAGCTAGCTCCAGGCGAAATGTTTGGGAAAGGGAAAAAGTCAACGTGCAGATCCCCTGCTCCCCCAGAAACTCCAGATCCCACACCTCCGACCCAGGCCCAGGTTCTCAAAGTGGGGCCTGGGAAACCCGTGGATTCAATTCCCTGAAGGGATTTCTTTGAGAGCATGTCAGGATGTCCAGGAAGGCAGGACAGACAGCTTCAGGCTGTGCCTACTGGCCCCCAGGCCTACCAGGCTGCCCCTTCCAGCGGCCACCTAGCCAGAGGTGGAGCAGGCCGAGCCTCAACTTTTCTGGGTCTCCTCGCTGGGAGCAGGTGCAGGGGAAGGAGGAAGTGCTGCCCAGCAGGGCTCCAGAAGGAACAACAGACAGGATCCGTGGGCCTCCCTTATATCTAGGGGGAGGGTGGGCTCACCCTGGAGCCTCCTGGACCCCTTCCTCAAGGCGCTGCCTGCAGAGGTGGCCGGCCCCCTCTCAGGCCTTCCCAGCATGCAGAAGCCACGGACGACTCCCAACACAGACACAGAGCTGGGCACACAGAGACCTGGAATGCCTCTTCCCAGGGTTCCTCGAGCCAACAGGCTGGGGGTTGGGGAGGCGGTGGCTTGTCAGAGTGACCCCTCCATAGTGCAGTGGCTCCGGAGCATCCCGGAGAAGAGGAACGGATCAGGATGCTCTGACTCCTCCCAGTTTAGAACACAGGCTGAGGATGGAAAGAGTGGCCCCCAGTAGCCAACAAGATGGTGTCTGGGGCAGAAAAGGAGCCCCAAAAGGCAGAAGAGACCAAGATTCTGGAGGGGACCAGAGGCAAGATTGTCGTCGAGAGAGGCTCTGGGAGAGGCTAGGGCGGTCCCTGTGGCCCAGCCCACCATACCTTCTTGCTGGCATCAGAGCTGCGGCCGCCCACGTGTGCCCAGTCTGGCTTTGGCTCCCAGGGGTCGTGGGCGGGCGGGAGCCCTCGCTGGGCCATCTCCTCAGTGCAGGTCAGCTGCCGCCGGCGCAGCTCCTCATCCGTCTCCTGGTCCACCACCAGCAGCCGGGTCTGCCCCTCCACAGCCTTGATCCTTTGCACCACCTGGGACAAATGGGTGGCAGGAGTGGGTCAGAGGCCTGCACTCCGGTCCGCACATGGGCAGTGCCACCGCTCTGGGCTGGCCTGGGCATGTGGACAGGCAGCTGGTCTGCATGGGTGGGTGGCTGCACCAAGAGGCCTGCCAGCCCCGCCCCCCACCCCCAGACTCCAGCGGCTCCCTCCCTCTGCCTCTGGGCTCTGGACACTAAAGCCCAGGCTGCCAGGGCTTCAGGGTCCTCCCAGGGCCTTGCTCTTAGCCCTGGGTCTTCTCCAGAGGGGTCAGGAAGGGGCTGCAGGGTACGGCAGCTGGGGAGTCCTGTCCGGAAGTGACAAAGATGGTGCCCAGCTGAGCTTCAGCTTTTCCGTCTTCTCGTGCATGCGCATGTGTGCATCCGTTTCAAAGACTGTATTTCCCTCCGCGTTCGAGGAAGACGAGGGTCTTCCTGGGCCCCAGTTTGGGTGTATCTATGCCCATTCCTGTCACTCTCTGCCACACAGTGCGGGAGTCTAAACCCCTGACCCCAAGCCTTGCATCTGCCTGCAGACCATGACCATGAGCCCATTCCCGTGGGACCTGAGGAGACGGAAGAGCTGGGCTCCTGGCTCAGGGACCCACACATAGCCCGGGAAGCAGGCAGGACTGAGCTGCAGCCGTCGAGGGGGAGGGGCAGGTGCACCTGTGGACAGCTGTGGCATGGCTGTCGGCGTGTGCGTGCAGGTGCCTGTGAAGTATCTGGACCACACAGGGGGCCAGCATGCACCCTCAGAGAGAAAGCAGTGCCCACTGGGCCGTGGGGAGGAGGAGGGGCAGCCCCACTTCCACCTGCTGCCTGTGGGAGGGTAGACAGGGCTCCCTACCAGCTGCCGGGCTCAGCAGGGGTGGTGAACAGATACGAGGGGCCGAGACAGGCCCATCTTCCCACTGGTCCTCCTCTCTCCCCATGAAGAGTGAGGCAAAAGGAACCCAGGGCCCAGCTGTTTCTTGACTATGTGTCCCAGACCAGTCACCCCAAATCACCAGCATCACTTTCTTCTCCTGTCCCATGAGGCTGTAACTGCCCCTCTTGCCCTCCTGGGGCAGAGGGGAGGCTCCGCCATGACCTGTGTGTCCAGTCCTTGAGACCAGCACCCCAGGGGCCTTGGATAAGCAGATGTTCCCAGGGAAAAGGCAGCAGTGACTGTCCCCTCACCCTGCCAGCCACACCTTCGGTCCCTCAGGCCCAGGCCCCCAGCCTGATCCCCACCTTCTTCAGCAAACAACCTTACACAACAGACACTCTGGATGGGAGGCAGGGGCAAGCTGCAGAGGAACGGACAGGTACTGGGTGAACAGGAGACCAGCTCCAGGCCTAGCCGTGAGCCAACCTGCTATCTCTTTTTTTATTTGAGGAGTCTCACTCTGTTCCCGAGTCATCTCAGCTCACTGCAATCTCTGCCTCCTCGGTTCAAGCGATTCTCCTGCCTCAGCCTCCCAAGTAGCTGGGACTATAGGCGTGCACCACCACGTCCGGCTACATTTTTGTATTTGTAGGAGAGTCAGAGTTTCGCCCTGTTAGCCAGGATGGTCTCCATCTCCTGAAATCATGATCTGCCCGCCTTGAGCTCCCAAAGTGCTGGGATTACAGGTGTGAACCACCTCGCCCGGCCCCAACCTACTAATCTCTAGGATCCAGGACCAGCCATGTAGACAGGATTTGCTGGTGCTGTGAGGGACAGGGGACGTGGAGAACAAAGGGTGTGTGGACACTGGACTCCAACCAGGGTCTGGAGTGAGTCCCTGGCCTGTGGGAGACAGACAGACTCAGGGGTCAGAACCCACAGAGAAAAGGCTCTGTTCGCATTGGCCAGGAGGCAGGAGGCTTCAGCCAATGTCCCGAGCCAAGCTAAGCAGCCTCTTAGGAGGGGCAGTGCCTTTGGAGCTAAGGAATGTGATTGCCACCAATGGCCAACTCCCACCTGTCCCAGACACACCTGGCTGGGACACACAAGAGTATGGACACACAGACTCACCAGCCTGCAGACACACAGTGACAAGCATACAGGCCAGGCATGCAGACACACAGGCTCACAGACACACTCATGTTCACACACAGAGTCCAGCGTTCACACGACCAGGAGTCTAAACCTGTACACACACACACACGTGTGCAGACCTGGATACACGCACACTCCGGCACACACACAGGTGCAGACACACTGATGCCCTTAGCAGTCCCCTCCTGGGTACACACAGGCAGGCGCGTGCACACATGGCTGACCCCAGAGGGACCTGCACACACACACCCAGCTGTGTTCACACACACACGTGTACACACACACCCAGGCAAAAGCACCCAGGTCTCCACCTTCCTTGAGGGGCCCCAGGCTGCCTGACACCCTCCTTCATGGCACACTGAGGCCAAAAGGCAACCAAACGGCGAAGCCAACGGCCAGGAGCCGCAGTGCGGGCCCCTCCCTGCCAGGATACACCCCCACCCCGTGCAAGGCTGAGCTTCCTGCGCCGGGACTGGGAAGGCGCCGGGCCACTGCCTCCCCGCAACGTCCGCGTCCTCCCCGCGGGACCCCCCTCGGGCCCCGTGCGACCCCCGCCCACCCCAGGGAGAAGTGCTCGTGGAGGCGTGGGCGGACCGGGGCAAGCTCGGGCCCCCACCTGGTGGTGCGTCTCGCTCTCCACGTTGACGCCGTTGACCTCGACCAGGCGGTCCCCAGCGCGCAGCGCGGCGGCCTCGGCGGGGGAACCGGGCTCCACGCGCCGGATGAACTGCCCGCGGCGGCCCTTCTCGCCGTGCAGGTGGAAGCCGTAGCCCTGCTCGCCGCGCACCAGGCGGCACAGACGCGGCCGCAGCGGCTCCGGCGCGGCCATGGCGCCCGCTGCCCACCGGCCGCCCGCAGGCAGGGGTGCAGGGGAGCTCGGGGGCTGCGGCGGCGGCTTCGGCAGCTCCCGCTCGGCTCCCGTCGCCTCGGGCTCCGGCTCGGGCTCCGGCTCGGGCTGCGGCACCGCCCCCGCGCCCGCCCCTTCCCCGCCCCCGCCCCCGCCGTCCGGCCGCCCCCGCCCCCGTCCCAGCCATCCCGGACAGGCCCCTGCCTCTGCGCCCTGACAGTCCAAGGGGGTGCGGGGGGAGGCGGCAGGGCCAGGGGACCCCTCTGTCTCGCCCCTACTCTGGACGGCCGCCCGGGTGCCAGCGCCTCTGCCTTCTATTCCAGGAACATTCACTGGAAACCTACTGTATGCGCAGCACCGAGGCAGGTCTTGAGGTGGGTGACGGGTTGGAAAAAGGGTCTCCAGGCCAAAGGACTCCCCCCACAAAGGGGCCAAAGGGTAAGAACGAGGGCCACGGCCCTCCACCCTCCCCAGGTAGCCCTCCCCGACCCCCTTGCCTGTCTCCTCTAGGCTGTGCCTGATCCGGATCCCTCCTGCAGCCAGAGCTGCCCTGGGACAGGGCAGCGGCTCAGGAGGGCCCAGGAGGCAAAAAGAGGGGTTTAAAAGTGACACGCAGCAGCCCCTTTCTGCACCCTGGGGGCCGGTGACTGGGAGACTCCCTGATCTACCCACCGTGTTTCGGCTATCTGCACCGAGTCCATTCCTGAGCCCTCCCCCCATTATTTCCCTTGGCTGGGCCCCCCTCACTTGTGTCCCAGCCCACCCCAGGCCTGGACTGTGACTTTACAGTCACAGGCTCGGATGAGGGTAGGGGAAGGAGTCTCAAAGGTCTC